TTTGATCAAATTTAAGTAAAATGGACTTGCCGTAGTTTGAAAGATCAATACCACATTAATAACACCTGGCTGAGGGAGCTGTGAAGCCTGCACTCTGGCTCTTGCTGCGGAGTGGAAAGGAAGAGGCAGGCCAAGGCAGGCCACTGACTGTAAATCTCTCGTCTTGGCATCTCTTCCAGGGTGCTGGAAGGTCTCGCAGTAACCCTGAAGAGCTTATGGTTGCGACAGCTCTAGCCCCCGCTAGCATCAGTGTCAGGGCTGTGTCACTCGACACTATGGGACCTTCCTGCATGGCAAGACTTCGGGCGCTTGATTTCCAGCTCTTACAGGCAAAGGCGCTAATGAACAAGCATGCTGAGTAGCACATACACACAAAAATGTGAAACCAATACACACACATATACTCATATACTGTATTTTCATCAATATGCTAAAACATTCATAGCATTCGACACAGAGTGCAAGTTTCAAATTAATAATAACAATTCCCTCCAAGCGGGTCCTTTCAGGGATGTTTGTTGGCCTGCAGAATTGGCCAGTGAGACTTGATATAAGCAGGCGCAGGCACAGAGAGGAGAGCCGGGCTAAATGGCAGAGGAGGCACCGCTTTTGAGCATTGTCCTCCTCTCAAAGGCAAAAACCTGCTCTTTCTCTGCCTTGGAAACAATAACTCTCAACCTGTACTTGACCTTTCTGAAGAGCAAACAATCCTCCACAACTCACAAAGCCTTTAACAAAAAATAAAAGTTTGAACTAAATTAGAAAGAGAACAGTAACGTGTGATAATTAAAACAATAACAACACATGCTTAGCAGGATTAATTAAGCACAATAATCACAAGATGTGCGGGAGCTGCAGTCTAGCATAAAGAAATGTCTGCAAGCTCAGCACAGCAGAAGCTATCGTGAAATGCATCACAAGAAAATGAGAAATGAGACCAGCTCGCAACAGAGGAGGTCCCTGATTGGACACAAGCTTCCAGTGATGAGGAGTACCAATCGTGGCACTTGGCATTAAGCAGAATTCTTTGAACACATACAATAGATGGATATGTTTCATCTTCCAGTCTTGTGAGATGAATAAGCCAATCGGGGGCTGGCTCTCCTCCACGTAGCCCCACATTACAATAGATCAGAGACAGAAACTGGAAGAGACACACTGCAGAGCAAGACTCCTCTCATAAGCACCCTGTTTAATCATTCACACAAGGGCTGAAGGCAAAATGGCCAGCACACACGAGCCCAGCATGAGTCCTGCTGTGCCCTCAGCCGAAAACAAAACATCCTGACGATCTATCTGAATAAATCCCTCTGTCATTCTCAGCTTTTCTCTGGAAATTCTCTCCACTTTTTTCCCCTCCAATCGCCTCCCTCCTTGTTGCAAACTTTTCCATCTGCTGTCTGAATTACTGCCCGTGATCCCGCAAAGATGGAAATCAACCAGTCTTTTCAGGAGTCTGATTGAGGCCCAAACCCTGCCGCCCATCACCCTCAATCCACAGATGGTGGCCTGGCTCCTGCAGGGAACACTTCCACTGTGGATTTGCTGCAACTCTGTGGTGCAAGGCAACATTTTCTACATGATGGTTACTTTTTTTTTTTCCTACAATAATTCCCAATGCATCTTCTTTCCCATGCAGTTAGAAGACTACTATAGTGAACACGTCTAATGGGCTCTCAGGAACCAATATGTAACAGCTATAAATGGTGCTGTGAGATGAATAATGTAACAATAATTACATTTTGCAATACAATTGGTACAGAAAGCATGCTTAAAAATTGTTAAGACGATTATTTTGAAGAAATATGTTCCATGTTAAGAATTTTGGTCACACACTAAATATATAAGTCCTCTTTTAAGTAAAGCCTTCTCTATATCCTGTTTAATCTCTAGTGTTCCCGTGCGTCAGATCACCTGTTAAACCCTTTAGATCTGGGCGGATTTTGTCTATACAATGTCAGAAAATAGTAAAAAAAAAATGCTCATCAAATGTCTTGTTTTGTCTGACCAGCAGTCAAAAACCAAAAGATATTCAGTTTACTATCATGTATGACAAAGAAACTCTAATCTTCAAAAGTGGACCTACACATGTTAGGCGTTTTTTGCTTAAAAAATGACTAAGATGATGACTCCATGATCACAATATTGTTGCAGCTCTAATCCCTTTATGCTTATGAGTGCTGGTGGTCCCATAAGTTACATTTCCCAGTGCTGCTGATGAGGTTTATGCAGTGTAAACTTGAAGCCCTTAAATATTATTCATTCTATGCCATGCTTCAGCTAGACAGTCTGGGCTTCACAGTCCTTTTCATCTCAATCCAAGTGTTATCTTTTTTACTGAAATAAGCAAAAAGGATATTCTGCCTTAACTTGAGATCAAACTGGGAAATGAGTCATGAGACACAGGATAATTACACCACTCAGTTGACAACATTTGCTGCTAATAGAGCAGACAGATGGTAAGTGAACAACCATTCAACTCCCATAAGAGACAACAGAGGAGTGAAAGTGTCATATTGGGCTTTACACCATGAAAGAAAAAAAACACTGGACTTTCATGTTCATAACCTCTTTGTGTCCGAGAAAACATGATGCGAACGTGATGTTTTTCTCCTCTTATCAACCTCACTACAGTCAGTCCAGTGCAGCAGAGAGCCTCCATATTTCATAGCCTCTAATAATTTCACATCCCCTGAACTGACAGCCTGGACCGACCGCGGCATACGCAAGAAAGAGTTATGGAAAATATGGATTAGATCGGGTGAGAAAGGCGAGAAATCCCCAAAGGAGTGCGGAGACTTAACTGTTATTAAGCATTCAAGGTTAAGGTGTGGTCTTCACACAATCACAGCAATGAAGGCAGAGTGTTGATCAAAGCAGACGATGATTAAGACTGTGGGAGTCAAGGCTGCATTTATGCTCCTTAATTTCCCCTCCTATAAGGATGTAAGAATGAAGGGAGTCCAGCCAAGGGGATTAGTCACATAGAGGAGAAACCACAAAAACTAGCAGCGTTAACTATCAGCAGCTAATGGCGGGGTAAAAGTGCAGATGGTGAGGCTTGCAACACTCCAGTTAACAAACAAAAGAACTGACGCCGTGTACATTTTTTGTTAACAGACACTCACACAAAGCCTTAGTGGAGCGTCACTGTTCCATTCAGCTCTTTTAATTACCTGTGTGTGTGATTTAATCCTTCATATGTCTCAGCCCATTCCTCCTAATGATCTGCTCCATTCAGCTCTTGTCAATACACATTCCGCTTGCATGGTTTTGTTGTTGTTTATTTTACAGCAAGTTATACATAGAAGTGTTGTGCTACTTAGCATTTCTAGATTTTCCCAGTCCTTATAAAAACACAAGAACTTGCCAATGAGAAATACTAATGTTTGCCAAATAACAAGTCAAGTCTCCTTGTGATCGCAACATAATCAGCCTTTTCAACATGCATGTGACAAAACACTGTGCAGCATTGTTATACAGTGTTGAAGCAGCCTGCAGTGTAAATGTTATTAATATTACTGCCTTATTAGCCTGGTTTTATGTTCTACAGGGGTAAAATTATGCACATATAAGTGTGCCTGTGTGTGTGTGTGTGTGTGTGTGCCTGTGTGTGTGTGTCTGTGTGTGTATGTGTGTGTGTGAGACAAAGAGACTCAAACAGGCCCAAGCCATTTTAGCCTTTCGACAAAAAAATACCAAAAATACAGCCCTGTAATTACATTGCATGAATAACTAATAGAATTCAGAGAATAAAAGCAGATTTTGAAACATGAATGTGAATGAATATGAAAAGGTCTGTGTCAGATTCCTATAAAAGACGTTTATTTTTAACACTCTGTCTCTCTCTCTTTCCATCGCCCTGATATGAGGCTGATTTGCAAATTTGGGAAGATTTATTTATCCTACTGCAACACTGCCGTGACAAATGAAATGGGAAAACGTCAGAGTCTAGAAACAATTTAAGAAATTGCATAATTTTGATCCTTTTATCTGAAAAAAAAAACATTTCTGGCCATGTTACAATCAAGCTTGTTTGCACACAAAACATAAAAGAGGACTTTTAGGAGGAAAGGCCTTATCTGCCAACCATTTAACATGTGTCATTCTCCTCATCATCTTGGAAGATTTAAAGCTGATTTGTGAGCATTAATGTTTTCTACAGCCAGACAACCAAATAAAAAAGCCCAGAGAGACAGCTCATCACATCAGGAGAAAAATCCAACAGCTTTGAGAGCTTTATTTCCCCACAGTAGTAGCTTACATATTGGTATATGAGACTATTAAGGGAATTTTGTTTTAAAAAAATCAATAAGCATTTAACTTCCTCAAACTTCATTAAGATGTAAACTTTTAAAGAGTCACATACAAATATGCAACCCAATGCCAGTATGGAGCAACTCCAGGTTTTGGACTCTAGAAGTCATCAGATTGGTTCAGGCTGTTGGGATTTGGGAGATTCATTCTCACAAGTATTGACTGAATTGCCTAAAGGTAGTGGGAGTGTCGCTCATTCCGTTTTAAAGGAAAATCGTCTCCCTGAATGCACTGATCTCTAACTTTGGATCGCAATGTCTTACACCTTTTAGGCTACCTTGCGCCTTTAAATATGCTTGAGCAATAACAAAAAGGCAGAAGCAGCGTAGCGCAGAGGATTGTGATGTTTTGGGAAATGGGAGCTTTCCCCAGAACACACAGACGCAGTCCTCCTAAATACGCAACATCGTAGCAAAAATAATAATAATAATAATAACTTTATAGACTCATAAAGTTATTATATAATTTGTTTTTATCTTCAGCCTTGGGAACTAACATTGTCCTATTCGGAAAGTCATGGAAAGCAGCGTTAAGCAGATAAACGCAGCAGCGTGTTGGAGAAAGGGGGCACAAAGTTGGCATCTTCACCAGACTCGCTCTGCTTTTGCTTTTAGCGGAGTTTCATCCACATGTTAAAACTTCCCAACTGCGTTTAAGGAGATCGAGACAAATATGTGACTTACCTGTTGGCCCCTCAATGCCATCGGCGTAGATCTGAACAGCCAAAATCAACAGAAAGGCGCAGGTGTTCATCGTGTAGCTGTTTTAGTCCACTTTAAATGTGCAGGAGAAATCATTTCATTCACTCCGTGAGGTCCGGGCGCGCAAGTAATAGAGCCGAGCCCATCTACTCCCCCAGTTCTCACTGAGTGGAGTTTCAGAGACAGTGAGGAGACAGGGCAGAGCTAGTCCTGCAAACTGACGTCAGGGTAAACAGTTCAGGGAAGAGATTTCTTTCTCAAGCCCACTTTCCTTCCCAGCCTCCACTTCTCTGCTGACACAAAGTATGAGCCGGGCGCCTCCAAGCGGCCGAGTCCGGCAACGGCACTGTGGTATTCAAACGTCGGCCAAGCAAAAAAACCCCAGACTGTGTGTTTGTGTGCTGCTGTACTTGCACCTTTGTGGGTACCAGGAAGAGTTTCAGATGTTCAGAGTGTGGACATTTCTGGAAAGTGTGGATATGTGGACTCTTTGCTTCTTCAAAGTGTCGTTTGAGGTTTAAAACCAGATTTTAAGGTGAGGATCTGAATTAGATTTAAGAGTCTGGGGCTGGGATTTGGGCTAGGCTTGTAGTTGTGATGGTTAAGGTCAAGGTCCTTGCAAGTATTGAAGCATAAAGTGTGTGTGTGTGTGTGTGTGTGTGCGCGCTTGTATTAATCACACAGGGACAAAAAGTCTACTCACACACATTATCGGGGCTTATCCTCAATTTTGTTCATCCCAACAATACATTTAAGAATTGGTGTTTGTTAAGGTCAGAGTAAGAGTTGGGGTGAGGCATGTAGTGGTAAGGGGAATAAATGTAAGTCAATGCAATGTCCCTCTAAGTGATTAAAACAAGCATCCATGTGTGTTGGTGTGTATGTGCAGAGACAGGGACAAGGTGCTGATCTCTTTCTCTGTTTTTACATCAATTTGGCTTGATTTTAATGAGACATTACTTAATCTTCACTGCCCAGCAGCTCCTAGCAGCTGTCACAGTACAGCATAAGTACGGGATTATCAGTCTGACAACAACAGGCGGAGAAAACACTCATTACGTGGCTTTGTTTTAAAAGTAACACTTGTAATTTCTTGTTTCTGCATTAAACACTATTATAGTCATTCTCTTGTTTTAAAATCACCTAATTGAAGTCTAATTATCCCAGCTATACACATAACCTTTCTCATTTTAGCTGCTGTTTTACAGCTGAGGACAGCCATATATTCACACATGACAGACAGGTAAGCATGCCTTCACACCTCCTCACAGGTGCGAAGCATTTATCTCCATAAATTATGTTGTGTGCATTGAGTTTGTGACTGATCTTAAATTTTCTTGTATACCCACAGTTGGCCATGTTTGTTGGAGAATACCTGGCAGAAATCACTCTTGGATTTCATTTACAAACTTAAATGTCAACACCTTCATGTAGAAAAGCCACTGTGACTTTAACATGGATATACAATATAACCTGTTAGAGTGTTTGATTATGAGTTGTTGGACACTGGTCACACGCTGCAAGGTGTCTTCTCATATATCATTACAACATTACCCAGGCCCCGAGATTCACCTTTGAAATCAAACATCTTGCACAAGTGCTGATGCTGCAGCCACTGCTCTGCATGACCCAAACTGGTGATAAAACCTGTTGGGCTCACACATTGAGCTTTGGCTCCAGGAATCCCAATTGGACCATGATGCCATTATGCAGGCTATTCATCATTCATTTTGTTGTCAAGTGTGAACATTAAAGCTGGGGATTAAATTAAAGAGGGCCAACAAACGCATCTAAGGCTTCCAACATGAGTGCATATCTCAGCCTCTAATGTTGTTAGCCCTGGATGACAGATGAACGATGGATTGCTCAGCAAATTACTTAATTTAACCAAAGGAGCACAGCGTATGTCAAGCTAACACCTGTAATTACACCTGCTTGATGCATGGCAGCCATTTTGCGCCCTGGTATTCAAAGCACAGAGTAGCAATTTATTTAAACTAGGGAGTATTTTGGCCTGAATCTGTTCAACTGCATGATAGTTTAATTTGCAGTAAACCGAACAGGATGTCGCAAAATACTGTTCAAATCCAATAACAGGACAGGCGTCAGCGGAGATGCTGACAGCTGCACTATGATGAAAGTCATTTTTTATCAGCTGCCGCTCATGACCCCTCGCAAACGACTACATCTGCACAGGCAGTGTTGTGCATACATTTATAATAACATATCATTACAGTTCTGAGAGAAGTTGTCAAAGGCTGGCTATCAAACTAGCACTGTCTATCACATGGCCTTGGCATGTATGATGGTGCTTCAAAAGTAAAAGAACAGAGAACACAGGGCAGAAAGTGGCTTCTACGCTGCTGTCTGTGAGGTAAAACTGAGGTGCCACACACCAAACAGTGATATCAGAAAAATCTATTTCATTTGTCTGTAAAATGGAAAATGATTGTTTGACATCAGTGATTGCTGTGTGACCACAAGTCTGACAATCCTGTGAGGTGAAACCACAGAGCAGCCATTTTCTCCCATGTGATTTTCTGTTGAATTACCAATTGACTTCTGTTTTTATAAATGGAACTGAAGTAACGTATTCACAACGGAGCAACACTGTAAGGAGGGTTAATGAAACATCTCAGATTAACACCAACACAGTAGAAAAATAAAAAGAAACATGCTAAGAATACATATATTGTCTTCCTGCAGTAAGTCCAGCATTTTACAATTCTCATCAACAATGGTGAAGTTAGCTCTTTAACACAGGCTTCTGTTAAAATATGAAACAAAGTATTTTATTTAAATGTGTTCATTGTCTTACGTGGTCATATCAGACCATCAGCGTCATTTTCATCATACTCTCATGTGCATAACATCTTTTTCTCTTTTATATTTTTTCTATGATAAAGGGGAGTAAATTAACAAGATTAGTAAACAGTACCCTGTTTAAAACAACAGCACGTCAACAGTCACAATACTTACTAAATATATAGTTTTCACTGTCAAAAATTAAGAATAATCTATTCTTCAGACAGTGTCTGGTGCATAGATCTTAGGCAGGTTTTAGGCATAATAACAAGGGCCTAAATACAAGCCTGAGTGAGATATACTGTATTTCACAAAATCAAAATTATATAAAATTCACCACACAAGTGTAACTCACAAAATATGGATTTTCAATTATAAATAGTATTAGAAATTATTTATAAAAGTATAAGGGAAATATTTGTCACAAATACCTGAAAAAGTTGCCAAATATTTTTAGATACGGTGAATACTATTTACATTGACATGTGAAAGGCATCTTAAAAATGTAGAAATACTTACTATCAAACACATACGTTTCTAATTCTTTAGAATGTTTCAGGGCAGCAACAATTACTTTCATTATCAATTAAACTTCAAATAATCAATTTATCATTTCTGGCCCATAAAATGTCAAAAGAAAAATGTAAAAAAATGCTCATTGCAATTCCCCAGAGCCCAAAGTGACGTTTTCGTGTTATAAAATATTTCGAATTTGATTTAGAACATTTTGCTTAGAAAAATGACTTAAATGATTATTATCGTTTATCAAAATTGCTGCCAATTAATGTTCTGTCAGTGGACCAATCAATGAATCAATGAATCATTTCAGCTTTACTGTGTTGTGAGTTGATAAAATGTTATTAAAGAATGAACCAAAATGCTCTTCTTGAATGTGTCTTTTACAAACAACTCAATGCAAGAACAAATGTGCGCTTGTAACACTGCAAACAACTGAAGTAACCACAATATATATATATGAGAATACAAAAAAAAGTAGTTTGACAAAGTAATGTTTTTTTCATTTTAATTCCCCTTTTAGTGTCTTTGGGATTATCTTTCTCCCTCACTTACTTTTATGTTTCTTTGATGCCTTACTTCCTATAATCACCTTTTCAATGCCATGCAAGCCTTCTGTCTCCTCACTTCTAAGATGAGGGTCTTCTTGAAACTTAACAGTCGTCTGTCCGTGCTCTTTGTGGATCCCTGAGGTGTCCTCTGTCTCCACGCCCTCCTGTCTGGGTCTGTGGAGCTTCTCCTGATTTGCCATCTCACTGATGTCACGCTTCCTCTCCAGAGTGGCACCATGGCTGTCTCTGTCCGTCCTGCCAGCCTCGGCAGGGTGACGCTGGCCAGTGGAGGCAGAGAAATGGCTAAAGAGCTGAGGGTTGATGGTGAACTGAGCGTAAGATGCAGGTGATAAACCGGTAAAAGAGAAAGGCTGGATCGGTGGGCCCGTTTTGACGGGGGACAGCAAGTTGTGGCTGTTTGACGGGTTGTGGCGCTGATTGCGGAGATGTTTCAAGGATTTCATTTTGGAGGAGGTGCTTTTATCACGACCCTGCTTCCTCTGGTCTTCCAAAATCTCATCCAACGCTAAGAAAAAAAATGGATATTAGTTCATACAATCAGCCGGGGTATCATTGTATGTACCGTATGTTGCCTTCAGCAGTTTTCTCACCACAAACATTGTTATGTATTTTGTTCTCTTCATCCTGGCTGCACTTCAGGACCAGAGCTTGCTTCACTGAGTCTAAAAGCCCAAACATCTTACACAGGGAATTAAGTATGACGGCATCTGAGAAAACAAAAACATCAAAAGTCAGCTTGTCCACATAAAATCACTTTTACAAAAAAATCAATGACCATTCATTTCCTTTGGCGGAGGTATTATTACAAGTCATTTTTAAAATTGATTTACTTTTTTTTTTTTACTTGAATGATATTTGACTAAGTTTAAATCAATTATTTTCACAATCCAGGGGTTAGCTGGGTACCACTGTGGGAACTCACCTGTCTCCTGCAGGTTGGCGTTCTCACTGCGAACCTCCACTCCTTTAAGAGCAGCTGATATTTCAGTCTGGAGACTGGACAGGACCTCCCCCATCAGCCCTGAGTCTGCTACTCCCTTCCACAGGCTCAATACGTCATCTAGAGAAGGTCAATTAGGTATGATATTATTATTATATATGGGGAAACTGTGGGGTGCATGTGTATGTCTGTTTGTCTTTTCATTTGAGTATGTCAAAGTGCCACAGAGAAATGAGAGAAAGTGGTATATGTGCAATAATGGTAAAGTGATTTGAGTATGTGTGAGAAAGTATGAATTCCTATGCAAGCTGTGGAGTTGGACTCCAAAATGCAGAGCAAAATAAATAAGAAATGTGGGATAAATGAGATGGACTGTGGAGGCAGGGAAATGTCTGGAAGTGAGCTCTGGGCAGAGTTAAAGGGTTGAAAGAGATTAATAAATTGAGGAGGGAAATATAGGAAGAAGTGTCAGGGTTGGAGAAACAATGGAAAAAAGATATAACGAGATAGAGGAAATGGGAGAGGTGCTGCACTTGGCAAGTGGATGTTAAATGGGTGATGGAGGTAGAGAGGAAAGAGTAAGGAAAATGGGTTAGAAAAGAGGCGCTCTAGGAGGAGAGAAAGGAGGGCAGGGCAGACTGGAGGGGGACTGAAAAATTACTTGGGATCTGTACAAAACTGCGCAGAAAAGAAGTTGAGTATATTAGAGTGATAAAATGTTAGAAATGCTTGATATCTTATCTTGCGAGAAATGCGTCCACTTTCACATTTGCTTAAATGTCTGTCAAGATAAATGCAATGTGCCGACGGAAAATATTCCAAATCCCATTTACAGCTATCTGAAGCTAAATTCATGTATCTCACCATGTCTGGAATGTACACTAATGGAAAGAAACACATTTCTGGAGATAGAGGAGCGTAGCTATAGGCTGAGTACGTTCGCTGAGAGTTGTCAATTTGTTTTAAGACCTGTGACAAGCAATATTGCTTGTGCAGTGAGGCGCTGCAATTTGCCATTCACACAAAAGATCACTTGAGGCTGTGTTACCGACTGTAGTCCAGCTGGAACAATGCCTAATCAGGTCACCTTTAAAAGCCCTTAAATCAAAGCTTAGGTTCCTGCAAGAAAAAGCCACACTTAGAAATGTCAGATGCCGTCAATGGTAATATAAAAGGACGTGACTTTGTACCTGCCAGTGGTCAGCAACTTTTTAAAGCCAGTCTGCAGGAACATCCAGCAGATTCAGAGATTCATTGGCTCAATGTATCAGAGGTGTCAAGCCGCAGTGGCTGCAAGAGGCTTGACACAAGGGACTGACAGACTGCAGGTAGACTGATGTTAATGTTCACAGTTGTCATTATTCACCTGTTGTTCTGTTTATTATTCATGCAATGATGGTTTGAGTCTAAATGTAGTATTTATTTTCCTCTTCAGCTAACATTTTTATCCATCAGTGATAGGACGTGGCTTACAAATTCGTGGCCTCTGGAGAACTGAAAGTCAGTGGGCTGAATCTGTGCCTAAACAAAAAATATATCCATGTGGTGTCTCCTGTCAAAGCAACAGTGAAGCACTGCAGGTGAGCAGTTTCCTGCTTTGTAGGATAATGTGCAAGCCCAGACCATCAGTAAATGAATGAAGCCTCTCTTAAGCCTTAATAGTCAATACATTTGTCCAATCACCCAACCCTGTTCTGTGTCTTTTTCTCCATACCCACTTTTTTTCATCCTGTTCAGGCTGTTTAACAAGCGCCTGTATAGTCTTTCTCATATCTACCAGGTGTGTCAGCCTTCTTCCTCTTTGCAGCATGTCCATTGGCTGTTGTGGGATTTACAGGCCGGGCTGGACCAGGGCTCCACTCTGCTGTTGCACAGAACTTCTCTTCCAAGGGTTCCTCTACCTCTGCTGCATCATGTACAACCTCACCTGAAATGAAAGTGCAAAGCAATATACTGTAAATAGAGCGCATAAACTTCTCATATTGCCATAGAACGTGAGTCGGCAGAGGGAAGACAAGGCAATCCAACGGTTTTTCCTAGATATTTCATAGATCATAGAAGATTTATGTGCAGTGGTTGCTCAGGAAGGAAAGTGGTGCATTATTAAAGGTATATGACTGTTCTTTGTGTTACATTTCCTAATTCATGTGTCAGAAGTAGGGATGTAACACTACACTCAATGGGGATGTAACGATATACTCAACTTTCGATTTGATACAATTCACAATACTGGGTTCACAATTGATTTATAATATGAAGTATAAAAAATATATTTAGTATAGTAAAGTATATTTTCTGCATCAAATTACAGAATCCTTTTTTTTTTTTTTTTTTCTTAGGTAGTAAATAGTGACCTCTGCTGTTGAACAGGAGTATCACAATTCATTTTACATGTCACTGATTTGAATCTTCCCAGATTTTTATCTGCATCAGTACATCAGGCCCCAGCATATGTGGGAGAAAAAACATCAAATTGTAAATGCCAACTGAAATCTACCTGTCAGGGGAGGCACCTGTCCTCCGAGGGGGTCGAGTGCCAGACATGATGGGCTCTGCTGCACTAAGGTCCCTGGGGGAAGCCGTGTGCTGTTGATCAGCACATCAAATTTAGTGCTGCGGCAGGTGTTGCTGCACACTGTGTCATGCTGGTAGAAATCTATCTGGCCTGAGTCCATCATTTTTCTGCATGAGGAGAAGCAGGTTTAAAAGAACATCACAGAGTACCCAAGAAAATATTTGTTTTACACTGTTGCAGAGGGGTTTTAAAGTATGGATTTATTCAATCCCAATAGCTTCCCAGAGGTTTGCTTGACACAAAGCCCATTGATCTGACCTCTAGAGGAATAAGATGAAAAGAGCAGATATTGCCTATTGGGCTGGTGTATTGACTCACTGTAACACTAAGAACAAGTGCAAACACGATAAAGGGGTGAGAAGTATCACTCAGCAGCTTGCTTGCGTGTTATTTGATCCTGCTATCATAATAACGCTGCTTACCGACTACCTCTGGAATGTACTGGCAAACCCCAACACAGACAGGCTCCACACAAGTGCATATTATATGAATGGCATATGACTGCAGTAGATTGAGGTGTTCAACGTCTGACACTTTAATGCCAACACAACAAAGTAATCTGAAGGACTTTAGATTTACAATTAGCATGCATGTGTCTCCACAGGAGCTTTGAGGAAGAGGACAGACCGACAAATTGTGTTTTTCTTTAATTTAGGTCTACCTGAGCATTACCCCTCCCAGTCTGATGGCCCTCTTCCAGTCCTTCAGAGTGGCTTTCCCTGCCAGGTGTACAAACTGCTTAGGACTGATGAGCTGGTCATTGAACTGTAAGAGAAGTAGGAAAGCTATTATACGTACATGGAGAGAAGAATATTACGGATATTCCATACGAGATGTAAAGATAATTGTGTCTGATTTAACAAAGTCATTCTAACTGATAAATTCATAATTCACCTTTTGATTACATTCAATCGTCAACTTACTTTGACACATCGGACATTGATTCCAGGGCACACAAACTTCTTAAAAAGCAGAATCGCCCTGCTGTCTCCACAGGTGATGGGGTAGCCGTACTCGATCTCCTCTCCTTCTGCTTTACTGTCTTCTAAAGATTACAAGCCAGAAACACAGTTGTTAAATAACAGTACAGCTTGAAATACACTGTTAATTGGATTAATTCGTGCACAGAATACATTCATTGTATTAAGTAAGTTATTGATTTTATGTTCCTTTGTGTCTGACAAGTTTAATGTCAGCAGTGAAGGGGAATATCTTTGTCACGTACCATGATGTGTCTCTATGGCCAAGACTGTAGTGCCAGTGTCAGCAATGTCATCATTTACCCTGCAGAGGGCGACAGATTTTCACATTTAACACAATAATCATTTCATGTTAGCTGATAGTTCAATAGTTCTATATTTTAGCAACAGAGTTTGTAAATAGCTACTTCTGTCTAACCTTGTTGAAAACTAAGTGTTTTCCTTTTCTCCACATAGCTTACTGTCAGATTCTTTGACTTATAAGCCTACATTAAACTGAATATGAATAGTAGTAATGTCAAAGGATGTGGGCAGGGAAGGTTTTATGTTATCAAGCTGAATATCTACCTAAACATTTATACAAATCTGTCTATATGTGTACATTTGCCTCTCTATATTGTCACACAGAAAATGCTAAACATCTATTTTGGCCTTTAATGATAAAGCCATGTTACCCGTGCAGAATTGGCTGCAGGTGCAGGATGACTTGAGTCTTATGGTTGTTGCCACTGGACTCCCCTTCCTCTTCCTTCACCGTCTGGAGATCCCCTGAAGACACAGTGACCTCAGCACCCGCCATCACCCCTCCCCACAAGAGCTGCACGCAGAGAGGGTCGAGCACGCATGTTAACATCCAGATCACACACACACGCATGCAGTGATGCTATTTAATGCATACACAAGTCAATGAAAGCTTCCCCCATCAGTCTTTTCTGGCATGCAACTGTCATAGAAATGAATCCATACTGGGTTTAAAGTGACATAATCCTCACATAGGCAGGCCTTGTTTTCCATACTACTGTTGAGAATGCACAATCCTAGATGATGGGACATAAGCTTATGGTTTTAAGTAGAACCTGGGTTATAAGGCCTGAATTGTAAATATATATATATATATATATATATATATATATATATATAAAATTATATACGTACATCCACAGTGGACTCAACAGGTGAAATGTATTATTCTATTTAGATAGAAACTCTCAAATCAGATCAGTACTGCATTATGCAACCTTGTTGCATTTAGGCCTCCACTTTTCCACAAATATGACACCAATAAAAGACCTGTTGAACAATTTCAATCTGCATCAGTGGCACCAAGTCTTATTAAGCAAATTCCAGTTGATATTAGTTTCCAGAGACAGTTATTTATATAGGCCTTAAGTATTATGTAGGCTATCCTATACAATTTCTGAAAAGCCTACAGTTAAACTATAAAGTATAAAGTACTGGCATGTCCTTAATTACTAACAATATAGTGCTGACAAATATACATCATCATAAAGACATTTTATAGGGGTTAAAATAAACTGTCCACTGGACTACTATCTATGGTCATAGCAATCAGGGAGACAAAGCAATGAAAATTCCCACCTGGTAAACAGTTACAGAACAATAAATAATACACTGCATTAATTCTAGTGTGATCCTGTTCACAATATTATTTCCTGCACTATCAGCAGCTGAGGCGTTAGATACACTGGGCGACAATATAAATAGCAGAGAGAGAAATGGAGGAGAAATTAATTCACAAACTGTCTGTTAGGATTCTTCCATGGTGGAGAAACAAAACAGGCAATCTTTCCATGCAGTGAAGAGCAGCCTACAATAAACTGATCAACATATTCCAACACTATATCAAGTAGCCCCTTTGGTGGATCACCAACTCCTACACCGACAGTTGCGTGTCTTCCTCACCCTCCTTCACCCACTCAAACTGACGTCTGTTGGTGCGGCAGCACGCACACCCCGGCCAACAACGGTGCGACGGCGCGCGCTCCACTTCCACAGAGGGTGCCCAAAAGACCACCGGGTCGACATTAAAGCTCTCAAACACACTACCTGCGACTTTAAAGAATATTGTCGTAGTTTTACCTACCGTTTTTACAGCAGGGGATAATTCATCCTCCGCTTGTCGGAGAGGCAGAAGAGCATGCGCCGTGCTGCTTCGTTACACTTCCTGCAGTGAAGGCAGCATTTGCCTGAGAAGCATCTGTCCCGCTGTCACGAGAAGCGGTTAGTTCGCACGCGATGCGTAAATCGGTCAAACTGCTCTTATGTGCGAGTGCACGGCTTTGTTTCAGCACCTCTGAGCCACGGCACTGCATATGTAGGAGGATTTCAACCTTTAGAAACACCTTTCCATCACAAAGGAAGTCGTGAAAATGTTTATTTGCCCTCCTGGTACGTTTTAGGTTCATCATAGGTACATTTTTGTTTAGTTGCCACTTGTGTGGCCCAATTGTGTTGGTGTGTCATGCAGTAAACGCTGTTCTCAACAGTTGCGTGTTGTATTGTTGTCGTTGCCTGTGTTTCACCAGAAGATGGCAGGGTTTGCACTTTGTTTGAGGACATAAATGTGGTGTTCATTGGTCACACAGAAAAGATGTTTGCAAATGTTGTTCTTCACCATATTGACGTTTGAACGCCTCATTTCACCTTTTGAGTTTATAAAATGGCCCCCATAAAGGAACATGACATTCTGAGATCCAGGTTCAGTGTTGACATATTAGCAAACGAGAGTAAATTAGTATTACTGCCAACTGCTGGTCTCAGATCAGCGCACACCTACAAGTCAGCCCTCCCCTATTTGGGAATGGAATGCCTGGGATTGTTTGATTGACACCGACGGAGAGCCAATGAGAGGTCGAGTTTACGTCTCGTGGCCAATAGTAAACAGTCAGTACTTTGTACTGGAACTTTTTACTGAAGCCAGACTCGAGACATCGGGGCTTGCACCTTACTTTTTTGCACACAGAGCTCTGGAAATCATGCTTGCAAAGTACGAAAACATCCGAGATGCTGTGAAGTCTCTTATTACCGGTTTCTGGATCACTTTTGGCGTCTGTTCCGTAGGTGTTCACGGCCAGGAGGGTAAGAAAAAGCCTCTTTTATTGACGCTTTTGATAAGATAAAGAATGTGACGCGAGAGTTTATTTCAAATATCTTAGCCTACTGCTACTACTCCTGGTTACAAGCAGCTAAAAACAGTTTATTTGAACTTAATTGTATAGTTTTGTATGTAGTAACATGGTCCTACAGCATATACCGATACAGAAGTCTTTAAAAACATCCTTTGCATCCTACCTAAGTTAGAGTCAGTCAGCATACAAACACCCTGCTATCGTTTTATACATTTTAAATGAGCAGCTATTAACTATTAATTAAATGGGGTTTGCCATTACTCTGTAATACTCTGTAATGTACACGCCCAGAAGGTTTTGACATGCTTCTACTTTTAAGATATGAACCACAATAAAGTTATATTAGTAGGCTATACAAATACTGGATCTGTTCTTTCTGTCAGTGACCAAATAACTGTATTTCCAAACGAAGTAGCTGCAAAGGTCTTCCATGTGTGTCATTGTAGCATTCTTTACATACTCTTCCCCTGTGTATGTTTACCTACTGATCCCAGCTAGCAGCTTACCTTTGCCACAGGTTGTTCTGTTTTTTTTCCAAAACAGCAGTGAGGTCCATGTGCAGTATGAATCATAGTGAACATATATACACAGACAAATAGTAAAAACAATGTTCTGCCCCACAGACTCTGACTGTAACACTCAGCCATACCATAAATCTTTTTTTGTTGATTTTTGTCCGTCTCTGGGGCTTTGGTTTCCTCACATCGGAAGATGATTAAGTCCAGGGTCAATTACTTATTCTGAATCACACTGTACTTGCTGGCAAGTATGCAAAGGGGCTGTTGGTGGGGCCAGTGTATGGGGGGGGGGGAGAGACATTTTAGCCACAGTGTTGTAACATTGTGATTGACACACAAGACAGGATAAGGCAATGTAGTGACAGGTAGCACAGGTGAACATCCTGTCTGCCAGTGTGGACCTGTAAGGGCCTGCCAGAAAAAGCCTCAAGTGGAAAACAATGTCACTGGGCTGCTTTTGATTGACTGTCTGCTATCCTGCCACCCAGTTCGGCTCCAGTCTTCTGTAATTCACCTTCTAGATTTTGTAAACTGGTCAGAACAGGCTGAACATATCCTTTTCTGTATGAAACTGGAAACAGACTGGAGACAGACTGAAGGTGAAAGGGTTCAGTGAGCGGGGGAAGATTGCCGGCCACCCAGAACGTCTCCAGCATTGCAGCCTTTTTGGCCTCCCACCGGAAGGTGACAGATCCATGCTCTGTTGCCCACGGCTACAGTATGTCGCTGTGGCATTTCCAGGGAATCCTTTGGGGGCTTGAGGAGGGGCAATAACATCCAAAGGTTTGTGGTATTAGGAGCTGAAGAGCTGTCAGGAAGTAGGGAGGGGGGAACGGCTGGTGTGATGCAGGATGTGTGTGTGTGTGTGTGTGTGTGTAACACAGGGTGAGTGGAAGGTTATCCTCCTGTTTGCCCTAAAGCAAATCTCCAGGAGCCTTATATGGAAGACAAGGACAGGAATGATGTGTAGGGGTTAGACTGACCATGGTGCCTTTTTCAGGTTTTGACCATTCTTGGAACACGTCACCACTTGACATTTTGGTTGTGGGTTTTGGGTCTGCCGCCCCCACGGCTCTCATCTCTGCGTGTGAATTGACTCATTTATTTTCTGGGACCCAGAGGTATGTTGGAGGATGTAAATATTTGTGTTTTCCGTTCCAGTTGAAGTATTAGTCACAGCAACCACCGAGGTCAAAGGATGTAATGAATCAACAGACAAGAAAATATTATTCATTGAGAAAGTAATTAAGCTTTAAAGAGTATCTTTTGCAATATATGCAGTGTACAGGTCATTGGTCTTTGGGGCTGATTACTTCCCTCACTGGCTAGTTGTGTCATCTCGCAGTTGTCAGAAGAGTATAAACATGCCCTGGTCTGCTGTGCATGTTCAGAGGAGACTTATTACTCATCTGTCCTGAAATACATGAACAAAGCCCTTAATATTATGTGGATTTAATTAAGAATGACGAAACTGTCTGCGGTTATGTGATTTTGGCTTTATTTAAGCTCAGGGTTTTTAGCTGATAACTCTCAGACAGGAACAGATGTTTTAGATTTAGACTTATTAGTAATAAAATACTTTGATATCCACCAGCTGTGTAAGAAATAAATATTTATTATTAGTCAGTCCCTGTAAAAAGGATTGACAGCATGCTGATGATGATAATGATTTATTGTCAGATCAAGTCCAAAATTCTTATTTCTTCCCTCTGCTCATGTTGTCAATAGAGCTGCTATTGACAGCATACATACATTTAACATAACATTACGACCACCAAAGACAGTATTGAACCCTTTAACATGCATTTGATCTGGGATTAAGCTCCATATTTACGTTTAGAATTGACTGGTGCACAAATGAGTGCTTCAGTCTAACCTTGTTAAATTGTGGATCCCTGTATGTCCGCTTGGATGGTAACAGTTCGTATTCACTGTTCAGGACATGGTTGGGGTCAGAGACAATGTTGTTGGCCAGCCTGAATATATTATTTAGTAGGTTGATTCATGGAGTTTCTCAAGTGGTTGGCCTTCAGTCTTTGAGCAGATTTTCATTTGGTTTAGTAGTTTTGACTTTAAAGTAGTGGACAAACATTTATACCCTATGTCATTACAATGTATCACTGAAACCAATAGGCGATTCATCAATTAGTGGATGATTAATAGACATTTTGATAATCAATTGTTGACAATTAACATTTATCCATTAACTAAATGATTATTGAGAACATAATTGACTAGATGAATCCATAATGAAAATAATAGTCACAATCCATGAACACTGTAAAGTGAATTTTGTCATCAAAACTTGTTTATAATTTACAAGAATTAAAAATGTGTGTATTACATTAATGATTTCATTTAAAAACACTAATAAGTTTGAACTTTTGCTGCTGTCAAATTGTCAGCCAGTGCTGAAAAACTGAAAATGGTTCAAATGGTTAAAACTACGACCACCTTTTGTGAAAAGGTTATTGACACCATGTGACTCTTCATTAGAATGTGGCCTGCACTTCATTTTATGATGAAACTGTCCCTAAACATGTCCTAATGTGTGATTTATTTTATGGTACTATCTTATCCCTTCACAGCCTCCCTATTGTACTTGTATTGTTTCAGGTAATGGCTGTGGACATACAGTGCTGGGCACAGAGTCTGGCACGCTGGCCTCTCAGAACTATCCCGGCACTTACCCCAGTAACACCTGGTGTAAGTGGAGGCTCCGTGTGCCACAGGGGCGCTCGCTTCGACTTCTGTTTGGGGATTTTGACATTGAGAGCAGTCCAGGCTGCGGCAATGGCTCTCTTGTGATCACAGACAAGAACGGAGAACCCAGTCTGGGTAAGCTCGCTCGCCGCTGATGGCATACAGTTTTTTTTTTTTTTTAAATGCAGGTTAAAACAGAAGTGCTCTCATGTCTCCCTTTCTGAAAAGACCCGCTGATAGACTTTTTATGTTCCGTGTCATTACTGACGTTCACCCAGCCGTGATTGTGGAACACACACAGGATGCCATTCCACTGACACACTGACAGGAGAGGCAAACCCAATTTCACAACAGACATTATGTACGTCTTTCAACCAGGTGTATCAAGTCGTGTCTTGAGGACATAAAATGCACCAAAATGAGGCTCGAGAGATTCAGGAGATAGAAATATTCTGTTATGCTTGTGTTTATTATCGGATTCCCTGGAACTCGGCTCGTGATTTCTTTTTGTTTGATGGGGAGGTGTTCTTACATGCAGATTTTCCATGTGTCTACACAGCTCTGCTCTTTACTGTATAGCTGTAGGTATGGGATGCAAACATGACAGGAAAGCACTAGTAGGGTTAGACTGAATCACCTACATCTGTTGGTATATGCTGACAATATTCCACTTTTCAAGAATGTAATATGTTGTGTGTGCTGGCGCCTGTATACAATAGTAATTAAAATCAACATTTGCGTTTGTGTGATTTGTAGTTTGTGGGTCTGCGTGTTCACAGGTCCAGTGTGTGGGAAGCTTGATGTATCACAGAAGAATGTGACGCTTAAAACCAATGAAGTGACAATAAGCTTCAAGTCAGGCCCGCACCGATCTGGACGAGGGTTTCTACTGTCCTACGCCACAGATCAGTATCCAGGTATGATATTTGTAATGGGTTGATTACTATTTGTGAAGGGCATACATAGTTATAATAAGTATGTGACTGTTGTTGTCTGTGGTCACATTGCTGTTGTATTGTTACTGTAGCTGAGCACGAAGCTCAGCTTTACGACTGCCCAATTTGTAGTTTGAATTAAATTTTAAAAAATTGCTCATTTACAAGTTTACACTGGTGTCATTTCATCTTGTGAACATTTGTCCTTGTGCATGTGCGCTTGTGTGCTGTTTGTGTTTGTGTGTGTGTGGTTGTGAGTGCATGAGTCACTTCTTATTGGCATTCAACCTCCATCGCTATCTTTGCTCCAGCGTGTTTGCTCAGAAAGCAGGAGTCCTCTCTCAGGCTGAATGGAGTGAGGCCTCAGGCTTCAGTCTGTAGCTTGGAGTGAATTTCTTTTACACTCCCCCTCCTCTTTATCAGCCCGTTAACCACTGAAAGCCCACCACCATCCTGTGTTTGTCGCAACCCAGAGGCTGTTGATATAGCCAAGTCCACATATTTGAACTCTCCCTACCGATGCAACAACAGGTTGTAACATGTGCACATACGTTTATTTAGGAATTTAAATCCAAATTTAATGTTTCTAGATTGTACAGATTAAATAACAGTATGATACAAAGGTTATGGTTCATCCTGTTCATCCTTTTAATAACCGTGTGTTCTTGTTTAGTCTGCATGCTAGTCTATACTTAGAGATAGTTTCCTTTTCTTTTTCTCTGCATGTCATCTGTATTGTACTGTATGTATCATAGTTTCCTGTTTTTTACTGAGTTGTTTATGGAATCCAGCAGTGTCTGGAGCTAAGCCCATGTCCAGACATACAAACCACTGTCTGTTAACTGTGATCACACTAGGGGCCATTCGCTGTACTCGTGAACTGTGACAAAGTCACAGTAACAAAGGCTTTAGTCACATCAACAACAGTGATGAGCGCTCATCCCCTAATATAGCACACTTAGAACATGTCTCACACAGAATCTGTTTGTGTGTGGTTGAGTGAATGGGGGGTGGTGTTACGTAACCCTGAGATACTGGATCCCACACCGTTCTATTCAAGTCCACCAATGCACACTATTCAAGAAAGTTTTGATTAATTTAGTTTAATTCTCAATTTTTAATACACCCCTTTCTGTTTGGATGTCACAGATCTAATTTCTTGTTTACAACGAGGATCTCATTTTAGCTCGCAGCATTTGAGGTAAGTGGTTGACCTCTACATTTCCCGTCATAGAATCTGTTTCAGGACAACAGGATTGTGTCTCATGTATTTCTGATGTTCCTCAGTGTGTACTGCCCTGCTGGATGTAGGAATGTCACAGGAGATGTTTGGGGAAACTCTGAACTGGGTTACAGAGATGTAAGTAAACCCTGTTTTATTTAAAGCTGTATTATACTTTTATGAGCAAGTTCTGATTCGAATGAATGTATGATAGCGCTAAATATGTCCTTTCCCTTACAGACCTCGGTCCTGTGCAAGTCTGCAGTCCATGCTGGTGCTGCATCTGATAGTCTGGGAGGTCATGTCACTGTGAATCGTGGGAGAAGTCTTACACTCTATGAACCATCCTTTGCAAATGGAATCCTTTCAAAAATGTGTGTCTGCTGTATATTCGTTCAAAAGTTCAAAATGAGAGATTGCACTAGTGTCATAGTTGCTGTTGCTCAGAATTAGTTAATTCTATGTAGCTGACCTTTTAACTCTCCTCTTTTGACAGGGGTTCATTATCTGAAAAGAAGCTGCTCTTCAGCAAAGGTACGTTCAAGACCTGACATTTATCACTACATGTTAGAATTTTTCAAAGGCCATACCCAGTGTTTGTGCATGTTTTAACCCATTCACTATAGGTAACACATTGTTTACATTCCTGCTTCTTATTTCTCAAGAATATTCCTGACATCCATAAGCTTCCATTCCTTTCACTATAGTATACACTTGTTTATTTATGCAATTAATCACAGTGAAAATCCTTCAGCAAAGAAAAGTTTGGCAGTGAAGTATACATCATTTGTAGTCAAGTGGGTTAATGTTGCTGTTTTTAAAAACACTCTGGGACACATATTGAACCACTTTCATTGGTCCATCCTTTCCTCTGGTCCTTGAACAGAATGCAACAACATCCTGAGTGTCTCTGGTTTAAATGCCTCATCTTTCTGGGATAAAAACAACCATCAGCACACAATGCTCTGGTCCTCCAGAAACATGGGTTCCAGCCGTGAGTTCCTACCCTGGACAGCCGGCAGTAATGATCAGGACCCGTGGGTGGAGCTGGAGCTGAGTGATAGAAGCACTATCACAGGTAAACATATATATATATATATATATAACATATAACATATGCTTACTTAAAATATTTGTAATATACTTTCATGAAGCAGTTTGAAGGATAAGACTGACAGTGTTCTATATTTTTCCTATTGTCAATAAAATACCAAACACTGAACAATGAATTTATCCAATTAAGAAGCGTTATGTTTGTATCCAAAGCTCTATGTAGGTCATTCCTATGTGTCACTGACGTCCATTGTTGTCAAAAAATGAATAAAAATGCAGCAATGAGCCACATTTGTGCACTGGTGTTCCATGCACATGGCCATAGTAATTGTTTTTTACTCAGTCCCACAAACATCATCCTGCTGCCAGAAATACTCGCCATACTCTAATGTTTAACAAAAGAAAACTTTGTGCTCTGTGTTAATTTTCAGGGATAATAACAACAGGATCCGACGAGTACTACATAGAATCCTACATTCTTCTTTTCAGCAAGGACAGGAAAAATTGGAAGCTGTACAAAGGTGCCCTCAGCAAAGAAAAAAAGGTATGCATTGTACTGTGCTCACTGATGTCCACTTGATGGTTGTTATTGAGGCCAACAGAGTTTACACTGTAGGCTTCCTGGTGTTCTCTGTGAATGAGTAACTTGGTTGTTATGGTCCCCAGGTGTTTCAGGCCTATACCGACGGCCACCTCAGGGTTGTCAACAGCTTTTTCCCTCCTGTGGTGGCTCGGTTTGTCCGCCTACAGCCACTGAGCTGGCACGACCGAGCTTCAGCTCAGGTCCAAGTCCTCGGCTGTTCTGTCTCACCAAGGTCACGCCCAGCCACTGGTGGGTATTCTCACTGCATATCCAGAATAAACTTAATCTGTTTACATGATCTTTATGGCAGTGTGAAGTCATATTTGTACTTCTAACAGGCTCTCCGTCCATCAAAGTTAACATGGGTACGCCACGCCCGAGCCCCACTCCCACTCCCACGGAGGGCCCAGTGTTAGTGGAAACAAGACTGAGTATGTATTTGTATCCACCTTGTAATTTTAACATTTTTACAATGAGGTTTAATGCCAGTCTATTTTAGCAAGAACACATGTCAAATCAGTAAAAACAATGCTCTACTTTCTCTCACATTCACCATTGTGTGCGTTGTAATAAACTGCATTCCTTCCTCACACCTGTACAACTGTTTACTCACTCTGACTCTTTCTGTCCTGCAGGTTCTAGTCAGCCAGTAATCGTTGCAGTGGGAGTTGTCCTAGCGCTGTTAATGTGTGGCAGTTGTTTGTTGGCTGGAGTCTGGTGGAAGCGGAGGTACTTTATTTTAATTATTTTGACCTTCAGAATTAAAAGTTTCCACATACTATAACTGCAACTGATTTATTGTTATTTATATAATTGTAACTGTCAATTTATATTAAAAGCTGTTATTTTATGTATGCCTGAGTACATTTGTGGACTGGCACTGGTTGATGATGATTAGGGCTGCAACAAAAAATTATTTTCATCATTTATTTATTTATTTGCTGATTCTTTTTTTGATTGATATTTTTGGCATTTCGATAAATTGACTAATTGTGTCAGCTCTTGTTGCAATGCTCCGGTAGTCATAGCAACAGTATCAAGTATGTACAAAACTTTAACGCTTCGTGTTCATCTTCTCCATTATAGGAAAAAAGATTCACAAATGAAGTACTCCTTACCCACAAGTAAGTCAAGTGCTCTTTGACCATTTAATGGCATTTTTTGTTTCGTTGTTAAAAAGCCTCTTGACTATGTGTGTTTTTGTGTCAAGTAGGCTGTCAGAGTTTCCAGGCAAAGAGTCTCCCCTGCCCACAATCAGAGCTTATCTCCTACCCTCTGGAGAGAAATGCCCACGATGCTCTACCCAGCCCTCCCCTTAATGGTGAGAAATATCTTTTCACTGATGCACCTCTGTTTTACTACCGTTATCAGCTGCTGCCTTGTTGTTTTTTTCATGGCCCATTCAGAGTTTACTAGTGATCTCAAGTTGTGAGCTGCCTTCCCTCCTCCATGTTTCTTGCTCTTACAGTCTCTGGCTTCAGTGGTCAGTTTGAGGAGCTCATGCCAGGCCTGACAGGCAACCAGCTCTCTCCACGGGCTGTCCATTCTTTCCCTTGGCTCAGCCCATCACCCAGTCGCAGTATAAACATTCCTTTCTTTGGTCCATGGAGCCTCCCTGAAAGAGACCCTTTAATTGGAGCTCGATAAAGGGCGCTGAGCCTCTCCCCCCCCACCACCACCAGCCCCCCCCAGTAAGGGGGCCCTTCACTGAGAGGTCCAGTGATAAACAGGACAGAGGGTCAAACCTAAGACAATCAAAGCCCTCACTAAAGCCTGTCTAATTAAAATAGCTCTGGCTCTGAGGCTCCCTATGGGCTCTTGAGTAAGGTCTAGGCCTCCCACACCACTGCCTCTTCTGCGGGGGCGAGGTGTAGTTTCTGGTCGCGTCTGAGTGCTACGCTGTCTGCCCCCGTCCTTGTGATTAGAGGAGACATTGTTGGTGGCCAAGCAGCTCATGCAGGGACTCATCATTGGCCTGGTATGAGACTGCTATGAGCAGAAAAGAAGCATTTCCCAGAAAGTGCTGTGTAAGATACAAATATGCAAATTATCCTTTTTTCCTCTTAGTGAAAGGATGCTGCTACGTGGTAGAGCAGTTTTGTTTTGACCCATTTAATGTCATTTTCCCCATTTTTTATCACAGTAATGGAGTATTACTGGAGATTCAGCAGTATATTTTAAAGCTCATAAATTGTCTGATATTTTCTTGCCATACTGTCCGATACTGATGCTAATATGCATTTTGTAAGAGTAGAAGATGTATAACTAAAATGGATAAAGCTTTTCTGTCATGCCTGTTTCTAAATGTGTGTAGAGATTCATTCTTGACCTTAGAAAAGCACATGCTGTAAAATAAGTCCAAACTCAAAGGATGCTTACTTGTGTAGTGTAGCTATCCAGACACTATCAGCTCATAGGTTGTGAGATACGTTACTTTTAATTGTTAATGAGATTATACTTATGGCTACTTAATTTGATAGCTATATTGGGTGACGTTGATGGATTCAATCAAACGTATTTACAGGGGAAACTTGCAGTTGAAGGTTTCTTTCGTAGGAGTGTCTTGTTTACAGGGATATGTAAAATAAGTTGCATCATAAAGCACTCGCAACCAAAAGTCATCGCTACAAGGTAACAAATCAATGGTAACAAGGACAAAGTAATCCATTAAGACAATCACATTCAGCTGGTAATATCTTCACTAATTAAGGCAAACTGTGAGAAACTTGCAATAAATACACTTAGAGAGTAAACGTTAAATGAGAAGATTGATACCACTTTCATATCTGGCTGTTAATAAAAGTGTGCAGCCGGTAGCTTAGCTTAGCACTAGAAACAGGAAAACTGCTAGCTTGGCTCTGGCCAACAGCAAGAAAATCCACCTACCAGCACCTCCAGAGTTCTCCAGTTAACACATTATTTCTCATTTGTTTAATCCGTACAAAAAGTGTAAGTGTGAAAACAAATGTGTCACTTTACAAGGGGTCACTTGCTGCACTTTTTCTTGGCTGGCACAAGTTAAGTTACTTCGTGGAGTCTCCGCTGGTTGCCAGGCAACTGTTCAGAGCTGACAGTACCCATGTAAATGATAGTACCACAAATTGAAAAAATATATGTAATATTAATACTGGACTGGTTTTTGGTGGTGATTTTAGCTGATACCCATGCCAATGTTTGTTCCATCTCAAATTAATAGAATTACTATCTCATACTGGCTTTGACTCATTGTTTTATTTTTTCCAGACTATGCCGAGCCTGCTGTTGCAGCTATTGGACAGAAAGTTGGGTCAACATTTAGACCCTCCTCAGATGAGGGCTACACCACCCCCTTCACTTTCAACCATTATGACACTCCTGGTAACCTGCCAGAATACGCAGAGCCTCTTCCCCCGGAGCCTGAGTATGCCACCCCATTCAGTGAGCAGCTTTCTGAGTCACACGGACCTCCTATACTCGCACCGACGGCTGGTACCAGGACAACATCCAGCCACGCTCAGTATGACTGCCCGTCACATAGGATGCTATCCAATGGCTACTGCACTCCCGCTCTACATGCCAGTGGCCCACGACCAGTCAGTGTGGTCTACGCTGAGCCCAAGCCATGTGACTCTTTATTACGCAAGCACACATACGAGGAGCCCATGTGAACACAGAGAGCTCAGACAAGAAGAATAAAAAGACTCTCCTGGGCTAAAATGTGTGTTGATACTAGAGGACCACTTTGGGTGATCTCAGGTGGACACTAAGTTGGACAGTGTTGTCCAGAGTGTACTAATTCTGACAGCTGAACGTCCAGTGAGTGATGTACCCAATGTTGAGAAGTCACTTTGGACCACTATGCATATATGAGGGTACACCATTCAGTACACAATGGTTTGAGAGCCATATGGATGCAAACGTTTCCTTCCAGGAAGTATGAAAACATCCTGTGAAGCACAAAGAAAAAGAAGGTTCAGTCGTCGTGTCTCAGAGATACTGTTTATTGATGAAATGTTTAATCACAAGCTGCACTTTCAGAAAACACATACAGCAATGTGTGTCTATTTAACAGGTTAATGCAAAAAAAAAGTGTATTAAATGTTACTTGTCCTGACAAAACATTGTATTCACAATGTGTAATTTCAATATGTTTTGTAAACAGAAAACATTTAAGAAGCACTCAATTGTACACTGTAACTAAGTGGTAAAGATTGTTGCTATGATTATGTGTAACCACTAGGTGGCTCTCTTGAGCTTTAAACATTTAACAATAATGTGATTATTTGTCTGCTGGTTCTCTTTCCTCAGATAATTGTTACATTGTCCATTTCTAACACACACAGTAAAGTAACAAACACTGGTTTAAAATAAATGCTTGGATTATAGTGTAATACACAAAGGCACAACAGGCAAGGGGGTGTTGTGATTAGGATGGAGGACTTTACTTCACATGGACAAGAGCCCCCATGGTTCAACCTACTGCAGTATCCTTGAGCCAGGCACACATACCTCAACCGAACTCCAGAGCTGTTGTCATGTTGTTGCCCACCAGAATTAAAAATATTTTTTGTTTCCTCTGCTGGGTTAAGAGTATCACAAAAACATAACATTAAAAACAATCCCAGCATCCTTCTTGTTTTTTGTTGGGCTTTTGCCGCTGTGCAGAAACTTTACCACAAGTGACAAACACTCAGTAAAATTAACTCCTTATTTCATACTTACTTAATTTTCTATGCCATGCAAAGTCCACTGGATTGTCTTATATTTTGTAAGGGAAATAAAGGTATTAAAAATATTAAAGAACGTAATTTAAATAAACTTATATGACTGTTGTTGTTCACACTGATAATCTTTAGAGGCAAAATACAAAATAACATAGAAAACTGTACTTTTTCCTATTAAAAGGCAGTACGTATAATAATATTCAGGTGGCAGTGGTAGTCCTCCAATACATCTGAAAATGTTCCTAAAAGACCCTAAAAAATGTCATTTGTTGTGCCACATTTAGCGATCAGTCTGCGAACCTCTTCCACTGCTGAGTAAGGCACAATAAAACAACTGTATTAAGAAATATACTTTAGAAGTTGGTTTTAAGGTTATTTTTAAGATCGACTTACACCCTGTAGCAGAGATGAATCTGCACAAACAGGGAAGTGGACACCTCGCTAGAGAAAAAAGTCAACCAATCTGAACTTCTATCAAATCAGAAATCTCTGCTTGAAAACCCTTCATGGTGTTACAAATTTGCAAATGAAAAACTACATGAAAATCTATATAACAGCTTGGAAGTGAAGCTATATCAACTTAAAATGTAATAAAAAAAAAAAAGAGTAATAACACTTAACTACAGAGTATATTTCACACAAATGATTTCAACACTTTTTTAAACTTATTTACTCTGTGGTTTCCACATTCGTTTATGTTCAGCCTGTTTTTAAATGAACCAACATTAATTCACTCTCCACCGTTATCATGGACCCTCTCGTTTGTGCTTAACTCTTTCCTCTGGCCCTCCTCCTCCTCCTCCTCCTCCTCCTCCTCCTCTCTCCCCTCAGAAGAGTAGTGCATCAGAGTCTGGTGTCTGTTCCTGGACGGGGCATCCTTAAAACACAGGCCACAGTCTTCACATGCGTACAGAAGCCCCTCTCTGTTACTGCCTGGATTGGCTCCCTCTGACTGAGATTTGCCCTCGTTGCTGCCGAGCAGAGTCGAGCCGGGATGAGCAGCAGTTGACACAGGGGAATCTCTGGAATTTGGAGCGGTCTGCGAGTTGCTATCCGGGCTGTTGGGTGTGTTCAGCCCAACACCGGGCAGAGGAAAAGTCCTGGGACGCCCAGGTGGATAACCACGGCCTGCTGGTCCCCGAGTTGCACCCCCAGCTCCAGCTTCTCCAGTGTGCTCGGGGGCCAGGCCGTGGACTGTGCGGTAGTGAAAGCGGATCCCAGAGCGGTTGGAAAAGCCTTTCCCACAGAGGCTGCAGATGAAGGGCCTCTCTCCTGTGTGGATGCGGGTGTGAATCTTAAGAGCTCCGGACTGGGTGAAACATTTCCCACACTGGCTGCAACGGTAGGGTTTCTCTCCCGTGTGGGTCCTCTGATGGGCGCGGACCCCTGCCAGATGGGGAAACCCCCTGCCACAGAATCCACAGGAGTACGGCCTTTCACCGGTGTGAATGCGCCTGTGGATCTTCAGTGCCCCCGACTGGCTAAAACTCTTCCCGCAATCGGAGCAGGAGTAGGGCCGGGCGCCGGTGTGCACATTGAGGTGTATGCGGAGGTTGCTGTGTGAGTTGAAGGTCCTGCCGCACTCCGTGCACAGAAAGCCAGCTGGTTTGTGGGCGTGCTCAGCGCGCTGGTGCTGCAGCAACTGAGATGGTCTGGAAAAAGAAGCAGAGCAGTGCATACAGGGGTGTAGCGACAACATGCTCGTAGCCGCCCTGCCTCTTTCCTCTTGCTGCTGAGCAGGCGTTTGTCTGTGCTGGTGGTGGCACACCTGGGTGCAGGTGGGAAAGGACCGCTGGCAAGGCAAGCAGGGAAAGGGGGCAGAGATCTGTGGAGGATGGGAGTGGGCAAGCTGAGGGCAGGGTAAACAAGAGGTTACAGGGCAGTGGTGGTGATGAAAATGATGATGGGCGTGGGTGTGGGAAAACGGGGAGTCTGCACCTTCCTGGTGGCTCAGGATCTGGCTGCAGGTCTGGAGGCTGCGATGGCAGCACAAGCAGGGAAACATAGAGACGTGGGACAAGGAGGACGCTCTGGAAGGTGGAGTGTCGGAGTTGTGGTCTGGGCTCCGAGTCCCTCTGTCTGCCTCCTCCCTCTGCAGTCGGCTGGTCGTCGTACTCTCTGGCTCGGATCTGGCGGTGCTGCTGCTCGGTTCGGTGTCCGGTAAGTGGTGGCATACTGCGTCCGGGCGTGGCGGCGAGGACAAAGACTGTCTGGGTTTCAAAATCTCAAAGGAAGACGGGGAAGTGGAGTAAGGGCAGCCGGGGCAGGTGCAGGCATAATGCAGATCTAGGCATACAAGAAACATGAATTAGAATCACACAAATACTATGAACATCTGCACAAATGAATAAATAAATAATAATGTTTATTTCTGAGCTCTAACCTTCTCTCCTGTCTCTGGTCTCTCGCTTCCTCTGTGGCGCCCCGGGCTGGATCTGTCGGCCCGGCTCTGTCTCTGACTTATCCCGGGTAGGTCTGGGTTGTTGTAGAGGTTCCAGTGAAGCACCTTTGAACCCCAGAGCCTCACCCCCGCCACCGGCAGCAGCCACGCCCCACGCCGCGTTTAACACATCTGGCTGATCCTTGGAGGCGTTTCCAGATGTGATGAGGTCAATGAACTGATGCATCTCCATCCAGGAACACTGACCATGCTGTAGGAAGTACAAGGCAGAGTTGGCACAGTCTTTTTTTTTTTTTTTTTTTTGGTGTTAAGAATAAGCAAAAGTGAAAAGGCTTAATCGCTGCTTGACTTTAGCTGAACACACTGGTTTCTCTCAAAATCCACTGATTCAAATGTCGTCTACTTACAATGTCGCTACACTTGTCTTTGTCCATGAATTGAAACAAACGCTGGTGCTGTCGCCAGATCGACGGGTTAGCTTTATACGAGCGGCTTCAATATGGCAGACACTGGGCTTCAAAACAACCAGAGCAAGAAATACTGCACATGTTCTTTATTAGATGATAACAGCTCCACTGCGTCCTGATCCCGTTAAAGCAGCTCGTCACCTAGCAGACTTTGTATTTCCGGGTTCTCCGATCATGTGACTAGTCTTCCTTTTTTTTTTTTTTTTTTTAGGCCTTCTTCTCGCTTAAGACATATTCACTTAAAAAATATCAAAACGTGTCAACGAAACGTAAAAAGAAGTACAAAATATTTTTTAAAATAACATTAAGTAATACAGGCAGATAAGCTGATAAAGCCCTTTTGTTAATAGCAGTTCTAAATCTAAATAATATGTTATTTTAAGAAAACAGAGAGGAGCTGTTTATATCCAAAAACCTTGCATCTAGGAATATGGTAATTGGGAAATAATGACATTTAGGCTGCAAGGATGTTTATTTTTTGGATTTGTGAAAGTTATAGAATCCCGATATCACATTGTGGTAATACAGAGAGAAATGGCTGCCATTACTTTATTATCAATAATAAATCAGCAAACTTTTACTGTAACATTTGTTGTGTGAGAACAAACCTAAAAGTGTAACAGTGTATCAGAGTATTTTAATCCTTGCTAACGTTTTGTTTTTTCTAATTAAGAACAACCAAATTGTTTCATTATCACTATAACTAGACACGAATTAAATGCCCTTAAAAGTACTATACAGTAAGGCTTTCTGATGTGTCAACTCTTTCTGTTTAATGATAATCTGCTAAATATGATGGGATATCCCTGTGAAAGCAGGACATTTTACAACAAAAGTGTTTATTTTATTGTCTAGTCCAACCTGTTTCCTTAAGGGAACCTTTTTCTATCATTAAGTAAACTTAAAATCAAGAAGGCCTTGCAACCCCGCGTGAGGTTTTGGCGACCCATTGTAGGGGTCCCGACCCCCAGGTTGTGAACCGCTGCTTTAGTCTAACTATCTCTCTCTAGTTTGACCAAAAAGGATCAAAGTCAAGAGTGAAGCTTCCTGTTCAATCTGTGGATACTGAATCTGTGGATGTGTCTTTGTTTTCCTGTTAAAGGAGGTCTCTACGCATATGTGGTGCAGTGTCATACTATTTAAATAAAGTTTTTTTACACTGTCTCTCTCATGCACACACACAAACAAACACACGAGGCGAGAAATGAACAGTTCTTGTATCAAGGACTAATGTTTATTTGCCTTTAGAAAAAACATCAAAAGATACCTGCAGAATATGAAGATTCAGCAATGTAAAGAACAAGGTGACAGAATGTCGTTATTGATCAGTACCATTATTTGCATAATTGTATACAAAATGCACATTATTTCAAGTTCTCAGCTGAACACTAAGAAATCCAGTGTTTTCATTCCAAATACACATTAATAAAACTAAGGATTCAACTTCTCAACACAAAAACTAAACTAGTGTATAAAAAAAAAAAGGTAGAAATCTGAATATTTTTTATAATAATAATAATATTGCATAGGCTTCATGACTATTACAGTACCACTTTGCTCTGGTGCTCCAGCCAAAAGCTTTACCCAAAATGCAAATAGGACAAATGCCACAATAAGCAAGAGCTTGGAATGCTGTTTAAATTACAAAAGAAACAAAAATCCCTCTGACTCTAAAACAAAAGTCACACAGTCGACTGCTAGAAAGACACTGAGTTTCTTCATAACATAAGAAAAAGTAGAAAAACTGCATTGCCATATAATGGTATGATGGTACATATACTGATTAGACAGAAATATATAGAATACTGTACATACTGTACTGAACAGTATTAGTTCTGGCTGTAGAATAACACCTCCATATTTGGTTTATGTGGCTACAGATACAGCAAAACAGTGGGTGTGTCCTCCAGTAGGGGAATGTGACAACAGATGCAGTATTAATCTTTTTTTATTTTGCCCTCATTTAAAATGTTACGTTTGTCTACATCAGCATTAGTAGCCCTTGAAACATCGACCTCCCTCTTAATTTCTCTCTCTGTCAGCTGACAAGATCTTGATGACCACAAATCAAAATCAGGACCCTGAGGCTGAGGCTCGCTCTTAATGTCTATTATTAGTCCGGAGGATGTTGTACTAACATTAGGAGGAGAGCGATCCTCTCCTGGATTTGGTTTAACAGTTGCTTTGCTTTGTCTTTTGGTGCTTCCAGCCTCTCCTGAGATTTCAAATTCTTCTGGCTCACTTTTAACGGGAAGAAGAGGAATGTTGCTCAGGGGAGATTTAGATGAGTTACACTTATTAGACAAATCCAGAGGTGCTTCACATTCTGGATCCCGTTTGATCCCGGTTACCAAATCCAGGGGTGCATTTAGCGGTAGTCCAAGGTGTTGAGGGTGGACCTGCGCAGCTGGACTTGGTAGTGTCGGAGAGACTGCACATGGGAGCGTCAGGCCCGTGCTTTGAGTCGGACAGACAGGAAGAAACAAGACAAGTTTAACACCTGGAGGTGGCTGTTTGTCGAGGGTTAGCTTCCACAATCCATCTGGTGGACCAGAGCCAGCACTCTCTGTCACAGGTCCTGGACTAGGAGAATCCTTCTCTAGTGCAGCAGGCTGAGTGACTGTGTTTGGTGGATTTGATGAGTCTGGTTTTGTTTTGAGCTTTTTTGCCTCCGGTGAAGAGCTCTTTGAGGCTTGGCGTTTTTTGGGAGCACTCTAAAATGATAAACACAACAAAAACAACCCCAGTCACTCAATGAATTATACAAAATACAAGTGTTACATGTCAGTAGAATCAAGATAGAAAGACCTGAAACTTAAGCTTGCGGTAGGTTCTTCTTCTAACGTCACAATACAGTGCGTTTGCAACAGGAATTGTCTCATAATCCCTGTGTTACTGGATGTTTGGCCTTCACTGTGCTGAATCATGTATGTGCATTTTGACACTAGAAGGCCGTTTTCACATTTCCCTGCTGAAGGGAAAAGTTTCCCTGTGCTTACCTTAAATGTGTGAACCGCATGAGCATGATTTTGTGAAAACTAGTTTTGAAGCCAACCGTGGTCATGGTGCCTCTTGTTTTCAAGTTCTCAATTGGACTTTTTGTGGAAAAACTATAGATACAATTTATTATTTGAACTAGAGCATTTGTTACGTCTTGAAACGTGTCTCTTGTCTTAAGACAAACCGTGTGCAATAAAACACTGCTGTTGAGGTGCCAACTCAAATTTGGGTGTTGGGAGTTTGTGCTCTCACCTTCAGTACTGAAGCCGATGACATGCGCAGTTAATGATTACCTGACTCAAGCAATTTACATTGTTGTCATTCATATTGGATGTCTATCATGATGGACTGAAACCAACAGCTGCCAGGAAGCTAGGAGCTCAATTAAAAAATGTATACTTAACAGATTAAATTAACACCCCTAGAAAGTCTTGTTTTGGCTGATCTCCAGTAGTTTAACTTGTCACCTTGCTGCAGTGATTTACAGGTGGACTCTAGGACACAGTGACATCACTGCTGGCTGTTGTTACAGATGCAAAGTTGGCTTCTGACCACACTCCACCTTCCCCTTCATGCTGTACGCCCAGAAAGGGAAGTGAAATACTGGTTTTCAGCCTGGTATTAAGTTCACCTTTAACTAAATGGGTGTCGGTCATCTTTAGTATTATTTATTGGACAAACAAAAATATTCTTCCTTTTAAACCTATACTGTACATCACCATAATGCTCCACACTCACCGCAGGCTTGGGTGTTTGTCCACAGGTCTTAAGGTGGCTGTCATAGTTCTGCTGGTGGGGAAAGCCCAGTCCACAGCTCTGACAAAAGCAGGGCGACTTGCCGACATGACCACCCATGTGGGACATCAGCAGCAGGGCCGACCGGAAGCCCTTTCCACATTCTGCACATTTCAGCACCCTCTGGTGAGCCCCGGCATGTTTCTTCAGCTCCTCCGAAGTGTCAAATTTCTCTCCACACTCCAAACACCTGATCTCATCCCCTTTAGGCTCCTGATTGCCCCAGCAGCCCGTGTCCTTTTTGTGCTGCTGAAAGTCCGCCTCACTGAGAAACTCTCGCAGGCACGCCACGCAGTGAATGCGTTTGGGTTCGCACTTGTGTTGGCGGTACAGCTTTGCCAGGCGGAAGTGCCGGCGGCATCGTACACAGGTGTAAGGCAACAGGCCGAGATGGGAGAAGCTGTGTTTCAGGAGAGCATTCTTTTTAGTAAAGGTCTTTGTGCAGTCTGTGCATTTAAAGCTGCGATGGCACGTCTTCTTCCGGTGGCGTGCGAGGGATTTTGAAGAGGAGAAATTGCGGCCACACACTTCACATACAACGTTCAGCATACATTTGTGTAACTGCACGTGATATTCACACTCCTTCAGGCACGTGAACACACGTTTGCACAGGTCACACTCGTAAAACTCGCTCTCAAAGTGAGTTTTCGACAAGTGGTCTTTCAGATCTTCCTGTGATGCAAAGCCCTTTAGACAGACACGGCACAAGAGAGGATCCACTTTGGTCTGGGCGTGTGTGCGCAGGTGGACCCGGTAGTTGGAAATCTGGCAGAAGCGCTTTCCGCATTCAGCACAGCAGTACGGGCGCGCCCCAGTGTGCAAATTCATGTGGTCCTCGAGCTTGAATTTGGAGGGCAGCTGGTGATCACAGACACTGCAGCGGTAGTAGCCTGAATGACTCGACTCTGTGGAAGAGAGAGAGGGAAATTAAAAGTATGCCAACTGAAGAAAGGTAGATGATGACGGAAGATGTAAACTCAGCACAGCAGGCAGGAGGAAAACTGAAAGAGATCATTATATTATAAATAATTATTATTATAAAAAGTTATTAGATATGTACTAATTTGATAAAAGGTAAGGCTGCCAATAATCTATTTTTATATTGTAAACAAAAACAAATTGACATTAAATTACAGCAAAGTCAAAGTGAACGCGTCGTACCATTGTTTAGTCCTTCCTCGTCATCCTCTTCCTCATCAATCTCTTCTTCCTCATACACCCCTGAAACCTCGCTGTCATCAGAATCATCCTCCACACCCTGCTGCTCCGTCGTTAGATCCTCTGGCAGAGTGTCTGCACCCTCTACATCTGTCCTCCTGCTGTCCTCCTGTTCCCTCTGTAGCAGGTCTGTGGTTTCTGCTCCAGCAGCAGGATCATTCACCGTGGGCTCCGGCAGTCCGAGAAGCGCTGTGCCTCTGTCGCACTGCTCATCCTGTATGCTTTTTGCAGGATTTAGGGGCTTACGGGGCGACGTCTCTGACAGAGATGATGCTCGTTCTGTACTTGAGGTCTGCTTTGCTGCACCTGCTTCTTTACCATCCGCTGTCTGCTGGCCTCGGACCAGCAGCCTTCGCTTGTGTGCGGTTGAGAGTGAGGAGTGGCTGGGTGAGACTGAGTCATCAGGTGATGTGGAGCGACAGGGTGTCTCCCTGACAGAGGTGTCCGGCTGCAGGATGCCCGGAAATCCCAACTCCGTTAGCTGGATATCAATGGTGTACTCAATGGACATGACTGCTGGCTGGAAAAGGCAACAGGAGTCAAACACAGACAGGAGCAGCCTAGCCTGTTGACATTATCATACACACTTCAAAGTTTAGACACAAAAACGCAAAATGTATGTTTATTAAAAATTCGACATATAATATAATGATACATATCTATTTGGTCTTACCTGTCGAGCGACTACATCTGTGGCTCTGCTTCTGGGTCTTCGTTTGTTGCTTATACAGCCTGGAGGACAACTTCTCCATGGACATCCATTGATGACACACCTTAGTGCTGTTCACCTCGCTCACCTGGCCGCAGGAACTCAAGTCCTGTCTTCTTCTCAACAATTAACGCGAGAAAACAAGCTGCACCCTCGGTGTTTGCTTTTCCCGGCAAAGAATAAATAAAGAGACGCAAAAAAAAAAAACACCTTAAAAAAGATTCGCCAACAGGACGCGAGAGCAGGGATAACAATTAGCCGATAAGCTAGCTACCATGCTACAAACTCACACAACCCGATGGTAAATAAGGGTTGGGAAAAAAAGGGAAACAAATGAAGCGATACGAGCAGAGGATATTCCTGTGGACGCTACAGCGCCCCCTAGTGTCCTGGAGCGGTATTACATAATGTGACAGCTAATGAGCAGCACAGGTGTGTCCATGTGGAGGAACTGTATTTTACATAAAGCAGTGGGACCCCTTTAATCAAACCTTTAACAATAACCATCTCATAGTTCTATAGTTTTATTCACAGAAATAAATGAGATGTTGATATATAGGCCAACTGTGTGTAAGTTTTCTTACACGCCTTAAAATCAAGAAGACCTCATGACCCCTGTGAAGCTTTGGTGGCTTTGGTTTGGTCCAGGTTGGGAACCACTGACTGAGAGGATGAGTTTACCACTACCTAAGCACATGTACACATGTATGTATTTAGGTGCATTATGATGTACCTGTCCTATACAATATTTTTAGACTTCTACTTTATACTTTATCCTCATCACGCAGAATGGTCCATTCATATATATTACTGGAATATAATTAGGGGCAAATTACTCTAATGTTGCAGCTGGTATAGGTGGGGGTAATATTAAATTATTTTTATTCTGCTGGGTTTCTTATCTGAATCTATGATTACATGTTAGTTGATTGATATTTTGTAGTAATCTAACTCTGTATAGTAACTAAGGTTATCAAATGAATGTAGTGGAATAAAAAGTACAGTATTTGTGGTGGAGTATAAGTATAAAGTAGCATGAATTGGAAATACTTGTCAATACCAAATACCTCATAACTGTAGTTCTGGTTACATATTAGTGCATCAGTATAAAAAATATAAAATAATAAAATAGATAAGAGTCTGACAGGTGCCATCATACATAATGAGTAATTTCACTTTTGATACTTTTTGTGCTTTTATTTTTAGTACTATTACATTATGAGCTTAAAATACTTAAAGTATTAAAAGTAAAAATATTGTATTATATGTGCTCTATTATTGAAATTTCACTATTGTTACTAATACTATTATTATTTTGTAACGGTGGGAACTTGTTTCATTATTTTAACTCTCTTGCATTCAAGAGCACATGAGAAAAAAGGTATAGTATAAGTATCTCAAATATGAATAGTAAAGAAGAGACACATAATAACAGCATGTCCCAAACTATAAAGGAAGGACACACCAAGATTAGTGCGCTTGGGCAAATTGTTTGACATGCTCTGTGGTAAAGGTACACATCATTGAGCACACAGCTAACATCTCAGTATATGACAAACATAACTGAAGCATTACGAGCTCTGCAGACCTTCTAGCAAATGTCTCAGGTAGAGTTCCTGCATTAGAAGTCGGAACAAAGTTAGAACAAAGGCAAGAAGGCAAGTTATTTCTTCAGCAGCCTCCCTTGGGATAGCATGTTTTATTATATTTTTGCAGTGTCCAGACACATTGCAGTGGGGAGAGAAACAATCCAATCAGTGAATAACACATGATGTACACAGATCCTTATGGGACTCTAAGGCATTAAAGAGCCACAAGTTCCACTTGAGAAATGTCTGAGACATGAAATATTCTAATAGGTGAAAAAAAAAAAATAAAGGCGTAAATTTTACTGAAAGACAAATAAGGATTATAGTGGATCATTTCTGCCCACGAGCCAAACACTCCACATTGAATCTGGAGCACTTAGACAAAATACAGTTTAGCTGAACTTAATTATGTTATTTTTAAAATCCGTCCTCAATGAGATTTAATTTAGAAAGGAACATAATCAAAATATTAAATGTAAAAAATGCAAAAATATGAACCAGAAGCTGTACATTACACATTTCTTTTGACAAACTGTCTAAACATTCAGACATAGTATCTCTACTAGGCATCTAATATGCTTCAAAATATGTACTTAACCCAATCTGTTTTGAAAAAAAAAAAAAAAAAAGGAAAAAAAAACATAAAAAACTTTTTTTTTTTAACCACAAAGTGAGTTGAACAACTCAAGACACTAAGTAATAAATTCACACCACACCAAGCTTAAAAAAACTGAAACAAATCATTTAAAAAGTTAATCAAAACATTTTTTTTTTTTTACAAATAAACTATGTTTGTGTGACAAAGGGTGTAATGGATTTAACAACATTTGGTTAGTCAATTTAGGAGATGTGTCTGTTTCTCCAGAATTTCAACAGCTCATAATCAAAACGCAACTTTAAATCCAAAACTTGCTAAAACGTCATTCTCAAAACCCTTTTCAAACTCATCTGAAACCATCATCTGGAGCATTAGATCTCCAATGTTAAAAGAAAAAAGGACAATTCCTGACTAAAATCTTCAAAAATCATACACTTTCTGCAAGGTCCCCCATGTCTCAATTATCTCTTTGCACTTGGGTTTTCAGGCTTTTCCTCCGGGTGGCTTTTCTCGTGAGCTTTTAAGGTGCGCTCACGACCAAAGCTCTTCCCGCAGGTTGAACAGGCGAAGCGGCCCACGGCGTGAGCCCGTGACATGTGGGCATCCAACTGCTCCTGACGGGCAAAGCTCTCTTCACATTCTTCGCAGGGATAGGCCTTCCGCGGGGTGTGTTTCTCTTTCTTGTGAGCACGGAGCTGGATCAGGCCAGGGAACGTGAGGTCACATTCGGGACAGGGGTGCTGACGGGACGGGGCGGGATCTGCTTTAGGTTTCTTCTCCTTTCCTGGAGCTTGGCTGTCATCCTCGGGACTCTTTTTATCTTCCGTTTCTGATTTCGCTGGCGCTTTAGAAGGACGGCCACGCTTCGCTCCAGCTGCTTTCCCTTTTTCCTCTGCTGGGGGGGCTGCCGGCTCTGATGTGCTGCTGGCCTTCACTGGCTCCTCGGGCGCCTCTGCTTCATCCTTCTTTTTCCGCTTTCCCTTTTTCTCAGCAACCGCCACTTCTTCAATTTTGGAAGGCCGCCCGCGTTTCTTGACGGACGAAGCACTGCCGTTGCATTGCTGACCCTCGGGGTACTTCTCCTGGTGCGCTACCAGCTCAGATTCTGTGTCAAAGCCCTGACCACACTTCTTACAGCGGTGGGTTTTCGTAGGATCCTCCGGCTGTTCTGCAGTGTCTACGTCTGGGCGGGGGTGTTGGGTCAGGCGATGAGCGCGCAGAAAACCAGCACTCCGGAAGGTCTCATTGCAATCTTTACATACCAGCTGTTTCTCTGGACACACCTGTCTCCTATGGGCAGTGAGCTGCAAAAGGTGGGAAGTAAGAAGTTGAACAGAAACATTTAGTATAAAGCAAAGAATGTGCTTTGTATTTTGGCATTCATGACGTTATTCAGTTTAAATACTGCCAGTAAAAAAACCAAAGATGCTTTAACATTACACTTACTTCAGAGAAGGTTTTAAAGCTCTCCTTGCAGTGAACGCATTTGAAGGGCTTGTCGTCCTTGCTGTGTATTGGCTGGTGTTGTGTCAGTTCCTCAGATGACAGAAATGTGCGGTCACACACATAGCAAGTGAACAGTGTGTTTCCCTGGAAAGACATAAAAAAGAGGGACCCAAGTTAAAACAATTCAAGACCAAGAACAAGGAGTTTGTCTCTGGTTATTGACAACTACCACAGTAACATGTATAAAATGTATAGTATTGTAAATACAGTGTGCATTCTCTTGAATGCACTCAAGCAGCATCAAGCTATATTATATAAATATCAACCTTAAATTTTATAATATAACTTACTCAAATACAAGCTAGTGAATGTCACTATCATTTTTTTCCCTTGCATCCCATTAGCTTTACAGCAATGCCAAGGATAAAAAAAATTAAAGAAAAAGACAAATTACCAGAAATTAATGGGTGAAATATAAGAAACCTGCTTCATTAACTACTACTAAAGGAACAGGTACTGCGACAAAGTAAAGACCATATATATATGTAGTAAAGTAATGTAAAGAACATTTTAAAGTATATTTATATGTACACACGTACGTAGAATTAGTCCAACACAAAACCTGTGATTGACAAATTTCTCGTGAATTGACTGAACTGACATCGTGAAGCTCACCTGCTGAAGCTGTTGCTTGTACTCTTCCCGGTGGCTCTTCTTCATATGCCTTTCCTTGGCTTTGGCACTGCAGAACGTGATGAAGCACTGGAAACACTGCAGGTTTTCATGCTGGTCTGGAAGGACAGGAGGAGATTAGACAGGTCACGCCAAGGCAAAGTTAATCTTTCAGTTAAACTTGTGATCAGTACCACTTACAGGGTTGAACAGGGGGTGCAGGGGGTCCATTCAGAGTGATGGGTTTGTATGGTTCAGCTGGCTTTTCAGGGGGAACTTCTGGAGGTGGATCTGGCAGTCCCCGTCCCATCACTATCTCCTCTATGTTCAAAATCTCTGAGTCCATCCTGGTTTACTGGGTGGTTTCAACAGGCACTCAAAACAACTTTCCTGGATTCAATTAAAGAAAAAGGCAGACACAAAACCAAACATGAACACAGGGTTATATATCAGGTGGAAACAACAGTGGGGTTAACAGCGGGAGCATAACACTGTTATATCCCCACAGATATGGTTAAATACGTTAGCGTTAAACACAACATTCAAATATCTTCCCCAACTGGTTAGACTGAGTTAACTGTAAAACTAAATGTATTTACAGAAAACCCAACGTACACAGCCTGAATGTTGTTTGTTTAACAGCCCAGTTTCCCACCAGGAATCACTCAAGTTTCAGCTCATCTTGGCTAACGCTACGTTACTGCCCTTAAGGCCGCTAGCTAAGCTAACTAGCTCCATGCAAGCCTGAGAGCATCCGGCAGTGAGCGGGCTGATTAAAATACATTAAGGGGTCTTACTGGTAAAGTGGAATACTTTACAGACACCGCAAGTGCTTTAGTTTAATGTCTGTGCACGCAGCTAACGCTAATCATAAAGTACCAAGCTATCGAGCGGGCTATCTCGCTAGCTAGCTTGCTACTGGTTAGCGCTAACAACACTGGCTGCCATTCAAAGAGGATCGAAGACTTTTCGATTTAAAAAAAAAACAAGTTTTAACTCCTCGTTCGGCGCTTGGGTGCATCTGCTCTGTGTCGCTATGCCGCACACCGATACCCAATAACACATATGATAAACTGAGCAGACGTGTACGTTACCTCTCGCCGCTGTTTGAAGGTAGTTTGACTGAGAGAGTTGACCCCAGAGAAGTACAGCGGGTAGATCGGACACTTCCTGGTGTCGGGGCTCTGCGATAGCCGTTGGTACAACTAAGATGGCTGCCGGGGGACTCTTCGGTTCGATCGCGTTTATTCAACACGTTCCAACATCAACGCGTCAGATGAGTCGAGTTGTTCCGTAAGTGGTACAGAACATCACTTTACATCGCGGTGAGTACGGGAACAACTCAACTTAGCACAGACATTTATTAATGGAAACGAAGCACACGAGTTGGACAATAAAACAGCGCTGAGTGACGTTATAATAAAATATTCTGTTTCAAAGTGTTACACCTGTTAGGTATGAGCTGCTGTGTTGACTAATATGAAGTTAAATCAGCTAAAACTAACAACAGGACAGCTACCTTCATGAACATGGATTTGAACTAGCCTCCTTTTCTATTCAGTCTGAATCTATGGTTGATCTCAGTCACGTGACCCAAAACAACTTGGGGAAAACTACTCTACAGCTCCATGCACCCATTTATAGTGGCCATTTCTGACTTATACCCCTGTACACAACATACCTCTGCATAACAGCATTGTGTAGTATTCAATATAGTGTTATTTCTATTGCGACACTGTCTCTGTATCAGTACATGTCACAGAGCATGGTCCTAGTGACACTCCATTTTCCATTTATGATGAATAAACCTATATTTTGATTTTGACTGCTCTACTTTCAGGGTCCTGCTACTGTGAATGATGGCATTAACATTAATGTCATAAATAAAAACAATCCCCCCCAATGTGACAAATGAAAATGTCTGCTGTTAAAAAAAGCCTATTCTGCAAACATTTGTTGTCAGTCTTTAAGAAAAAATAAATAAATCAACAATGCATGTATCTTTGCATCTGCCTTTTATTGTTTTCTGAAATTCAAATAAATAGTGTTAAAATTCATCGCTCTAAAAACATTCACGTCATAGAATGTAAATGAGGTCAGGTTAAATAAATAGTAAAAACACCATCATGGTAACTGCAATGTCAAAATCATATTTTACACTTCTTTTGCAGCACTAAATGTATGGCTATGAGTATTACTATTTTTTACATTTCCTTTTGAAGGCAAATACATTTTTACACTTGCTCAATGACATAAGCCACATCAAAAGCATTTGTTTTTTTTAAACCGCAGCACAATAGTACCTCAGAGGAATGACACTGCCAGTGAAAAGCATCATGGAAAAGTCACAAGGACAGAGGAGATGCTTCCATTTTTTGATTAACTAGGTTTACATACACCGAAAGCACAGTTACATTCTCAACTAGATTGCAAAATGTTGAAAAATGAAGGATTGGAGAGAATAGAAGGAAGTGTGTAGTGGACACTACTCTTTTCCCAAACTCTCTTGATTATGGAAATTCAAAAAGCAGTTGTGGTTGCGTGAGATACAAAGAAAGACGCAGCATTTAAGGCATAGCACTCGAGATGTTCTCTGACAGTCCCCAAACCGACACCTGCCTCCTTCTCCCTCCCCAAGCTGCTCTGGCCAGTGGCCCAGACCGTCGTACCGTGTGGCTGCGTCTGGCAGAGGACTTTCCTCCACCAGGCTGGGATTGGCCTTTTCATTTGTTGCATGAGCCTTCTCTAGGGGTGGTTGAGGGGGAACTGAGTCCTGGGTGTCAGAGCCGCTGGAGAGGATCAAAGCTTTGGACACCTCCAATCTGAATGCCATGAGAGTTAAAGGTGCAGACCTTTGGTCCTGTCTGTATACGAGCCAGGAGTTGACCAAAGCCAGATCTGTTAGGTACCAGAGCACCGCTTGAGGCCAGCAGGATGGGGCAGAGGCAGTGAGAGGGATAGAGTAAAGATTAAGCAGATCTCTGTTGAGATGAGCCGACATCTGGGCCTTCTCAAAGTTGTCAATGAGTAAAGCCATATTCCTCTGGCTGTTTCCAGCAGTAGAAAGTATGAAGCCACAGTGTGATCTGCGTAACATCAGCTTCCCATCTGAGCTTACAAACTCATCTCCGATCTGTCCTCGGGCTCCTCCCACCCTGCCTGCGCCATGAACCCCAGCAGCTAACAGACGCTCCAGCATAGCAGGGGTGGAGAGTTCCTGTTTGCAAAGAAACACCATACTGCCTTTGGGGACCATTTTTTCTACAGCATCTTCTTTGTCCGACGGACCCAATTTAAGATCCACGTGTAGGAGCAAACCGCCAAATCCAATTAAAGTAGTAGAGTAGAGAGACAGTTTCTTATTGTGTATCTTCCTGGTCAAAGATAGTGGATATTGGTCGACTGCATAATCACTATCTCGTCTCAGTGACTGGCACCCTGCTTTGAAACGGCACAGTAATGGCTGAGCCTTCCACAGGGGATCAGTCTGTGTTTTTGAACTGTTCTGGTCATTTGGTGCGTAGCCCTGCCTCTGCCCATCACTGTGCTGAGAAATGTCACTATTCCTGCTTGAGAGATTTTTACCTTGCTGTACATTTTCAAAATCACTATCACTTCCTCCTTCCTGAACATTACTGTTGACTGGATCCTCCGCAGGGGAAGCAAGCTTCAACACGCGGGACAGCTCAAGGCAACGGCAAAGTGGCATGGCTTCAGCAATCAAGGGCACCTTAGTCAAGTCCTCCCAATAGAGCCTCGGACTGGGAAACTGAAAGATAGCAAGAGACCGAATAAACTTTTAGTGGTCTTGCATTTACCTAACAGAGTCAAGGAAGCATTCAAAAAAAAGGGTCACAGCAGAGCACAAACCTTTAAAGTTCCCATTGCAATGTGTATCCCGACAAACTGTGCAACTTCTCTGGCTGTGACAGGTTGGTGCACGCTGGACAATTTATTTGTGCAATTGGCAATTTCTACCCAGGTATCCCAACCAAAATACTTGGAGAAGTAATTAATGGGCTCTTTCCCTCCGCTTTCCTCTCTTGGTGTTTGGAGCTGGCTCGTTGAAGTTGGCAAACTAGGGGAGAGAAAAAAAACTCATCATGAGCAAATGAATGAGCAAAACAATCAAACAGGTCTCCCCTATGGTCCTATTACAAATAAATTACAATAAATCTGCACAGTATGATAGTATTATTGTATTTTTATTAATAAAAACAGTGTTGCGTGAAGGTTTGAAGATTAAAAATATTAAGATGAACCGTACTTTTGTGATATTTCATCTGGCTGTTGTGCGCTGTTTGTTTGGTTCTTGTAGAAATAGGCCATTACTTCTGCTTCTGAGTCAAGCTGAGGCTCAGACAATTCAAAACTGCCCACATCCTCTTCATCTGAACTCTGGAGGAGAAAGTCCCGGAGGTCTGGTGGATGCTGCCACTCAGCATCTGCCACAGCTGAGAGATCAATTATTATTTCATTTCATTATAATACCATTTTTAATAAATAGCTTAAGGGCCATGCCTGATGATGGTTATACAATGATGAAGTAGCTAGAAGTACGATACTTTAAAAGAAGAAAACAAACCTTGTCCGTCTGCAAAGTCACTGACCCCTGGCTCTGACAATAGTCCTCTCACTCTTATTTCCTGGTAGTCTGTTACAGAAGGGCTCCCTTCATCTGTTTGAAATAGATTTAACATTAAAACAGAGGTCTTCCTGTATTTTTTCCTATAAGGGGAATATCACTGGAAAGTGAAATCACTTACTTAAATCTGTTGCTATATGCTCTGTCTGTAAGACATCACTGGATGTCGCTTTGGTCAAATTCCCATTGTTGGTCTGAGCATCTCCCAGTAGAACCTCCCTCTCCTCCTCCTTCACTGGGTAGAAGATACACTGGTCGGTGTTGAACTCAGGGGTGACACGACAGTGCCTTGTTGTTTCCACACTCTCCATTACTGAAAGCAAAAAGCCAAAGACATCAATCTCTGAAAATCTCTGGCAAAATGGAAATTATTACTATAGGATTCCAGTAAATATACATTTTTAAAACTGACTAATGAAGGATTATCATACAGGAGATGTATTGGGTGAACAGCTACTGTTTCTTCTGGCTGTACAAGACTACTATGTAAAAATGGGATGCTATACTTAATGGGGTCCATTTGTTTTCACCTGGTGTTTTTAAATGCAAAGGCTCTCTATGAGCTGTATCCAATCCAATCCAACTTTATTTGTTAAGCACTTTAAAAACAACCAAAGTTGACCAAAGTGCTGTACAGGAGAATAAATAAGAACTCATAAATGTAAACAGTGATGGTGATGATGAAGACCACTGTGAGGAATATAACGTTAGACAGTGATGGCGATAACACTGGAAAGTTCCCGTGGCAGATAATATGGACGAAGTCTGACAGTGACGAGCTCGATGTCCGGGCTGCAGACACGTGCCTGGCGTTACACCACCTGTTGTTTATGAGCACGGCAAGTCCCCCTCCTTTCTTCATGCCGGTCGCAGAGGTGTCTCTGTCGGCTCTAACCGTCTGGAAGCCGGGAATGGTGATGCTGGAGTCCGGTATCTGCTCGTGTAGCCACGTTTGTAGGTGAAACTCACTCGCTCACAGGGACCAATTAGCTAGGCACTGTTGCACTCCAATATGTTGTTCGCAATCACATGATTTGAATGAGGCTCAAAATTCAGAATGAGGCACTCAGTAAAAGGCAGAATGGATAAGATGGACAGATGAAACCCCCGTACTGTTAGTTATTGTATATTTACTCATTGTGTCATCCCAGTCAATATGTGTGTGAAATTTGGAATCAAGGAAGCAATTCATTATTAAATTATGGCTACAAACCTATTTTGCGGTCACAATGTCAAAAATGTAACTAACCCAGTGTCTGGTTAACTGTAAAATACCGTCACAACCCAAAAACATAATGCGTCTGGCTACGACTATTGCCAGCGCGGAGTTATAACAATGCACCGAGCAACATCTGTAAAGCTTGGTAATTAGCACGTTACACAGTAATGTAAAAAATGTGTTATGATTTCAAAAGTGAGTTACGTTGTGTAACAACAGTTTATCCATTAGCTAGGTACTTGTTTGCTGATCGCCTCCTGGCTATAGCTTCATACATAATGCACAGACATGTGAGTGGTATTGATCTTCTTATCTAACTCTGAGTGAGAAAACAATTTCCCCAAATGTTGAACAACTACTTTAAAATGTACCCACAGTGTGGCTTAATACTTACATGGACTGGAGGTGTTTTCAATGTTGACTGGTTCCACATTCCATCGGATGTGTCTGCTGCCCTGCGTGGCCTGGATCTCATTCAGCACGAGGCTGCTCTCCTCCTTCACTAGAACAGTCCTTATGTCACGGTGGTGCTGTGGCTGCACAATAGCACTCTGTCTGTTTTGGCAGGTGGTTGCAACCAGTGGTGGATCTGAGATATTCTCTTCAACCTTGATCTCCTGCCTCCCAAGGACCTGCACTTCAGTCTCAGCAACGCTGTCCAAACCCTGGAATGAAAACAAAAGTTGTCAGTTTGACATGTTGAATTCATCATTCGTTGTTAATGTTTGGTATTTGTTGGTACAATTAGCACCTCACCTGTCTTTGATTGTTCCTTGCTGTCATCAGGAACAGCTCCTTGTCAGGAGTTTCTCTCTGTCTAGAGGTGAGGAACTTCTCAAGTATAATGCCTGGAGACTGGTCCCGGTTGTGTTCCTCTCCTCCCTGCAGCCCACTTTCATTCATAACCTCCTCAACGCTTGTCCTAACCGACTCCAGCTCAAATACAACTTGCTCTTCAGGAGATTCCTCTAATGTAGAGGACACAGAAGGCAAAGATGCAGCAGGAGTGGTAGCTTTGTTGGCCTCAAATTCATGAATGGTCTCTGGGTTTGAAGTCTTTGGGCTGGTCTCACAGTCAGCATTGATTTGATGCTTTTCGTAAAGTACTTGACATTCTTCCTGTTCTTTCTCTGATTCTGTTGCTCTGACCGTATCTCCAATTGAAATTCTCTTTGTTAGTCCTAAAAAGTCCCTTTTTAGATATCCTACTCCTCTCCTCCTACCCCCTGTAGCATTCCTTGCAACAGCTCCTTTCCTTCCTTCTTTTTTCTTCTGGACTAATATTTCTTCCTCTTCTTCTTTGATCTCCTCTTGATGAGTGGAGCATGACACAGTCTGCGAAGTTAGACTTTTTTCAGTTGTTTCAACTTGCCCAGTGTTTCTACCATCAGGGTTGCAAGTTTCATTTGATTCATTTTGGGGGACAGCGTCTTCATGAGAAGCTGGATCATCTCTCTCATTCTGTTCCCCAACAGTGACTAAATCTACCTCAAGGAGTAAATCCTCCTTAATGTCTTCATCTGTGTTACCCAGGACTTCAGATTCTGAAGTGGGATTCTTCAGATTACCTTCTTCTGGCTTGTCCTCATCTGATGTCAAAGGCTCTCCTGTGTCTAAACTCTTTGTCCGAGTGGTATTTAAAGGGGATTCAGATGGGAAATTTGGTGGGGTCTCACTGGTTTTCATTTGATCAGATGGTGACTGTATTTCTGGAGAGGTATAAGATTGATCGTTGGCTCCTGCTTTACTTCCGCCCTTATTTTCAAAGGCACTTATTTCAACATCTGAAGGAGGAACAGGTAAGGATGGGGATGGAATCAAAGCTGGAAAAGAGACACTTCGCTCCCGGTCTTCTAATGCCATCTCTCCTATCTCAGGCTCAGTATCCCAGTCTGTAGCAGCATTAATTACCCCAACAACCTTATCATGCTGTTTTGGAAGCTGGTAAAGATCCAACCTGGAGACGCCTTCAAAGATGTTCCCATTGGTGTAAGTGAGACCGGGACTCTCTACGATATGCACCATTGCCTTGTGCTTCTGAAGGGATGAGACTTCGCTAAATCTCTCCCCACAGTCTTTACACTGTAAGGCACGCTTGGTGTGAGAAGAAGTTATCACTCCTTCAGTCTCCACTTTCGAGGAGGTTTTACGTTTTCGGGTGGTCTTTGGCTTGGTGGGCAATGTCTCAGGTGGTTGATGGGAAACCTGTAGCGAGGACAACAATGAAAGAGCCTTCTGGTTCTTTTTGGGTCTTCCTCCTTTTTTCTTACTTTCTGCTGTGAGATTATTTGTCAACTCACTTGTTGGATGTTTGAGTTTGTTGTCTTCACGGTGTTGGGACATTGTTTGGATCTCGTGAGGTGAAGCCTCCTGTGTCGGGCCTGATGCCTTTAAAGTGTCTAACTTGTAAACTTTCAGCTGGGGCTGTTTGTGACCTTTCAGTAGAAGTAGAGCGTCTTGTGTTACGTTCGGGCCAGGTATGTCTTCTGAAGCTGTGCTTGTTTTTTCCTTTTCCTCTCTTGCCAGGTTTTTCTTTCGGTTCCCATCCCTTGCGTTCTTGGGCTGACCTTTTCGCATCATTTTTGCTTGTTTTTTCTTTTTAAATACAGGTGAGGCTACATTTTTGTGCTCACTTATATGCGTAACACCCTCCCTAGCCACTTCTTTTTGCCTTTTCATTTTATTTTTTCTTGTATCCTCTTTGATTTGCTGCACCTGTGGGTTCTCAGTGGAAGACAGAGATTTTACTTCTGCTGAGGACACCAAATGCCCAACTTTCCTGTCCTTTTTTCCCTTTTTCCCCTTCTGTGATGGTACTTTTTTTGTTGGTGTTTTACCTCTTATCACATCTTCCTGTGTTGGCTGACACTGCTTTGATGGCTTCTTCTGTCTCTTGTTTTTCTTCTCTTTGTTTTGTGGACCAAATTTAACAACAAGACGAGACTTTTTTGTTCTTTGCCGTTTGGCAGGTTGGGCATCAATTTGAAAATCATCCTTGTGTATAGATCTGACCAGTTCTTGCATATATCCCTGAAAGATAAATGCCCTGGCTGGCTTTCTTTTCCGCACTTTCACCAGTTCTTGAGCTGACATTACATTTACGGGTAACTCTGAGATCTGTGGCCCCTGCTTTGTCTCTAATTGTGATGGAAACTCTTCTTTAGCAGATGGGTCCTCTACTTCAGACAAGTTCTCCACCTGGTCCTGACCCTCCTTGCTATCTACCAGCAATTTATCAGATGGTTCTTGATCCAATTGCTCTGCCTGTGTCTCTTGTGGTGTGGGACTATCCATCACAGGCTGAACCTTATCTAGACTTACTGTTTGCATTTGTAAATCAACCTCTTCTTTGGTATTAGTTTCAGATTCACTTGGAGCTTGTGTAAGTGTGTCTGGTGGAACAAAAGGAGGAAGGTTCTGTTGTTTTCCTTGTAGAGGTGTTAGCTCCAACTCAACTGAATGCATAAGAGGTGGGACTGACAGGCTGATCTGCTGCTCATCTATTACAGTCTGATCTTGAGTCTGATCAGGAGTCTTTTCCAGTTCAGTGATTGGTACCAGAGAAGAGGAAGGGATTTCATTTTGTGGCAAAGCTTGGGATTGTTCCAGCTCCATAGTTGGTATCAAAGCGGGGGTAAGTTCTAATATGACTGTTTGCTCAACTTCCTCATTCTGACAAACTATTTGATCCATAGGATCAGACTGAATTGCACTAATATATGACTGTTGAAGGATGTGATGCATCACCTCTCCCTCAGGTCTTTCCTTTTGTTCAGTCTGAACAAGTGTTAGCTCTATATTTTCACCTGTTGCTATGTGGGAACCTAGTTCTGAGAAAGAGGGGTTTTCCAATTGTCCATCTGGCGTAATAGGTTCCAGTATAATTGTCTGTTCCATAGGATCACATGGATTGTTTGAAGGGTCCAATTCAACTGTCTTAGATTCTGTCTGTTTCAGTCCCATAAAATCTATTTGTGGTGGACTGAGATTCAAATTCATTGGTTCTGCCATTTGTGGCATCTGTTGCACCTCCAGTGGTGGGGCATGAGGTGGCACCTGCCCCAGTATGACAACTTGGTTCACTTTCTGCACATTTCCCAAAGATTCAATAAGTCTGCGAATCTGCTCTGTGTCAATATTGGCATCAACCTTTTGCAAAGGGCCATTGGGTTCTACCTGCAGTAGTGCCGGTTGGCAAATAGATATTGGAGTTATGATGGGTGTACTTTGTTTCACTTGCTGCCCAGCTGGGAGGGCATTACTGGCTGTGACAGGTAACACACTGTGCTTAGTTTTCATGTGATATAGCCGCGTCTTGGTACTCTTGAAAGTGGCCCTGCATACAGAACAAGGATACCGTGGAGAAGCACCTAAAAATAATAAAAGAAGAAAGTTGTGATATATTGTGGTATTTTTCTTGCAACATGTTTGTTTTCTAGAATTTTATCATTTTAGGGATGCACCAATATAGAATGTCAGGGCCAATAATGATAACCAATAATTATCTATTTGTTGTGACAGATTCCAATGTGATAAACAATAATATGAATCTACATATTTTTAGATGACAAGTTTACTTTACTAATATAAACACCAATATTTAGAAAGCATTCATCTCTGTAATGTAGAATAAATCAATTTATTTTAAAACTTTTTAAATAACCTTAGATAACAAATAGCCAGACTGTATGTCCCTTTTGACCGGTATGTACAGTGCACAATAAACACTAAATGTACTAATTAAAAGTTAGCTAAGGCTATTGAAGAGACTATTTTGAAAGGCTGCAAGCCTTTTACAATGTGTGTGTGTGTGTGTGTGTGTGTGTGTGTGTGTGTGTGGTTTGAGTTTGAAGCACAACTCCACTATCAAGCGAACAGGCAGCAACACAGAGATCCCAGGAGAGAAAGGCAGGGAGGCTAAAAATCACTATTCAAAACTGGGTTTTAAGTTGTGTTCTGTCCGCAGTTGTGCTCTACATTATCTTACATAATTTTCAGCAGAAATTCCATTAATAACATATATTAAAACATTTTCTTACCATCATCTTTCTTCAGTTGTGCTTTAGGTGCTTTGGGTGCGGTGTCTCCCCCATCTCCTTCAGTTCCCTCTGGAAAGTGTGACACCATATGTTTCTGCAGAGCTTTGGACATGGTGAACCTCTTTCCACACTCCTTGCAAACATACGGCCTCTCTCCAGTGTGTGTGCGGTGGTGATACTTCAGCAATGTCATGGTTTTACAAGGCTTGCCACAGTCAGTGCAGGCATAACCATCCAGGCCAAAATGAATTTTTTTATGATGGGTGAGCTCTGACGATTTGTTGAAGGCCTGGCTACAGATAGGACACTTGAAGGGTTTCTTCTCTGTGTGGGCTCTCTGGTGTGCCATGAGTTCTGTGGAGTTTGTGAAGTGGCTGTCGCAAACGTAACAGGCAAAAAGAGCATTTCTCAGTATGCACTGTTCATATTCTGCTGGGTGGCTCAACTTCAGATGACGCTCTTTGCTCTTGTGATCACTGAAGATTATGTGGCACTCGATGCACTGCAGGGAGAGCTGAGACGCTAGAGGAAAACAGGACAGGAGGGCGATAACATTTACATGCAACATACTTCCATATTCTTAGAATAGAGATAAGTATTCTTAGAAATTATAAAAATGAAAATGTGGAAGTTAAATATGGTGGCTTAAGAAACAGAAGAGCACTTTCATATAGTAAAAACACAAAACAATTAGTGAAAAGAGACCCTACCTCTACTACAATGTCCCCTTACCAGCAAGACAATACTGCATTGATTTACTGTCACAAACACGTCACTATTGTCTGATGTGCATTGGCACTATCAAAGTGGGCATTTACACCTGCAGTGTAACCTGACCAATACTGGACTTCTGAGTCAGATACCAATGTAAATACATATGTATATAATAATATCATTAATAATGGGGAATCTGTAGTCCTTAAACTCCAATAAATAAGTAATCAAACATGAAAACAGGTCTCTCAATCTTAGCCTGGCTCAGCATTTGGTAAAACACAGACCGACATACATACAAGGTAAAACACTCACATGTGAGAGGCATAGCCAGGGGTTTGGACATGTCCATCTTCAGAGGATCTACCATCGCCTTCTTGGAAGGAACATATTTCCTTCCATCACGTACGCCTTTATCCTGTTTCTTTGCCTTTTGCCCATCACACCCAGGATTTGTATTTATATCAGGTCCCGGTTCTGTGGGGGCACTTGGCTTTGAAGCAGAGTCCACCTCCACCCCTCCGGTATTATCTGAGGGCTCAGTCAGTGGCTGAACAGCAGGCTCATTCTCCACCGCTTGTGTGACCGCCATACTTGCAGGTGTTTCCGTCCGTGTCCCATTTTCCTGTGGTGTGATTGGTGTTTCAGTCTCAGCAGTAGCAGCTGATTTATTCTCCTCTTCTTGTGCATGCGGTTCACTTTGTGCTGGCTGGGCTTCAGTCTCGGTGTCCAGTGGTTTCTCTGTGGTTGCTGTGGTCACAGGGTTTGGCCCCATGTTTGACTGGGTCGGACTCTGCATGGCTCCCTGCCTCTTGGCTTCTCAAAACGCACTTGTTTATATGTCCCTATGAAATCAGGTCCCACACAGAAACACAGAATGGCTGTTAGATACAACACATAACTGAACACTTACTGAAAATACCAACCGAACAATGTTTTTGTATCATTCAAACCTACCTAACTACTTTATAAAACGGTCTTTGCACAGGTTGATTTTCTTAGAAAGGCAGAGAGCAGCATCTTTGTCATCTACATGGCGACAGCTGGGAGCTCAGAGAATGAATGGATTCACAACATTTGTATTACAAAAGAAAAAACCGACGGACATGGAGGACAGCCGTAGGAGGCTGTACTGTGACCCAAATTCAACACTTTAATTTGTATGAACACAGTGCTGTAACACACTGATCATTGCCTCTCACAACCCCTCCACAATAACCACAGATACACAGATAACCGTAGCCCAGTTAGCTTAAATTCCCTGATTTGCGGTTAAAAAAAATGTTAGCATTTCCGGCTTGTTGCTGCGCCATGGAAGCTAAATATTAACTCACTGTCCACGTCCCCCCGACTCTTACACAGACACCGGGGAAGCTGTACCGTTGTGAAAGCAGGAGGATGGATATTAGAGTTTCCCTGGGCTCACTCGTCCGCCCAAACATCTCCGCGTCGCTTCGCACAAAGCCAGCACCGAGGAGCTGCAGGCACCGTGACGTCAGGTCTGACAAGAGGGGGAGAGCGGTGGTCATGGGAGTTGTGGTTTTTCTTTTTTTTTTTTTCCTGGGGTCCACTCATCCCAGTGGTTTGTGTCCACTCTGTTAAAACTACAACCCAACCAGACTACCAGACCATTAAAACTACAGCAGTCCTGATGAAAGTTATAGGCTTATTTTAGAATATATTTAGAGAGAAATACATAAGAAATAAGAATAATAAGAATAATTTTTCTGTCAATTTTGCCACAAATTACACATTTTTCTCAAAGGACTTTACAATTGGTATGGCACAGGACACCCTCTATCATGAAACCCCTAGAAACTGATTATATTATAATAGTTATGGTCATTTTGACTTTGCGTGAGCATGTTCTACAGAAGACTTGCTATAAAATATTCTTACTCTGTAATAACTGTATTTCTAAATATCTACAAAATGTAGAAGTGTTGTTTAAAACTCTTAAATCGGCATCTGAGGGTATTATTACTATTACCCAAAACTTTTTCTTCACCAGTCTCAGCCGTGTTTAATGACACTAGACAGAGAACTGAAAAATAGAGAACAAACTAGTCCACTAAAGCTGTACATGTACTGATCCCCACACTACTGTATCTCCTGGCAAAAGTAATAAGTAACAGCCAGTGGGTGGTGCTATTGCAGCATGTGGGATAGGATGTTTTCCCACAGGGATGCACCCACTGTATTAGATCCCATTACAGTCCCCAGAAACCTCCATAAACTAATAATAAAGCTCTATGTGCACAATACGCTGCACCATTAATGCTACGGCTGTTCACATCTCAATGTTTTAACATCTTACATTGCTTGAATATCTAACAACATTTGTAGAAACTAAAAGAAGAAAGAAAACATTTTGAATTCATTTAATTTTATTTGGTTTCACAAGCAGAGGTAGGATGCTTTACGACTTGTAATCTCATAGTATCAGGCATTACTCTATTGTAGATACTCATATCAATCTCAGGGATATTTGCCTTTAATGTAGTGTAACACAGTAACAGTAAGTTTAACACACACTAGATACAAATTCATCAACAATCATTAACCTTTTGTAAACCTCTAACAGTAATAAAAGAAAGGCACCAGTATGAGAAATAAATGCCTTCAACCCTCAATATTATCCTGTGGTATAGGCAGCTCCCCAGTAGCATGTTTTATATAATGCAAATGCAGCTTTGCCACTTCATCAAAGCCCATATCGCATTCACAACACTCCCATTCCCAATACTTATGTACTCTGTGCATGCTTGTTTCCTGTGACTCGCTCTCATCCGGCCCCTGTCCTGCTTGTGGCGGCACAATTTCTGATTTCAGTTCATCGGGTGGATCAGATCCAGCCTGGCCAGGTGGTTTTGAAGGCTTGAAGTAATGCACAGGCTCTCCACAATCCGACTCTTCAGAGTTTGCATAATCCCCGAACTCAGCATCCTCACATGGCTTTTGAGTTTCACTTTCCTCCCCGCGTTCTTTCTTTGCTGGCAGCTCTTCCATGTTTATATCCATTTCTGGCTCCTCTTTCACACTGGTGAGAACAAGTCTCCTCTTTCCAATAATGGCAGAATTCTTGAGGTCCACAGGCATCCCGTTGGATCCAGCATGAACTCTAAGATGCTTTTTTCGGTGTGAAATTAGATTTCCGGGAAAAGAAAAGTTCTTCCCACAAACTGTGCACTGGTAAGGCTTCGCTCCAGTGTAGGTGCTGTAGCGATGCTTCAGCTGCAGGTGTTTATCTAGTGACGCCTCGTCTGAAAAGCCTTTGGCGCAACTTAAACACCAAAACAGTTTCTGTTTGTGGAGATCAACATGTGCCATCCACGAGTCAACGGAAGTGAAGTTTTTATTACACTGATCACATCTGGGAGGTTTTGAGCTGAATGATCCACGTGACCTGTGAACTCTCAGGTGACCGAGTAACCGCGCTCGCCGGATAAATAACATCCCGCAGTCTGGACACTCATATTTATGCAAATTCTGGACATTTTGCTCACTTTTTGTCATAGCTGGCTTGTTGTCATGCAGTCGTAGGTGTTTTCTGAATGAAACCAGGTATGTATAAACCTTCCCACAGACTGAGCAAGAATAACCCTTCGAAGTTTTCTTGTTCAATAGCAATGAATGGCTCATGTCACGCCCATCTGCATCACCATCCTTGTCTTCATCTCCGTTTTCTCCATCCTCTACTCTCCCCGAGTCCAGTTCTGCTGCCGGATTCCTGTTGTCTCCTGTCTGAGTTTCCATTTCATCATCATCATCATCCTCCTCCTCCTCCTCCTCTTCCTCTTCTTCTTCCTCCTCCTCCAGGGCATGCTGGTGCAGGTGAGTCTCGTAGACTTTCAGGTGTGTAAACGTCAGTCCACAATCCTTGCATGTAAGACTGCACCGTTTGCCTACGAAAGAAGAAAAAGGTCCAATTTAGAGGTAAAATATTATCAGTTCATATATGTTAGTTATTATGAGTGTATAAAACAAACTGATTTTATTAAAGAACTAATGTTTCTGATGTCTCAGCTGAAATGTTGCAGTCTGGTTACTACTGCTAAAGTTACCAATGTTTAACTGCAGCAGGGAAAACTTACAAGTTTGAGTTGTGGCTCTTCTCTTCGTTCACAGATGTGGGGCAATTAAAAGTCAAGTGTTAACCCTATTCTTAAATCATTTAACTCTCAGAGCATTACACATTTTACATTTTGTGGTCTTGCTGTCTGTAAAGCAAGTAGGTTATCTGTGACGTATCTATGGAGCCTAGAGAGTGCAACTCAAACAATTGTGGTACTACAGCTGTGGGTCTGTGGGTCAGGCTTGTTTAAGTGTGACGTTGCTTACATATATTTAATTTAAGAAAAGATCTTTCAATTAAATAAAACAAATTCTAAATAATAAAGCAGGAAAACTATTCATTGAGAGATCATTTATAAGCAGTAAGTTAATAAATGGAATTATCAATAATTTAAAAGTCTTAATTAAGTTTTAAATAATTCACTCAAGGACAGAATAAGTAAATAGAATTATTAATTGGCTAATTAAGTTTTTAATGCAGTAGTTAACTTCAATTTCATTATAATTTAAAACTATAAAAGTCTATTATTCTGCCGGCACATTCCAGCTTCCATACCCATAACGTGCTGTATATGAAACAGGCCAAATCATTTCAATATGAAGACTAATGTGCTGTAGTACTGTAGTCTAAAAATGACTGGCTATGGCTTTCTAATTAAATGTTGTATTATTAAATGTAATCAACATGCCCTGATAAAAACCAAATACATGATCAGTACTAACTAGTTCTGATCAAGAAACAGTGAATCTGAAGCTGAATTAATCACACAACCCAATAATTCACGGGGAAAAATCATGAATTTATTTGTAATTTTAGAGAACGTAGTCTTCATTGTTTCAGAAACAGCAAATTAAACAAGTAGTCAAACGGTATATTGGTCAGAGGGAAGATTTTCATAAATTAATATAACAAAGTAACATATCTTGTACACTAAAAATACTTTTTTCCACTACATAAGTGGCATGTAAACTAACAACTATTTTACGTAGCACTATTTTTAGTTTAAGCAATGAATAATCTTCCCACAACATAGAAATATAACAGTGAAAAGGAAAGAACATGGGAGCTTATACATCAATTAATGCAAAAAGTATTGTACGTAACATACAAATACTTGATTAGAAATGTTTTATGGTAGTAACTGGTTGTACAGTTCAACATCAGGACATTTTTAACAAACAGTGCACATTGTTTTACTTCATATATCTTATTTTCTCTGCAAATGTTATCATTCAGCCAAACCTCAGGTATTTCAACCAAAACCAGCAAAATTAGTATATTTGTTGTGCAGAATTATTTTGATGTCCTTCGCAATAAATAGTCCATTTCATTTTTCAGGGAATTTTTAAATGCATGAGGACAAACATGTACATGCATAACTGTTTCTAAATCTTTTTTGTTGATATATCTAGATATGAACTACCATACTTATGCCAGTGATCCGCAAAGAGATTAACAAGGTTCAGCTGACATTCATAACAGGTCTATTCAAAACAAGAACAAATCAAATCGTGGCTCAAAACTATACATTTGTGATATCTCAACTTAAGCTTCTAAAAAAGGGGTTATTCTTTAACATTTGTACATACTCTAATCCAGTGTAAAGGAAAGCCTGAGAATAGGAATATAATCAAACGGCTTTTTTTAAATATAAGGAATCTCAACTAATATACAAAATAATACGGAAAGCCTGTTTCTACTTAGCATAAACAAAAAAGGTCTAACAAGGTATTTTGAAGCTGAACACAATTAAGTAGTTTCGCAACCCAAAAAAAAAAAAAAACCCCACAATCTACAGTGTCTTAATTTCAATCCTTTGCAGGTGGTTTAGTCTAATGCTGTACACTCCACGGGCATGTTCAAAATAGTGCTGGTGCAAATTAGTTTCTCGACAAAAAGTAGTTCCACATTCAAGGCAAGTAAGGACATTGGTATCTGGTAGCAGCAAGGGCATCACTCTGCCTTTTGTAAGTCACCGATACATTCCTGGTGATGATCGATAAGGTCCTGTATTTCACTGAAGGTCCGCGGGCAGATGGAGCAATGATACGAGTCATTGTTACAGTGCTGAGTTTCGTGTTTTTGTAACGCAGTTGGTGAAAGAAAGGCTTTGCCACAATGCTGGCACTTATGGTTACTTTGCGACTGGCTGTCTGGGTTAAGTGTAGGTTGGTTCAGTGTAGAGCACGAAAAGGACTTCCCTCTGCTGTCGGCAGAGGGCATGTTGGGTTTTAAAAGATTTGAGGTCATAGCAGCGCTGAGCCTATAGCGAACTTCATTCGGGAGACGACAGCGGACTTCGTCGTGCCATGCGAGGTGTTGCTGCAGCTGATTCTCAGTCCAAAAGCCGTGACAGCACAGGGCGCAACAATAAGGGCGGCTCCTTGCCTTAGTCTTATGGGCTCCTAATTGTTCCTCTGTTTGGAAAGCTTTTCCACACTTGTCACACTTGAAAAGGCATTTGGCTGTATGCTCCGACAGGCGGCTAGGAGGCGGGGATACATCGGCTGTGTTTTCAGGAATTTGAATCTCCTGTTTAGACTCGTGTTTTACCTCCAGGCATACTTTCTTATGGTCAAGGAGGGCACCAGTAGAACTGCACTGCTTCCCACAATCAAGGCATGAAACAGGTTTTACCGGTGGGGGTTCTGATCTGACCTGCGGATTCTTCTTTCTTCTGCCAACAGTGCTTTTTTTCACTGTCACTCGGGCGCCATCTACAGCTGGTAAATTTTCTGTCTTTTTGACTTCAGTGCTTGAGGCAACCGACTCCTTTTTAGTACTCAAAGGAACCATATTTTTGCCTTTCGTCCTCCTTGAGTGGGCCTGCCATTTGTGGGCGCGCAGACCTCTTGCTTTAGCAAAGGTCATAGAGCAGAGGGGACACTGGTGAGCTTTTGGCTTTAGCGTTGTTGACGTGGACTCACTCACGTCAAAGTTTACGTCAACCAAGCCGAGCCTGTCGCCTTGATGTTCTGCAGCTTCCAGAGTGTTACTGTGCTCTTTTTCACAGTGGGCAGCTAGAAGTGAACCTTGCACAAATGTTTCGTCACATTGTGGACATGAGATGGTCTCCAGTGGGCTGCTGCTCTTCGCGCTTTTATTTGACTCGGGCTCTGGCTCAGTTTTGGTCTGACACTGAGGATTAAACATCTGGTGGCGTTGGAGAACACAATGGTTAAAAAATTGTTTGCCACATTTGTGGCACTGAAAAGGTCCACCCTCTGCCTTGTGGCCAAGAAATTTTATATCTTCTTTGTGCCATCTTTTGTGGGAGCCGAGGGCTGAGTTGGACATGAATCGCCTCCCACATTCTGAGCAGTGAAATAGTCCTTTACTTGGCTCTTCCTGTTTAGGTTTCTTTAGCATTACAGACATGGCCAATTTCCCTTTTGCTACAGATTTGTTACCCTCAGCATGGACTCTTTTATGAAAATTCAAAGCTCCAACCACTGAAAAGCTTCTGTCACACTTTTTGCATTTGTATTTCAAATTGGTTGTACATGGGTTTTCTAAGTTTCCACCGGATTGATTTTCCATATTTAGCTCCCCACTGTCCATTTCCTTCTTTACTTCAGTATTAACTGTAATTTGATCAGAGCTTTCCTGTGTGCTGTCATCCATACTATACTCGTGTAATGTTAGACTATCATTATTTTCTGAGGGTTCTGTCTTACAATCAACTGCTTGACTGTCTCTTTTAATGCAAAGTTTTTGATGAGCCCTCAAAGAGGCCTTGTTGTTGAAATGTGCGAGGCATGTTGCACACTGGAGATCCTCAAGTGTGACAGTGGATCTCGGAGATGAAGGCGAGTGCCCGGTCTCGTACCCATGGCTTTTCATGTGAAACTGAAGTGCTTTGGCCCGTGAAAACAACTTCCCACAGTCAGGACAGCTGTACGTGTTCTTTTTCAACTGCTCAACCTGATGCTGAAAAGACTTACTCGGTGGTGGGAGTAACTGGTCATTATGCACAACCTGGTGTCTGAGGAGGCTGGAAAAAAGTCGGAACGACCTGTTGCAGAGCTCACATTTATGATTTCCGTTTTCATGTTTTCGCATGTGCAAGGCCATAATGCCCTTGTGACGGAACTTTCTACCACACACTGGACATGCAACCTTAACACTGGAGCGTGGGTGTCCATTAGCAGAGTGCAGAGATCCTGCAACACCTTTTCTTAGCCTCAAATCTGCACACTGAGTCTGACTTTGCTTGTGGTGGGAGAAAGCTCCTAGAGACCAAAAACCCTTCCCACATTGTTCACAATGATAAATCTTTGGGCCTAGAAGGGTTTTCTTTGGATTGTACTCTTTCTTAGTGACTGAAATATTCTCTTTCTTTTGTGCGGAGCAGTTTTTCATATGGTTAAACAAGCTAGCTGCATACGAATAAGACATCATGCAATCTGGACATTGGAACTGTTTTCTTTTGGGATGATGCAACTGATGAGAGACAAAAGCAGACAAACGCGAGAAGCATTTACCACACTCATTGCATGTAAATATTTTCTTCTCCAATCCCTCTGCCTGGTACAATACATCACTGCTTGTGTTTTCATTCTTGTGTTGTTGTATGTGACTGCAGTGTGCTGCATAGCTACTGGCTTCGTGGCCACATGTGTCACATGTGTAAACTGCCACTGACTGACCTTGAGTCTGTTGTCTTCTCTTATGAACGCCATGCCACATTCTGTGAACTCGCAGTGATGAAGCACTAGAAAACCAACGGTAACACTCTGGACAATCGAATCTTTCCCCTGTCGTTTTATTCTCGGCCTCGGCTTGCTCAAAGTCAATTTGTACAATTTTCAAATCCATCTCTGGTTTTAAAACAGTGCTACTGGGGGAAATCCCAGTGTCGTCGTCATCCCTTACTTCCTGATCCGATTCACACAGCAGCTCAAGATCAGGATTCAGGTCTTGAACGGGCTCGTCCTCAGATTCACTTGCACTGATCACTTGTACATTAAAGTCCCCGGGTTCATAACTCTCCATGTCTTCATCAATCTCATTTACATGAGAGTCTTCTTCAGCCACACTGGTAGGAGGCATGTTCTCAGCTTCCACTTGGTCCTTCTCAGTCTCTTTTGTTTCACTTTCCGAAGCTTTCTGTTGAGGTAACAGAGAGGTGCGCAGCTTGGCTTCCTTCTCTGTTTCTTTGAAAACATCCGTATGATGAAGCTGATGTGAGTGAAGCGCTGAGGCCCTGGAAAACCTGAGCCCACAATCTTTACATTCAAATGCCTTCTTCTGTAGCTGACATACTTGATGAAGAAACGACTTTGCTGGGGTCTCGTCGCTGTGCGCCGTGCGCTGATGTCTGTAGTAGAAGGTTAGAGTCATAAATACTTTTCCACATTCCTCACAAGGGAACCTTTTCGCTGAATCATTTGAGTGATTAGCATGCCATCGCTGATGGTTGAAGAGGGCGATATGACCATTGAAAGCCTTTTTACACTCACTACAGTAAAACTCATTGCTGCTTTTCTTTGGTTTTTCTTTCATTTCTTCAGGAGAGCATTGACTGTTGCGGCTAAATCGCTGATGGGTTTTAAGGCGCATAAGAGCAGTAAATGCTTTACCGCATGAACACTTAAAAGCTTTTTCAGGAGCATCATCTGTCTGGTTTTCACTGGGCTTGGCTTCAACTACTGACTCCTCAGTGTGAAATGCATCTCCTGAACTCCTGTTTCGTGACTTAACTAACTTTTCCTCATGACAACGGCGGTGCGCATCAAGAGCTGAAGCGCGAGAATAATTCCGCCCACAAGACTCGCACTGAAACGACTTCTTTTTCAAATGTTCGAGGTCATGAAAAACTGACTTGGAGGCTTGTCTGTGTGAGCGCTGGTGGTTGAGAAAGTGTCCAATCACACCGTAACATTTCCCGCAGTCTGGACATTCATAAGTGTGCTGCTTCGTTATCCCAGAATTTATTTGAATGCTAGAATCCTTTTGGGAGGTTTGACCGTGGTTCTTCTCCATGTGCGAGAGGAACTCACTTGGTTCAACAAATGAGAGTGAACATAGAGTACAGATATTAGCTGTTTCGCTGTCCTTTTCTGCGTCATGTAAGCCATCCAACTGGTTGTCTAAAAACACGCTCTCCTTGGGGTGCTGATGGCGATGCTCCAAGTAGGCTGCCTCCTCTCTAAAGGCTTCTCCACAATCCCGACAGCAGAAAACCCCAACCCCTAAAAATAGAAAGGGGAAAATAGGAGGTCAAAGCCACTCCTGTTTCCAGAGAAAGAAAAGACAGAAGAAAAAAAAAAAACCAAAAAAAAAAAAAAAAAAAACACAAATCACAAAAACACAGGTACAAATCATATCTTTATTTTTAATAGGATTAGAGTTTACAGTATAATCAGAAAAACTTGGTTCTGGAAATACAACATTACCCATAAAAGACAAAATACTTGTGTGCTTAAGCCAAATGCCTTTTGTGAAGTTCAATTGTTTGGTTATTTGATAATAGGTACTGACCTTCGCATCTAGAAAACTTTACTCAGGTATCATTACACCAAGAGGAAGCACCAACATTCAAGCTATTCTGATCCTGCCTCCAAGTGGCACTTAACAGTCATGTTTATGACACAGCAAAGTTAAGTATGCAATATGCTTGGAGTTATAGCTGCAGCAATTAGTCCATCAATTAATTAGTTGTCAACTATTAAATTCATATTTTGAGTATTCTTTTTTAATTAAAAGAATGAGTATGTTTGTGTTGTGGACAAAACAAGACCTTTGGTGACGTCAGCTTTGGGGAACCATGATCAAGATTTTACCACTATCTGACATTTTATGAACCAAACCAAACAACTAATCAAAGAAAAAAGTCGACAAAATATGTATAATATAATAATATATAATGAAAATAACTGTTTGTCGCAGCTACTTTGAATGCAATCAATTAAAGAAGAGCCAACATTGTAGTCTGTTGCCTTATTATAAACGCCTTACTGTTCTCTGTTCCCTTACAATGAATGCTTTTTTGGTTTTTCATTGCCATGCTGCAGAGAAACAAACCCCCTCTCCCCAGTTCAATCATTGTTAATAAGGTCAGTATACTTGACAACAATCGGAATAACATTTCAATTTATGTAGTTCTAAATCATCTGTGGGTTGTCCATGTGCACTATACCATGAATTGTCATTCAAAATAAGATCTAAAGGGGGCAGTAGCATTCATATGATGCATTGTATGTTAATTCTTGCACACACAAGAAGTGCCTGGTTACAGTATGAGCTGCATTATCATTAAAAGTTTTGTTTCTGCAAGTCAATGAAGCAAATTTAATACCATGAGAAAGCATAACACAAGTGTTTGTTTTATATTTTTCACAAGGAAGTGCAGAAATTGGTTCCATAAAATATATTTTAAAATAAAACTTTCTGAGTTGCACTATTAAAATGTCATGATCTATCAATTAGTTTGTTTACCCTGATTAGGTGAGCTGCGTTAATTGACTGTCAGTTCATATCAGTAGATTTTGCATGAGACTCTTCAGTATTAACGCCACAGAGAAAGAATAACTTCCACACCCGTAATCCCAGTCTAAAATACACTGGTTCAACCCTGTAAATGAAAATGACTTAAGGTCATAATCCACAGCTATGTTATTCTGATGAAAGCATCAATTTAACATGGATTTTTGTCAAGTACACTGAGTAGCCCTCCAGTCAATTTTCTCCCTTCAAGTAGCCCTCACATGCAGCTTCTGTATTGTGTATATTGCATTTAATAACACTGTGCTTTTTGTGTCCCATCAGATTTCAAATACCTACAAATTAAATAAAGACAATATTTAATTTGCTAAATATCTTGTGGCATCGAATAATTGAAGGTCAGCCTTTAATTTCTATGGTTTCTGAGGTCGGCCTGGACACATAATATAGTTCAACAGGACTACAGTAATCGCATTTTCCTTCTCATCACTACATTGATTATACTGCTTGTGAAGGACTTCTTATATGATGATTAAATGCAAACATTGTGGATAAAACCCGATATCTAAACATACTGTCGACACTTTTTACTCCAATATATCGATATGGTTGAGTGTCAGCTGTGTCCAGGACTGTTGCAGCACTGAGCATCCATTAACACTCAATGACCAGGAGGCCAGGCTTGGATGTGCAACAGTGTGAGTTAGTGCTATTTGTTAGGGTTATTTTAGGGCGTTTGCCGCAAAATAGCAGTTATTGTTTCGTGTCCCTTCGCTGAAGCTCATGGAGGAGGTCACTTGGTGTGAACACACTCACGGTGTATTGATAGTTACGTTAACGATGAGCTCAGTGCCGGCTACTGTGTGCTTACCATCAGCGGGGTCCTCAGCCGACGTACCGTCGTTGTTCTCCGATTGTCTGTCTCCATTATGGGGGGTCTCTCCTGCTCCGTCCTCTTTCATTGCCGCAGCAGTAGCTTCGTCCATCTTGGCGTGGCTCTGTTTGGTAGCGCTAGCTCTGGTGCTAGTTAGCTTAATAGCTCCAGCGTTGTTTATCAAAATTTTACATCAAGCGAAGTCACTCAGCGCAGAGCCGGGTCAAAAAAACAGTGAGGAAAAATCAGTATGTTAAGATGATGTTACAAGATAGCATTTTGTAATGTTTTTAGCAATGGAAGTGATGATAATCACGGCTAGCTGTGCCGCACGCACACCTGCGCAGTGTGGCGATACACCACTGGGCGGAAGTGATTTCTTCTTCTTCTGTTTTGTTTCCTTCCTTTGGCTGACCTGCAGCTACTGAAGCCTGAATATAAAGTCATTCTCAGCAGGGTTTATATATATATATATATATATATATACTCTTGAGGTCCCTACTGACTTCATAGACACTAAAACAATTATATAAATGTATTAATATATATAAAATTATATAAATTTTGTGGTTTCTTGACACATTATTTGTAGGAACCTTAGTTTGTTATATAATACAGAAAGGTTTTTCACATCCACATTGGACCAGTTGACAGTTGATAGCACACAACTTAATAAAGTTGACAAAACATTATAGTGTTTTTAGTAATGCTGTATGGGAGATTTCAGTCCCATATGATCAGATTAAAGTTACTCTTTGCAGAGGCAGAACATTTGTGTTCTTCCTCCAGGCAGGCAGAAATTCAGACATATGCTAAGACTTTAATCACAATTAGCATTCATTGGTCTTCATGCATACTTCCATTTTATACTTTAAATTTTCCACCAACAAATTCAAACCCCTGAATTAGGTTTACCTAACAAGTACAGTGCAACACGTGTTTATAATCAAAGGCAAGTTTTATTTAATTCAATATGTAGACATCATGGGAAATTTCTATTTCTTTCCATGCTAAAACAGTGGATAGAGGTAGAAGGGCACATGTTTTTGAATCTTAAGACGCTGAATGTTAAGACGCACAGGGACATTTTTATTTAAATTTTTTTTTTACAAATGGACTGTGTTTATTTTACAGTAGTAATGAAGATTTTTCAGTCACTTACAGTATTGGGCCACCAAAGCTACTCAAATGCCCGTTATCATAACAGAGGAAATGGGATTCTGTACCCAGCTAAATCTAGTTATGGAATGAAGTCATTCAGTATTCACAAAAAATACATTGAATTGTACTCAAAAGTGGACTTAATTTTATAAACATGGGTACATTCCAATCTGAAATAGTCATTCTAGTACGAGATACACATTACATGGCACTCATTAGTTTACCGTAGGTGCAACTGCCACCCAGAAATCAGTTTAAAATTTAATTGTCAAGTATATCAGTCATGACACATTGCCAGAAATGAAGCAAAACATCCACTTTATATAATCGGTTTCATGTTCGTCTTGCCATTGTAAAAATTATTGACAAAACATCACATAAACCCAAGTTTAATTTATTACAAATTTGATAACAGTGCCATTAATAATTGTGTAATGACGCTGCTTTCTCTCTGTTCCTAATAACCACTCAAGAGTCAAATTTACAGAAAACTCTTAATCTGATATTACCGTTACATGTAACCGTCACCTTTTGTTTACAGATACGTTTGCTTTGACCAAATTATCACGATGTGAACCTTATTCAAGAGATATTTGGATCCAGTCAATGGCGCTGTGAATACAAGTGCTTCCTAACAGGGTTGTACTGTATGCGGTCAGCCTTTGCATTGTATGTTCTGGTGCACGTATTCTGTGAGCCCAACAACCCACCCCTCCCTTCTTCAAAAGCAAAAACATACATTTCTTTACAGTATCTTAGAAAGAGTTGCTCTGTGTGTTTTGGGAGTGAGGTCACATTGTTGAGTCTACCTTAAGCACAAACTAGGCCTAGAATACCAAGACAGCAGACATGCAGACTGTACTCATAAAAGGCACACAGTATACTGTACATGAAGAAACACAGTTCAAATGGTTCAGGATGTATGAACAGAACTATAAAAGTACTAATATTATCTAAATCTAAAGGTCATTGGCAATAAATGAAATGTAGGCTGTAGAGCCTCATTAACCTGCACCCCTCAGAAGTTGTTTAAACAGGTTAAGTATTTGGATCATTTAAATGCATTAAAAAAGACAGTGAAAGTAATTTAATGGCACATGTATACATCCTATATTAGAACAGTCTGTGGAGTCTAATTTGAAGCTGAAAGACTGTGCTTGACTAAATCCAGTTTCACTTTTATCGTTTTGTTTCTAATGCCCATCCACTCTACTGCAGCTGTCAAACTTCACAACTGAGGGTCAACTAAATGAGGCTCCACTGAGAAAAAAATATATATAAAAAAAAACAACATAACTAAGTCTGCTAGTGTAGACATGTCAAATCTCTCCTTGGGCATGTTGCAAGTAATGCATTTGTAGATCCAACTCCCGAGGAAGAGAGCACCCGCATATCATGCACTGGAGAAGTCGTTCTGGAGCAAAAGGCAAACGGGATCCGAGTTTGTGAGGTTCTGTCCGTGGGGCAAGCTGAGGTAGGGGCAGGGTCTGTGGCATGTGTGGCCTCTCGCTCATGACTGCCTGTGGTGTGAAAAAAATATTTGGGTGTGGAGGTCTTGAGAGTGCACCAACTGCGACAGAGTGAAGAGGGTGAGGCCCTGGCAAAGCAAGAGGAGGGAGCGGAGCAAGTGGAGGTGAGAAAAAAGGAGATGGCTGATTTATGATTATTTGAGTGCCTGTTACCATTGGTTGTTGCTGCAGCTCCTGTCCATTCCCTGGTTTGAGTTGCCCAGTGAGCAGTGTTTGTGGACCCACAGGATTACTTTGGAAGCCCCATACAGGCGTTCCCATCCCCTGGCCAAAACGGTGAGGCTCGTATTGAATGGAGATGGGAACCTTCTGTGTCACTGTCTGACTCTGTACATTGGCCCAGCCAGATGACACCTGCTTTTGCTGCAGCTGGAAATCTTGACTATTTACTAATTTCTCAGGGGAGTTTATAGTCTTTGGAATTCCTGGTGGTGTTTGTATGTCCCACAAGGTGCTACCGACCCCGTGAGAAACAGGAGTTGAAATTGGCATAGCACTGCTTTGGTCTATTTGAGCTGAGGTGGATGCACCTACTAAGCCAGAAGCCCACTGCTTTTGCAGCTCACAGCTGTTCCATGGCTTCTCTGGCTGGCTAACAGTCGACGGTATAACTTGAGGATTACTCATGTCCCACACTCTAGAGTCCTCTTTTTTAGGAGGTATGGATGGGTCCTTTTGTGTTGACACTGGGGCACCTGGCCATCTTGGCAGCTGAAGCTCTTGACCAAGCTTGTTTGGAGAGCCCTGTGAATTTGCTAGTTGAGCAGGTCTGACACTCCACAGAGCTGCCCCATCTATGTAGGACGGAACAGAAAAATCATGTGGCAAAGAGCTTGTGGAAGCGAGCACCGTGGACGTGGGTGTGCTGCTCCAAGTAACAGGCTTGGGTTGCCTCAGCTGCTCCATCTCACTCACTGCTGATGGGCTGGATTTTTTTGGCACAGCTGCCAGGTGGGAGCTGACCATAGCAGCTGCACTCTCTTTCATGTGTGATGACTCTGAATTCTGAGCAGATGTGGGGCCTGACTGAGTTATTGAAGGGCTATCTGCCCAGCCTGGACTTCTCATGTGGTGCTGCTGTAGGCCTGGCTGTGGTGGGCTGTCAAACGGCGTCTGCTGCGCATGTTGCTGCTGTGACGACGGAACAGGCATTACCTCCCCACCGTCCACCTTCCACTGCACTGGTTGAGGGTGTAGCTCCGGCAGCCACGGCTCCTTCTGCTGTCTGCCTTGTAAATCCATGCGAGATGAGAGCATGGAAGACTGTGGTTGGGCTGCCCTTCTGTGCAACTCGGCATCTCTCAGTGCCGAAACTGGAAATGGAGACAGCTGAGAGCTAACCATCCCTGAGCCTCCTAACGGTCTAGACCAGCCCCACATGGGCCTCCCCCCTCTCCTCCCCCGGCTACCCCTGCCTCTCATCCTAGCACCCATTGGGAAAGAATTATACTGGCTGAAACTCTGGCGCTTGCGAGCATGGATCTTCTGGTGTACTAGCAGGCTGCTAAACCAGGAAAAGGTTTTGTGACACTCATCGCAGCGATGAGGTCTCTCTCCTGTGTGTGTGTTCATATGATCGCGGAGCAGATAGGCTAATCCAAAGCTCTTGTCACAAAGGTCACACTTATGAGGTTTGTCACCATTATGTGATAACATATGGTGCTGCAGTTGGGTCTCGTCGCTGTAACCTTTGCGGCAGCTGGTGCAGCGGAACGGTTTTTCCTGATGCAGCTTTTGATGTGTTCTCATGTTCTGCAGGAAGGCAAAGTCTTTCCCACAGTCGGGACATTTGTATGGCTTCTTGCCTGTATGGATGATGAGATGTTGTTGTAAGTAGCTACTGAATCTAAAGCCCTTGCCGCACACTTTGCACTGGTAAGGCTTGTCCTTGGAATGTATGCGCATATGCAGCTCTAACACTGAGCGGTGGCGGAAAGTTTTTCCACACTCAGAACATTTATATGACTTAATACTTATGTTATCACTTCTCCATTTCCCCTGCACATTATCACTGCTTAATGGAGTCAACTGTTTTTTAGGAGGTGCTGCCACCTTTTCTAAATATTGTGCTGCAGATTTGTGACTTAACAGATGTACATTTAAACTGGATTCATCACGATAAACACACGGGCAGTGGGGACAAGTGTGTCCTTTGTCCCAGACCTTGTTAATCTCACTGGGGGGTCTGGGTGTTCTCTCCAGCATCTCATACTCTGCCTCATGAATAAGCATGTGGGCCCTCAGGTTAGCTGGAGCCCCGTAGGTCTGGGGACAAAGGGGGCAGTTGAATGTGCGTTTCGGTTCCTCGCTCTGGTTTGTGTTCTCTTTTCCCGGCCCCCTAACTGCCTCCTGTACGGGCACCGGGGCCTGCTTGCTGGGCTGCTCAGGGGAGGAGTTTGTTTCGCGCAGTCTATGCTGGCGGCAGTGTGCCTTCATGTTCTGAGCAAAGGCAAAAGTTTTCCCACATTCAGGACAGCGGAAGGGTTTCTGACCCGTGTGCAGATACTGATGCTGATGGAGGAGGCTGCTATACTTAAAGGTCTTACCGCAGATGTTGCACAGGTGTGAGCGCGTGTTGTCTGTGTGCTTGCGACGGTGGTCTTCCATGACGGAGTAGTGTTTGAAAACCATGCCGCACTCCGGGCATTCATAGGGTTTCAGAGCGGTGTGACATCGCTGGTGGTGACGCAGGGCCATGGTGTTTGGGAAGGTTTGACTGCACTCTTGGCATGTGAAGTTGCTCTCCTGGGAGTGGGTCATCATGTGCTTAGTGACAGACACCTTAAACTGGAACTCTTGGCGGCACAGTGGGCAGTGGTAAGGCTTTTCTACTGTATTGCAGCAGTTGTGGTCCCTCAGCTTATCCACTGTAGAGAAGACCCTCTCACATTCTGCACACTGAAAACTCCCCTCCTCCTCCGTTTGCACCTCCTTCTTTGGAGTAACAAGTTGCTGCTCCTCCTTCTCTTTATGTTCATTTCTGTGTTTGATGAGGCTGCTGCGGTGCTGAAAGGTAAGGCCGCATTCTTTACAGGTGAGGGGCGTGAGCTCATCCTCGTGTGCGTGAAAGTGGCGGTGAAGGTTGAACGTCTCGCGGCGGTTGAACCTCTTCCCACACTCCTTGCACACCAAACGGCACTTTTTTGGCTTAGCTGTCGTGTCAGCGTCCTGCCCTCGGTCCGCCTCTTCATCATCTTCAACCCCGTCCTCTAACCCATCGACGTCTCCCACCGGCTCCTTAGCCGGCGCTGTCTCCTTAACCAGTGCTGTCTCCGTGGTCTTCTCACTGGAGCGGTCCTCCTTGTGAATCTCCTCTGCATCAGCTGTAATGTTTTCATCAACATGTGTGTCCTGCTGCACCTCTCCAGCACTCTCTCTCACATCATTGTGGTCTGTAAAAGAAAAAGCACATCATTGTAACTTGTATTATTGTGTAATAATAACAACAAACAAACAAAATAACACAATCATAAACTATAAATAAACAAACAACCCATCAACAAACAAACTGCACGCTGCTAACACAGCTAACCACCATCAGCGCAGATCACAATCTTTAGTGCGGGATGCTAGCTTGAGTTGTGATGGTAATTAATGTCAGTGGAGTTGACAGTGTGTATCGAACCGGTAGTGAGAGCTAACCTACAGCTCAGGTTAGCCCGGAGGCTAAAGCTAACTGTAAATTACATTAAAAAACGTTAGCATACCACACTTGTCATTTTCCTGCTTGAGTGTTTTCGCCCCTTCGTCGTCGTCTTCAGTTTCAGACCAGTCGTAAGCCCGCTGGTCGCCGCCAGGAGACTCGGTCATTTTTTCTGCCGATGTTAGGTCGTCCGGTGAATTGCATGTCGTTTTGTCGGCTCCAGCACCGGACTCGACACTAACCTCGGAATGGCTGGCAACACCACCACCGCCGTCGTTGCCAGCACTGGCTCTCTGCTCATCGTCGGGGCTCTCTGTGGTTTTATTATGTGTCCTTTCATCTTCCTTATTAAAGCCGCATCCCGACTCCACCGCCTCGGTCTTCCCCCCAGATGTTTCCTCCTCCTCCGCAGGGGATTTCTGTCGTTTTGGAGACTCCGACGGGTCTACGGCGGCCATGTTTCCCCCATGCACCCCCTTGTCCAGAACACACAAGGATCATGCTCGCCAGCCTGAACAAGGAATGAGATTTCCGGTAGAAACTTTCAAAATAAAACTCTTTTTACTGGGGGGGAGAGAAAGAACTTTAGTTCATCATTTCATTAAATATAATTAGACACCTCAAATTAAAAACGTCCCTTTCGACTACTGCTGTGGTTTTGTTGTTCTACACACAAAACACACACCTTCACAACTCTATTAGCTCAACATAAATAACTTTTTTTTCCTATGCTATGGGACAAATCCACAAGTGATCAGCTGGATTTATTTGCAGTCCATGTCTGACTTTTATTAAAGTTTAGTTACATTTCAATGGAACAGTAGCTATCTACAAAATATAGGCTGTGCAAAACTACGTAGATGATGGCCATATGCTGTTTCTTTGCAACTATCTTACAAACACATCCATCATACTGCATGCAAGATTATAATAAATAGCCCCTACATACTTAAGTATGCTTTTTAATTCCACCAGAAACATATGAAGCCTACTGTGATGTAAAACGTCAGTTCTTTAAAATGTAACATTTTCGTCTCAAAACACACTGAACAGAACGCAGTCTAACTTTATTGTCCAACCAAAGCTGGGAAAGTATGTACCAGGAAACTGTTAAAAAAGCACAAGCATACATTAGCAGGTAATTACTATAGCTGTATAACTACAATATATGGTAACAACTGCAGATTACAAGTACTTTATGACAATGTCGTTAGTGTGTCAGAAGAATTGCTGCGAAGCATGTACAGTGACATGCATATTAAACATCAGCACCTACAGTATGTTGTTGTCTGGGGATTGAAAGTCTCATGAGTGAAGTTGTCACTCCACAGAACTGTTTTCAGGAAGTCTTTTAGCACAGGAATATGTACGTTTGTCTGAGGAACCAAGCTAATGTTAAGGCCACCCTATTCTCTCATGTGTCTAACTGTCCTATCCACTTCAGTCCTCTCTGAAGACAAACTTAAGCGTGAGATGGATTACGGATTTGGAGCGCGACGTAAAACTCCAAATAACACAGTTTATTTATACAGAAATACTGTCGATAGAAAAAGAGCATCATTTCTTGTCACATTTTAAAACACCACATATTCATGATGTGCGCTTTTTAAGTTTCTAAGTACTTTCTCCTCAGCGCCGTCTTCTGCGCCTGTGATCACCTGCTCTTCCTCGCCGTGGCCTCTGCACACCTCCATTTGCATCTGCGGGTGGATCAGAGGGAAAAGTGCCATGTACGTCGGGGGACGATGGTGCAGGTACCGCTGCTGCAGCCGACTGGTTATTCGAATGTTGGGTGGCCAGTGGCTGCTGCTGTATTTGTGTTTGGTGCTGCTGGGACTGTTGCTGTACTACATGTGGCTGCTGCTGATGTTGTAGTTGTGGCTGCAGTGGTGCTTCAATCCGCGGTTGTTGTTGTTGTTGTTGTTGTTGTTGCGGCTGCTGCTGTGGTTCCAAGTGTTGTAGCTGCTGCTGCTGCTGCTGCTGCTGAGCTGGCTGTGGCTGTAAGTGCTGTTGAGTTGTTTGTGATTGGTGTGCTTGTTGTACACGATGTTGCTGTGACTGTGGTTGTTGCTGGGCTTCGAGCACTCCTAACAGCCTTTGCAAGAGGACATTGTTTTGTTGTAGACTGACTGCTAATGTCTCTTGTGAAGCGACAAGTGTTCTCATGTCCTGTCTGAAACCTTCACCAAACTCCCGCAGACTTTTTTCTACCCGATTTCCCAGCTGTATCGCCGCCTCCCCTAACCCTCGTAGCTCATCTTCGAGCCAGGAACTGCGCAGAGGGGCTTCAAGAGGACCCTGCTGTGCTCCAAGTGATGGCTGAGGGCTGCTGGGCTGAGGGCTGCCGTTGAGGAAAGGAGCACTGTAAAGCGGGGAAGGAGGCAGCCATCGCTCTGATGGAGGAGGTGGTCCTATGCCCAGACCAAGTCCTAATCCCAGTTTGTCCTCCATGCTGTTGTCTGCTTCACACTCAGGATCTCCCATGTCTCTCTCACGCTCAGGATTGTCCTCATCCTTCTCCAAACCATCCCTCTCTGATCCTTCCACTCCTACACCTGCAAGGAAGCATTGCATGTGGGTACAAACTGATATTCGTTGCTTCTATAGAATAAAAGAAACAGCTGAGTAATCCAATAACTTATTTTTACCTGTATCAGAGTCAGGGAAGCATGGGAAACTGGGCTTTGGTCTGGTGCTTTGCTTTTGCCTGGCTTGATGAAGCCTGGGGCTCGTCTGGGAGGGACGGCCAAGCATCGAGGCCCCTCTGCTGGATGGCAGGTAACAGCTGCGGTGGCGGGCATCTGCTAGCCTTCCTCCATTGCGTCTCTTCAAGTCGTCCCAGCGCTTCTTGACCTCTCGAAGAGTGCGTGGGACTCTAGACACAGCGTTGACTCTCTCTAGGATTCCTGCCCAGATGCGCTCTCTCTCCCGCCGCCGGAGCCTCCCCGCAGGACCAAAGAGTTCTCCTTCACACCGGGTGACTTCTGACACCAACACCTCCAGCTCTGCTCCACTGAAACGACTCTTTCTTTTCCCTGCACCACCAGCAGCCAGCGCAGCTGACATAGCTCTGTCTGTAGAGAGAGAGAGAAGTGACAGTACAGCCCAAAGGGAAAGTATAAATTGAAGCTATGAAAAAAGTGAAGCTAAATATACTGTATGAGGAAGAGAAATGTGCTTTAACAGTGTCAGTGTTATTTTCACTGAGCTATATGTGCTTAATATACAGTATTGAACTTTAACTACCTTTGGCAATGAATAGAGCATTAAGAGTAACATTTAACAAAACACTGTCTGTGTTTGCATAGATAAAATGTATTAATGCATGTCCTGGCTGTGCTTTTGTACAGAGCTGATAAAGGCATTTCACAAGATAATGTTATAAACATACATGTTTTATACACCCTTCCCATTAGGAGCCACATGTTCTGAACAAGGACATTAAATGATTGTATAACAAACATATATAATACTAAATCTAATTCAGGCTTACTTTGTTCAATGGACAAGAGGTCGTCTGAGGACATGCCGGGTGCCATGATGTTCGGATGCACCACTACCACATTGAAGGGGAGTCCCCCAGGTAATCCACTGCTCTGGTCACAGCTGCCCTCCGAGTCCTCATCCTCCCTGGGGAAGCCGTTTTCCGAGGCTCCCCCTCCAAAGGGTCCCTCCGGAGACTCCACTTTGATGTGCATGGGAGGTGATTGCTCGTACAGCAGCCCCCCCTCCTCGTAGTACTCAGTCATGGGTCAGACCTGATTTACAGCAGAACTGACTGGCCGGCCAATTCTGATACTGGCAGCTGCTGCCCCATTAACACGAGTTCAAGGTATAACTGCACCTACTGCTAAAGACATTACAACTCTTCAGTATACTGTATCAGATAATTATGAACTTGCTCTGGGCACAGCTGCCACACACACTATGTGGTGATTTCATAGGAAATACAGAGTTAACGTATCCTTAAATTATGGGATTTTACTTTTTAATTTAGTTCTTCAAAGGAATCAAGTCATTGCTGCAGCTTTAATGGGAGAGACAGTCATATTGTCTGACTAGGGCATGGAGTCCAGAGACTTTTATGGCCAGCTGCAGCCACTTAAATCCACTTCTACCATTTTCATTTATACTGATATGTTACTGAAAACATATACACACAGTATGAAAACATCTGGAGCTGGCTAGGAGCTACATCTACACGTCCAGCTGTGGTACAGTGAGATGCATCCTCCAGGCTGAGAATCGCCCTCAGAGCTGTAATACAACAACAAAACATAACACTGCTTACAACTAGGTAGCATTTAAAAAAAGAAATGAAAAAAAACGATGTTGTTTTTTCTCAGTGGTGTGGACTTCTGTGTTCTGTCGCATCGATGCGCATTTTTTTCTGCACCACATCCGCAATGGTTGCGCATTCCGCATACATTAGGTGCTGATCTTGCAATGGAGCTAGCTGCTGTAAGCTAACAGGCTAGCACAGTGGGAGGTGAAGCGGCGGCCGGCTGACAGCTGAGCAGACATGATTAGAAAGCTGACACGGTTGTATGTCTTACCTCATGACAACTGCACATGGGGGAGGCAAAACCAAACCAAAACACAATCGGTGCAGCTGTTAGCTCAACAACCGATACACAAACTGGAGCCCGTCGCTTACGATTGACGTCACTGGGGGAGAGGGTGGGGGGGGGGAGGGGGTGTTAGTTCAGGACCAATCAAAGTTTGGAAATGTTGAGCAAACGCATCTCTGTTCGTTTTAGTGTAGTTTTCAAATCTCTTGGAGAGGAACTGATGTATAAACAGTAAACTCATGGGAAGGAGCATGAAGCAGGATCTTAAGTCACTGTGTCCGAAGAGTCTTCAGTCAAAACAAATCAGCTGGACATGTAAACAATGTGTAATGTGTCTAGAGGCAATCCAACATATGGGGAATAAAGTCACTAATAATTAATTTATATTCGATTGGCTTTAAATGAAGCATTCCTCTGCTAAACTAGAAAAACAGTAACGCAAAACCAAATAACAGTCTCAGTTATTTTCTCTTTGTCCTTTATAATAAATTCCTAATAATTTACCCAAGATTAACATAGCAAATCATTTGACTTAAATAATTACTGACATCTAAAATAGGTTGTATATTTGCATGGTGACACATCCAAACCTGTTCATGTCTAATATCACAGCAATGATTCTGTTAAAGCCTAGAGAGTTAATTCAGATTTAAAACCAGAATCACTTTTATTGGCCAGGTATGTGTGCACATGTAAGGAATTTGACTCTGGTTTTACGTTGCTCTCAATGTATAAACGCAGACTATATAATAAATAGACATAAATAAACAGTTCAACAAAAAAAAGACATAGAGTTATATGTACAGTTATACACACATAATAATAATATAAACAAACATTGGTAGATAGTTACAACAGTGCAAAGGTGTAAAATATTTTACATGCAGGTATCTTTATGTACATGGGTCTACTGTAGATACAGTGCATACAGTATGCACAGCATAGGTATATGTTTTTGAGTAGAATTTATGTTTTATGTTTTTAAAAAACAAACTTTAATTTTCAGCAGTGGAAAATAAGTAATGAATGTTTCATTAAGAGTCCTAGGGTTATTGTACAGGGCAGTTAACTGTTGGTCAGAGTGGGTAGAAACTGTTCCTGTGTCTATTCAATAAATATAATTTAACCAAACTGTAAACTTAAACATGACACATTATTTTGTTTTATCTGTGTACCTTACAACCTTTGCCTGTCTTTCTGTTTTTCTTTACAATTAATTACAATACAAATGTATCGGTGGTAATATAAAGGTCTGCATATGTATCTGTAGATGTCAGCATAAAATGAATGACTCATGGAAATCCATTCGTTAGTCTCTTTGACCATGCTGCTGTTTCCCAGGCAGGATAATGTTTAAACATTGTGCAAGCTACATGGAAAAATCCTTGAGCGTTAGATAAGTTTGCCTGTATATAAGCCCGCTGCATCTGCTCCTGCTGTGTGTACGCTCAGTAGACGCAGACAACAATCATGAAGTACTTTATTCTTCTGGCCCTGTTCGCTGCAGCCTGTAAGTTTGTTTGTGGTGATAAAAAACTGAATTTCTTTCATTTTGTAGACAGTTCTTTAAGAGGGGAGTATAAGCTCTTAAAATAGTTCTAACTTACTGTTTCTATTACAGTCGCTGCTCCCATTGAGGATGAGGATGACAAGATTGTTGGAGGCTACGAGTGCAGAAAGAACTCTGTGGCCTACCAGGTCTCTCTGAACTCTGGCTACCACTTCTGTGGAGGCTCCCTGATCTCCAGCACCTGGGTGGTGTCTGCTGCTCACTGCTACAAGTCGTAAGTGCAAACATTTGATTTTAGATTCAACAGAATGTATTGTTACACCATCAGGCTGCTGCAAAACTTTTTTACATAATACTTGACTTACTTTTACACACTTATCTAAACAGGCAAACTAACTGCCTCATTACAAATGTAATGTCACATTTGTCACTTCCATGTAATCCAATCCTTGTGTCTCTCTGCAGCCGCGTCCAGGTGCGTCTTGGTGAGCACAACATTGCTGTCAATGAGGGCACAGAGCAGTTCATCAACTCTGCTAAGGTCATCCGTCACCCCAGCTACAACAGCCGCAACCTGGACAATGACATCATGCTGATCAAGCTGAGCAAGCCCGCCTCCCTGAACAGCTACGTCCGCACCGTGTCCCTGCCTTCCAGCTGTGCCGGCTCTGGCACCCGCTGTCTGATCTCTGGATGGGGAAACACCAGCGGCTCTGGAAGTCAGTAAAAGTCTGCAAATATAGCTGGAAGACATTTGTTGCAGATGTTGGGGTGTGAATATTTACATGCATTGTCTTTTTCTTCTGTAGGCTACTACCCTGATCGTCTGAGGTGCCTGGATGCCCCCATCCTGAGCGACAGCAGCTGCAGGAGCGCCTACCCTGGTCAGATCACCTCCAACATGTTCTGTGCTGGATTCCTCGAGGGAGGCAAGGACTCCTGCCAGGTACAAGCTGAAGTCATCATCATTGTTTCTTAAAGTGGACCCACCAACCTTCAGAACACCTCTGCTCACATGTTGTTCTTTCTATCTGTATCCTATCAGGGAGATTCCGGTGGCCCCGTGGTGTGCAACGGTCAGCTGCAGGGTGTGGTGTCCTGGGGTTATGGCTGCGCCCAGAGGAACAAGCCTGGAGTGTACGCCAAGGTCTGCAACTACAACTCCTGGATTCGCAACACCATGTCCTCCAACTAAAGTCACTTTTTTGGAAGGAACATTAATCTATATTCTCTGACTATGACAACTGTTTGAAGAAAATAAATGATTAACATCAAACTCACTCTCTGTCATTCCTTGTTTTGTGCTGTTGGATAAAAATATATGTGAAGAGAATCCGCAGGGAGGAAAAGAAGATGAACAGTATTTTCATTTAGAAATGAATAGAAGATATGTGTCCAGAAATTCAGAAACCCTGCATTAATACAAAAAACTAAAGTTTCTGTATCAAAAACAAATAAAACTGCCACAAAATAAAATACTTTTCACTAATGAAATATGATATGAAATAAAAATGAAATATATAAATAGAATCTTTAACAAATCAACACACTGAACAGCAAGAGTTCAGTACATGACTAATATACATGTAGGGGTTGTACAGAACAGTTTGATATTACTTTGATTTTGAGAGAATCACAAAATATTTCTTACTTCATAAATAAAGGTTAATTCTGACTCCCATGTTTGTCTCATCAGTAAAATGATATAAAACAATTTAAGGTAACTCAGTCATCTTGGATGATAAATACTATGTTATTTTCATCAGGCATTGGATATTTACAACAAATAAATACGTTATCCTGAAATATGTATGCATGTGATTGCTTCTGTTCACTAGTGTGACTACAGAGAATAATAATAAAGTGTATGGAAAACTATTATTTTGCATTAAGATACAATCTATGTGTCATTATAACATCAACAGCTATTAAAAACCAAACGCACTGCAAACAATTCCAGAGAAATATTTGAGGCTAAGTATTGTTCCCCCTTAAAAAACAGAAAAAAATGAACTAAATATGAATACAGTATTGATATAAACAACAATAATGTGAAATGCACAGAGGACATTTGTTGTACATTTGCAGTTAGACTGAATTAAAGAAAACAGTTGGACAATTTAACATTAGTGTCTTGTTTATTTAGATGATGTCTAATGAATCAGGGTTTTAACCCTGGAGAACAAACAGAAGACAGACAGGAACATCAAATCTTTAACAGGAAGAGTAGCTGACATACAAACATCATTAATGAAACACACACAACTCATGTTTACTGTTGATATAACAGTTAATTTGTTTTCCTCCAGATGATGGTATCTTTAGCACATGATTACAAGTAACATGTAGTAGTAATGTAGTACATTTCATTGAAGGATAAACAGGCATTGTAAGGATAATACAACTTGATTTCCATTAAACAATCATTTCAAACAAATCAATAAGTCCTTAGTTTCTGTAAATTCCGTGTGTGTGACTGGTGGCAGGCTTCTTCGGACGTTATCAAAAACTCTACTCACGTCTTCCAGATGTGTTTTCACACACGATGGTCAGCAATATGGAAATACGTGTCCTTGGTCAATCAGATAGCAGAGGCTCAGAGTGGGTTTAAAAGGATCTGCAGTGCAGTTGAACTGACACTGAGGCTCAGACAGGACTCACCATGAAGGCTTTCATTCTTCTGGCTCTGTTCACAGTGGCATGTGAGTATGAACCTTACTTTTTAAAGTCAGTTTGACCATTTTTGTGCAAAACATACATTCTGGTTTATTCTGTACTCCTATCAGTCGCTGCACCCATTGAGGATGAGGATGACAAGATTGTTGGAGGCTACGAGTGCAGAAAGAACTCTGTGGCCTACCAGGTCTCTCTGAACTCTGGCTACCACTTCTGTGGAGGCTCCCTGATCTCCAGCACCTGGGTGGTGTCTGCTGCTCACTGCTACAAGTCGTAAGTTAGATTTTAGGTTAAACTGATACCAGAGCTGATCCAAACCCACAGCTTCCATGAATGAGATAGATACATTAGGTCCACAGTTATACTCCAACAACTTTTGTTGGTTCAAATTGGCATTACTAAATCAGAGATACTGACTGCATGCCTCATTACAAATGTAATGTCACATTTGTCACTTCCATGTAATCCAATCCCTGTGTCTCTCTGCAGCCGCGTCCAGTTGCGTCTGGGTGAGCACAACATTGCTGTCAATGAGGGCACAGAGCAGTTCATCAACTCTGCTAAGGTCATCCGTCACCCCAACTACAACAGCCGCAACCTGGACAATGACATCATGCTGATCAAGCTGAGCAAGCCCGCCTCCCTGAACAGCTACGTCCGCACCGTGTCCCTGCCTTCCAGCTGTGCCGGCTCTGGCACCCGCTGTCTGATCTCTGGATGGGGAAACACCAGCGGCTCTGGAAGTCAGTAAAAGTCTGCAAATATAGCTGGAAGACATTTGTTGCAGATGTTGGGGTGTGAATATTTACATGCATTGTCTTTTTCTTCTGTAGGCTACTACCCTGATCGTCTGAGGTGCCTGGATGCCCCCATCCTGAGCGACAGCAGCTGCAGGAGCGCCTACCCTGGTCAGATCACCTCCAACATGTTCTGTGCTGGATTCCTCGAGGGAGGCAAGGACTCCTGCCAGGTACAAGCTGAAGTCATCATCATTGTTTCTTAAAGTGGACCCACCAGCCTTCAGAACACCTCTGCTCACATGTTGTCCTTTCTGTGTCCTATCAGGGAGATTCCGGTGGCCCCGTGGTGTGCAACGGTCAGCTGCAGGGTGTGGTGTCCTGGGGTTATGGCTGCGCCCAGAGGAACAAGCCTGGAGTGTACGCCAAGGTCTGCAACTACAACTCCTGGATTCGCAACACCATGTCCTCCAACTAAATGGACAATCCTCCAAATAAGCAGCATGTTCTCTGTGTCAAAATGATGAAAAATTAATTTTAAAGTTCCAACAATAGTGCCAAAAGTCACTGTGTACACATTGTGGAGTTGAGTTGTGTGCAATAAAACATATTTTCCATAACATCTGACATTTCTATTGTTTTCCATTATTGCCTGGTGTTGATACCTATAGCATGTTTATAAAGTATATTATGTCAATGTGCATACAAGACATACGTCTGAGTGTACAAGTAGAGTTGTGGAGCTACATAAAACCTAATAAAAGGTTTTGGGAGGATGTGGTGAAGTAAATTCTGCTTTCATAATGCTTTCATCAATGTAACATCCAAGCAAGGTGTCTTTAAAGGTTTTCAGTCTAAACAGTACCAGAGATATTTGCATCACAGGCTGGGTATTGGTTCATTTTAATTACTACAGTTATCTTGTATCAGCTTTAGTATTTAAGTACACATAAACATTATCAATACAATAATTCTTTAAGATCAATATAGAACTGGTCTACATGTTTCAAATGAAGTGTCTCACCCTCACAAGGAACAAGAATCAGATTACAATAACCACTCATGGTAATGCACCTGTCTGTCTGTCTGTCTCTCTCTCTCTCTCTCTCATCCCAACTGGTCGAGACGGACGACCACCCACCTAGAGCCGAAGGATCTGTCCTAGGTTTCTGCCTTTTAACAGGCAGTTTTTCCTTGCCCTTGTCCAAGTGCTTGCTCATAGTGGTACTATTGGGTCTCTGTAAATAATGTTTTAAAGAGTTCGGTCTAGACCTGCTCTATTTGAAAACTGTCCTGAGATAACTTCTGTTATGAATTGGTGCTATACAAATAAAATTGAATTGAAATTGAATTGAATTGAATTAATGCTTAGACGTAACGCCACTTTGTTGGAAGGGATATCAATACTCAATCAAACTGCAACAACATTCTGTGTAAAAAATAAAGTACTGTTTGGGATGTTATTCATTGCAAATATTTACATAAAACACATACATAACACTCACATGAAGAGAAAGTTTTTTACATTATGGCTCTGAGAGGAAACTATCATATATAATATCACGACTCTAACATCTAGTTTTTTTTTTAATGATATAAAGACAGCACAATGAAATGGTATAACACTCTATCAGTACCATTGTTTCTATAGAGATATCCAATGTAGATATCTTAAAATGCAAACATGTACAATGTTGGTGTGATCTGTTTGTTTCCAAACAAGTTCATAATCAGTAAATGTTTTTGTCTTGCAAAGTGTGACAGTCACTTTAAATGACAGAGGGCAGAAACAGAATATAATCAAATATTAAATTCAATTGAAATCCAATTTACTCACAAGTTTTGTTTTATGACACAAACCTTATCAATACAAATTGACCAAAGTACAATAAATAAATAAATAAAAACATATAAAACTGCACTTGAGGTCCAGTTTGGTATTTTTCTGTTCTATTTATAGAACATTAAGTAACATATTAAGAACGGTTGTTTTGGGTGCACACAAACGTTACTCTCTGTTATGTGTGACCCAAATGCCTCTTCAATTGTACACCAGGTCCCACTCAGTTTTAGGGAAAGGAACGTTTGATCAAGGAAGCAACTTGTAAAATCAACTTTTAGCTTTTAAAACACCATAATTCTTTCAAAATGTGTCTCCCACTGTAAAGCCCCCTTCATGCTACTCCTGATTGTGACTTTAATCTGATCTGTTATAAACTATCCAAGGTTCTTATGGATTCTCTATACGGATATGAATCTGAGTTAAAAGGTATCTTAAATGTATGCTATTTATCAAAATACGATAATATAATACAGACAGACAGCTATTGTTTCTCTCTGAACGAATAGGGAACATCTGTTGTACCTGAGTATGGTTATGGTTTATGCTATATGGTTTATCCATATTGCTCGGGGTGGCGGTGGGGCTGAAGCTCACATCATCAATAACTTGGCTCTCTTCCTCCAGATGCGCTTTTACACACGTTACTCAACAAGATAAAGAAAAAAAATGGAAATACGTGTCCTTGGTCAATCAGATAGCAGAGGCTCAGAGTGGGTTTAAAAGGATCTGCAGTGCAGTTGAACTGACACTGAGGCTCAGACAGGACTCACCATGAAGGCTTTCATTCTTCTGGCTCTGTTCGCAGTGGCATGTGAGTATGAACCTTACTTTTTAAAGTCAGTTTGACAATTTTTGTGCAAAACATACATTCTGGTTAATTCTGTACTCCTATCAGTCGCCGCACCCATTGAGGATGAGGATGACAAGATTGTTGGAGGCTACGAGTGCAGAAAGAACTCTGTGGCCTACCAGGTCTCTCTGAACTCTGGCTACCACTTCTGTGGAGGCTCCCTGATCTCCAGCACCTGGGTGGTGTCTGCTGCTCACTGCTACAAGTCGTAAGTGCAAACATTTGATTTTAGATTCAACAGAATGTATTGTTACACCATCAGGCTGCTGCAAAACTTTTTTACCTCATACTTGACTTACTTTTACACACTTATCTAAACAGGCAAACTAACTGCCTCATTACAAATGTAATGTCACATTTGTCACTTCCATGTAATCCAATCCCTGTGTCTCTCTGCAGCCGCGTCCAGTTGCGTCTTGGTGAGCACAACATTGCTGTCAATGAGGGCACAGAGCAGTTCATCAACTCTGCTAAGGTCATCCGTCACCCCAGCTACAACAGCCGCAACCTGGACAATGACATCATGCTGATCAAGCTGAGCAAGCCCGCCTCCCTGAACAGCTACGTCCGCACCGTGTCCCTGCCTTCCAGCTGTGCCAGCTCTGGCACCCGCTGTCTGATCTCTGGATGGGGAAACACCAGCGGCTCTGGAAGTCAGTAAAAGTCTGCAAATATAGCTGGAAGACATTTGTTGCAGATGTTGTTGTGTGAATATTTACATGCATTGTCTTTTTCTTCTGTAGGCTACTACCCTGATCGTCTGAGGTGCCTGGATGCCCCCATCCTGAGCGACAGCAGCTGCAGGAGCGCCTATCCTGGTCAGATCACCTCCAACATGTTCTGTGCTGGATTCCTCGAGGGAGGCAAGGACTCCTGCCAGGTACAAGCTGAAGTCATCATCATTGTTTCTTAAAGTGGACCCACCAACCTTCAGAACACCTCTGCTCACATGTTGTCCTTTCTATCTGTGTGCTATCAGGGAGACTCTGGTGGCCCCGTGGTGTGCAACGGTCAGCTGCAGGGTGTGGTGTCCTGGGGTTATGGCTGCGCCCAGAGGAACAAGCCTGGAGTGTACGCCAAGGTCTGCAACTACAACTCCTGGATTCGCAACACCATGTCCTCCAACTAAAGTCACGTTATAGTCATTTGTTGTAGGACAGTAAGTTGTAAATCGCTTTAATAAATAAAAAAATCAAAGATACCTCATCTGTTTGACTTCTTGGCATTACCTACTGTACTCTAACTCATCACTTTGGATCAAAATATGCTGCAACAGCTCTTTAAATTGACTTTGAAGTTAACAAACCCCAACACAGATATTTATACTACTGGTATTAAATGTGACTTCCTGTGTTTGTCAGAAAGTCACCTCTCTTCATATTTAAAGGATCTTTGACCCTTAACCTTCAGGATCATATCATCACGAGAAATATGGGTGTCTGTCTATTAACATGTTAGCATACATTTTAACTTAAAAATGACAGATATAATCACAAATCTATACAAAAGTGAGCTTTATTGGTTTTAAGACAAACTATAGCATAAAATCATATACAACAGTGCAGGTGTCCGTCTGGGAAACATCTTTTGAAATGTAGTTTTTTTTCATGATTCACCAAAAACCAAGCCTGACATTGAAGCATGAAAATGTAGTTTTTCAAAAGCAGTAAACAATAATGGATGTTCAACAACATCTTGTTGCACTTTTTAGTTCAGGTACAGAATGTGCGTTTCTCAGTGTATTTTTTTTATTATTCTTTAAAAAAATTCATTTCATTTCAGCCATCATAGTGTGAGTCCACAAAAGGAGCAAACATGACAAGCATGTGCATGAGAAAAGCTGATATTCACTTTTTAAAATAATAAATACAAAATGCTAATACTTGTCCTTGTTGGAGACCCAAACAAAACAGATTTGTAATCAGTCCAACACTTCCTCTGAAACATTTTGAACAGTTTCACATCCACGGTCAGTCAAGAAAAGATCATTTAAAAATGCACATTTGATATTAAATTCACAGGTCACACAGTGAACACTTGTATCAAGATGAGGTGACGATGTTTGTAAAACTATACAATGACAATTAATTGGTCATACTATTCACTGACAAGAGATGATGTGTTATAAAATCTGAATGAAAAAATCTACACAAACAAGTTCTTTGTCAGTACTGCCAAACAAACTTCTTGCAGCAAAAAGGAGTTTATAAATTAATTCCTCCTCTGATCAGTTGGTGACTCAGTCCCATGCTCCATGTGCAGGGGACTTTTTCAAGTTATAAAATAAAGATGCCAGGAGGTTGCAGATGCAACAAAGATAGGGTTAAAATGTTTCAGTGGTTATTTCATTTGAGTATTTTATTGTTTTTAAAATAATCAAACTTTCCATAATCAGTCATTTACACAACTTCTGTTTACAATGCTTATTTCATTCAATATCTGATTACATTGTCCCAGGGCTGCTTCTGGCTTGGTGTTAATGCACTGAATGTGCCAAATATTTGGGGCATCTGTATCAAATTCAAAGTAAGTACTAAAGGAAGGTTCATGGCTTCTACCTGAAGTTGCCTCATGAACTTCTTGGAAACAGAAAGTGTCCCGACTATTTTGTACCTTCAGGCGTGACTGACTGAATACGTGACTGTAAACAAATCTTCAGAATACTTTTTGAGGCATTTCAGTTTGAACTTTTTCCAGGTGTGTAACAGGCAATGTTTCTACATCTTCTAATGTAGGGCTACAGGACCCTCTGTGTTAAAGAATTCAAAAAGGTGGATGTACATATAGAAGGGGCACAGAATCTCCATTGAGATTGATTGATTATTACACTTGGCCTCTTGCATGCTGCAAATAATGGTGATAAAGGTCTGAAATGGCAGGATATGCATTACCACACACAGCACACTTAACACCATCTGAAGACTCTTCATTTGATATGCTAGCATTTTTCACAGTTCTCAAAGGAGTAATGGGTTTCCCGAGTGAATTTTCATCAATTCTGTCATGGCAAGTTTCTCTATCTTGGATCGAATGTGTGCTGCCTGGAAGGTGCAAAGTTTTACCTAAATCAAGACCCTGATATTGGACAATGGAAATCATGGGCGCTACTGGCGACTCTTGAGAAGCTTGTTCTGAATATATGGATAAGGCGGTCAGAGGAGAGCTATTTTCCTCAGGTTCTGGACATAAAGTCGCCATATGGTTGTCTGTGGGAGAGCTAAACGTTTTCCTGTTGGACTGTGTAGTATGATCCTCTATGGATAAATCAAAATCAGAGTCCTTGCGCGTGTCTTGTGTTGAGGAATGGCAAAGCTGGTGGCTGAAGAGCAAGTCCAGAGTCCTAAAGCTGCATCTGCACTGGTCACATTGATAAGGCAGAAACACTTTCTTGGGCCTGACCTGAATCCACTGAAACTCTGGGTGCTCGCTCATGTGTTTCTTGTAAGGCTCCACGAACCGAAAACCTTGGCCACACTGAGGGCAAGTGAAGCGGCCGCGTCTCTGTCGATGGATTCTCTGATGATGCCACAGCTTTTTCCAGTTTTCTAGAGTCTTGCCACAGCAGGCACAGGTGTAACTTTGACCCGGGCCGTGAGTGAGCATGTGGGCTCGGAGCCTGCCCATGTGTCTGAACAGTCGCCCGCAGCTTGGACATAAATATTTCCTGGGGTCTGAACGATTATCTAGTTTGTTTAACTTTGACACGAGGTGTGAGAGGGGGTGAGCCGGTATGACTGTCGACTGGAATGGTTTCTTTAAGCAAGCAAAGCGTTTCTTGCGGCCGGTTTGGGACGTTTTTTCTGTGTTTCGCAATTTGCAGCCGTGAGAGGAGAAGCTGAGTTCTGTCCGGATGAACACCTAAGTGCAGGCACTGAGTACTGTATTAATGACATTGACTCTTTTGTGGCAGAGCTGGAGGCGTTTCCCTCTCCTCTGCACTGCGTGCGATGGGAGCTGAATTCAGACAGCACACCAAACAGCTTGTCACAATACAAGCAGCGATACAGCTTTGCACCGGTGTGTGCTTTCATGTGGCTGTTGAACTCCTGCAGATGATCAAAAACATTCTTGCAGATGTGGCACGTGTACGTCAGTGAAGGCCTAACCCGTCTGTTGGGTTGTAAATCGTCCCCGCTTCCCGATGGTCTGCAGGTGTGATTTTTTGCATTGCTATAATGAGTGAATGATTTTTCACAACGTGTGCAGTTGTAACGCTTCACGGACCAGTGTGTCAACTCGTGAACGCGGAGGAAGTAGGCCTGACCGAAAGCTTTGCCACATATATCACATTTATAAGGCTTCTCTCCGGTGTGGACACGCACATGTCTTATGAGGGCAGACTGAAACGGGAACGTTTTACCGCAGTACTGGCACACTTTTCTTTCCCTCTTTTCTGGGGAAACTGGTCTATGAAGTTCAGGGCCGTTTTCGTGGTCGTTTCCTTTGCTCCGCTTTTCAGATTTGTTGTTCTCAGAGTCCTGGTCTGTCACATGTGCATGCGTCTTCATATGAGAGGCGTATTCGGAGCAAGAGAATTTGATCTTGCAAAATGGGCATTTTTGATACATGTTGTTCTTTCTGTGCGTCTTGAGATGAAGATTCAAGTTTGAATTTTTGCTAAAACCCTTGCCGCATTCAGGGCATTTGAAAGGCCTTTCTCCTGTATGAACTCGTTGATGGATGATGAACTGAGACAGAAATTTAAATATTTGACCGCAGTAACCACATTTCAACAGAGTTTTTCCCCCTTTTTTCGTGTAGATGACATTTGCATCACTTAGGCTATCCTCCTTCTTCACGTCATCACACTCTGTTTTTTGTTGAGCGTCGTCACTGCCTTCATGGCCCTCTGCAAGATGAGCTTTCTGTAACAAAACATTACTTAGTCTCCTCCTTCTCTTGCCTCCTCTCTTGCGTCTGAAAGTGTTTCGCTCACTGTTTGGACCCTCAGATCTAACACTGTATTGTAAAGATGTATTATTTGACTCAGAAACAGGATTTAAATGGTCCAGCTCTATCTCTATATTCTCAGCTTTCACAGCAGGGAGGACTAAAACAGGTTTAGGTGGTTGTTCAGAGGATGTTACGACATCTGTGTTAGAGGGCTCTGCATTTGGCAAGTGTGTGTTATTTGGAGGTTCAAGATTGTTTTTTGATTGGGACTCCTCGCTGCCATTCATGTCAGCTGACTGTTCTATCTTAGGGTCATCACTCTGAGTAGGGCATACCACGTTCAGACTGTTCAAACCCTCTGAAGGAATAACTTCAGGCTCAGCTGCTGGCTGGGAAAGCTGTTTTCTTTCTAGTAAAGCACCTTCCTTCAGTTTTGCCTGCTGCTCTTGTCCCTCTGCAGGCAGCAGGGACAGCTGATCACCCTTTCCATCTGTATCAGTCTCTTGTTTGTCAGTGTTCAGTTCTCCCAGCTTATCTCCCTTAGCTCTCTCCCCAGAGCCTGTGTCATTGCTCAACACTGAAAAGGCCTCCTGGGAAACATCCAGTCTGGACACTTTAGCTGGAACCTGCTGATCGGCCAGTTTGGCCCTTCTTCTTTTAACACCTTGAAAGTTCAATATGTCGCTACTTTCTGTAGGAGTTTTTTCAGTTTGCTTGAGGTCTATCTGGCTATCAGTCTTTCCATCCAGATCCACAGGGTGTTCTCCTCTACTCCTCAGTCTCCGTGTAGGACCACTAACATTATTAGCATTAGTGGAAGCAGCGGGAGCGCTGACAGCAGCCGTAGCATCTGTAGTGTTAAAAGCTTTGATTTCTTTTTTTCTTGGTCTTCCTCTTTTTCTTTTTGGCAGCACAGGGTCACCAACTTCTACTTTACCATCAGAGACAGTATGAGGACTAGACATCTCATTATGAGGTGACTTATTGATTAAGGGACTGTCTACAGCATTAGGCACATGGTCACTGTTGTGGTTCACCAAGCATATTGGCAAAGGTATTGTCGTGCTGATCTCCTCATGCTGAACTGCGTCAAGAGCTGCAGACTCTGGATCTATTGTGTCTACAGTCAACAACTGTTTTGTTTTACGAGGGCGCCCACGTTTTCTGCGGCCCTCCACAGGCTGTCCGTGACTGTCTGTTGTAGAGCTGCACATGCTCGCAGATGCCATTTTGGACTTTGCTTCCATTCCAACCTGCGGCGATATGCGCTCACTGTGTTGACAGTTTGTTCCGCCTACTGATTCAGAGCCAACAAGGCCATCAGACTCCGTGTGCCCCGATGAGTGGGACTCAGGTACAGGTTGAGTCAGTTCTGTTGCTTTCATTTCTTCTCCCCTCCTGGATTCCAGGTCTTCCTCACTGCATTTCTTGTCTTCAGGTATCTGCGGAGAGGGAAAAAAACTGGATTTGTCACAAATGTAGTAGTGGTATTGTTACACAAGTCTCCTAAAATAGTATAAAAATAAAGAAATACAAAAATGAAAATCAGTGCCATATGTATAAAGTAAAGACCACATGCTATTGATAATGTATGTAAACAAACAGTAGATCTAGAGGCAAAATTTGAAAATTATATATCTTGAAAAATAACTATATATCTCAAAATAGAAGAAAACTGTATTATTAAAATCTGAGTATAAGCTTATTTCCAACCTTAAGGGACTTCCCTCCCTTCACCTGGACACCACAGAACCAACATAAAGGTAACATAATGATTCACTGCACACTTAAATAGTCAAGATGTACAAACACTACATAATAAAAAACTTTACCAAAACAAAATGCAAAAACTCCATAAATATAAATAAATAAGACATCAGGTTAATTTCCCCCTAAGAAAATGCCTCCATGCATTCAACTTGCAAGCTACTCCATAAACGTGTGCTGTATGCTGCATAACTTTTGGGGTGATATGTCTATTTGTCTTTCTCACTGGCTACCTGCTTGCAGTCCGAAGGGGCATGAACGGAATTGCAAGGATGCGATGCCACAGAAGTTAACTCAGAGACTGTATTTTGGTCACTGCTTCCTCTGCTGAAGGACATTTTACTCCCCATGACAAGAGTCTGTGGATTAAACAGTGACAAGGACGTTGTAACTCATAACAGTAACGTGTGATCCTACAGCAAATGTATGTTTGATTGACAGGCATTTAGGTGCCAGGGTTCAAAAGTTGCTGACAAAAATGAGAAAAAATTAGAAACAGGAGCGATTTCCTAATCAAAACCTGTTAAGACAGACCAGAGTTTGGGAATTAGGAAAGCGGGACAGTGGTGGAAAGTAACAGAGAACATTTACTCAAGTACTTAAACACAAGGTACACACACAGTACTTTGACTAATTCCACTCCCAGTCACCTAATGCCTCAATATATTACAGAGAAATATCACCATTATATTAGTACTTTTTACTCCACCACTTTTACACGAGTTACAGTTAGTTGACAGATGAACATTTTCCTAAAAAACACACATGCAACTTATAAATGACGCATCATTAAAGAATAACCAGCTGTTTTTAAACTATATAAAATGAGCTCCATCACTACCAGGTAGGGGCTACTCTGCATAATGAATATTTATTTACTTTTAACGGTGCTGATAATAGTTTAGTGTATGTAATCGAGCAGTTTCACATCGCAACACTGCTCATTTTACCCAAAGCACCTTTTTCCATCTGTTTTTAACAGCTCACACCTTACATAGACTTTATCTTCAGTGTACCCCTTATGAGCCTGAAGAAATAACTCAACACAAAGACTCAAAGTATGGTGTCGCAGTTTGTAAACCACTAGATGTACACACCTGATATATGTAAACAGGTAGTTTAATACATATACACTTTCTCTAGATCTCACAGTGGTTGCTGGTGTCATCTCATCTCCCGTGCACACACATGTCATCTGATATCACAAATGGCTTTTCGACTTTGGTTACCATAAAAGCACCGAGACATAACTGATAACGTATTTCCAAACACCCATGGCCGAGCCTGGCAGCTTCAGCATCCAGCTATCAGTTATCATTAAAAGCTACCAGCAGCATGACTAACAATGTAGGCGTTATCTGTTGGTAGGCCAGATTGCTAGCTCCGGTTAATTAACGTTACAGGCCACACGAACCCCACCGTTAACTACAATGTCAGCTCATTTACCCGTCTGCAAAGTTAACAACGCGTATGTAGGCTATTTCTCAACACCGGTTACACAATATGAAGGGTAGTAAACACAAACTGCTTGCCTGCGAGGGAGAGAGTCAGGACTGGTCTCTGCGTAGCCATGCACTGACCGCTGCTCAACTAGCTAGCACTGGCTAGCCTGAAGCTAACATAATGCTCTGTCGTTACGTGGCTGTTTGGCACTTTTCTTTTCTTTTCTTTTTCTTTTTTTTTTACAAACGTGCTTTGGTCTGGGAGAGGAGCTGTTAATGTGGATTGGGTTTTCTCTTCTGTTCAGAGCAGTTTGCAGCAGTGAGCCACTCGGTATCCACGCACAAAGCAACCCGAGAAAGTGTCAATCACGCCGAGAAGCACAGGAGTGGATACTTCAAGTGCTGTGGAAAGTTTGGGAATCATGAGTTGTAACTTCCAAGAGTTTCCCCCCTCCCTAGTTTTACCGTTGTAGGTTTCAGAGTCAGTGCCACATCAGTCGCCCAGATGTATTTACGTGCTGATGTTCTGAATTTATTTTGCCACACGGTTGTTGAAAAAACAAGCTCACCAACGACACATGAACGCCGCATCCACTCTTTTGGATATTAGCCATGGATATTTACCTCATCATAAGGGGACGCACAACAGAGCCTTGTTTTTGCTTTGAAAGTGCCCCCTCTGCTGGAGGTAAGAGCCGCAGGACAGGGACAACATCACTGGGGAACTGGGGCTTTTTAAATATCAGCTGAGAATAAAGACAATAAAGAAATAACGGACTAAATAGATAGAAAAACATGTGCAGAATTCTTAAGAAATAACTTAATGGTGTCTATTAAAGATTTAATAATTGCTGCATGTAATCGTTTAACCTATTTCACAGGAGTGTTGAGAATGTCTTGAAAAACACACCTAACATTGTGGAGGAACAACAGTTTAATAATAGTTATTTGTGGAACTGTAAAAATAAAGTCGATTCACCATGTCTCACTTCTATATTTCTACCACCATCAAACAGTCCACAACATGTAACTGACATGTTATACATTTCAAAGGCCACAGTAAAGACAGTGTTGCTTTTTGATGTTAACTAAATCTACTTGTATATAGTTTTTAAATTCCATTTCAATATATTCATTTTAAGATTATACATTGTCTTATTTCACTAACGTTTGCTATGTTATTAATTGCATTTACCGTAGTTCTCAGGCACCACAAACCGCACGTACTGTTTAAGAATCACACCATACATTGCCACTGATTTATACATCACTGATCTTAAAGCACTATACATTCAGTCTGTTCATCGTGTGAACAACCTTGTTAATATAACGGGGCATTACCAAATGACTACACACACAGTGAGTTTGAAAATATAGTTTAATACAACATATACCATATTCTTAAAGTCTGACAAAGATGGAAAGAACACACGGGATATCGTGGTCAATTCCAACAGCCTCACAACACATTCTGATCATACTAAAAACACATTTTAAAAAAAACAAACAAAACAACTATAATACAGCACCTGGTTATCCCACCAAACATGGGTAAACCATGCACACACATTTTGATAAACGTTATTGATTTACATGTTCTGTAACCACTGCAGAGACATAAAATTTAGACTCTGGGGAAGTGAATCTTGGGACTGTTTACTGACAAAAGAAATTCAGCTTACTTAAGATGCCTGTTAATTGGTAGCTCACCTGGTAGATCGCGTACCAAGTATCAAAGCTGAGTCCTTACCAAAACAGCCTGGGTTTGAGTCTGGGCCCTTTGCTGCATATCATACCCCTCTCTCTCCTGCTTTTCCTGTTTCTCCACTGTTGTTGTAATAATAATAATAATAATAATAATAATAATAATAATAATTTAAAAAAGCATGTTTATTTTCACTCATCTTACAATTCTTCATCTTGGGAGATTTGGAGAAAGCCAGGAAGCATTGTGTTCTTGTGCGATAAACCTAAACAAGTAGATATTCAACCAGGAGACTGCTATCGTTTAAGCACTTGGTCCATAATTAACATAAAATGTGACATGCAAACTGGATGTCTAGTCTAGTTTTGTCAAGTCTTAATAGGGACAGATGAGGTTACTTGGTAAATCATCTCAGCAGGTTTGTCTGGTCCACTTTCAACGATATAACAATCATCCGCCATATCCATTCCCGTTTTCCCATTCACAGGAGTCACCCCTTGCCCCTTGTCCAGACTGACAGCCATAACTTGGTTTCTCTTTATGTTACCAGAATCTGGAACCCCAAGTCTTCTTTCACCGTTCATCTGAGCAGCATTTGGGCTTGCCGCTGGCGTCACCCTCTTTATTTTGTATTGCTGTTTGCCACCTCGCACATGCTTTGCCATAAACTCCTGGGCTTTGACACACTTGTGCCTCTGAAGCAGCTGAGCAGTTTCGAAAGGAATATGACAGACTCGACACGTGAACCCGTTGGATACAGAGGATGTCGCTGTTGGTTTGCCCGATACGCCTGATGCAGAATTTGTGGGTGTTTTCGACTGCCCGGAGGGAGTGACAGGCCTACTTTTATTAGATGCACTGGGATTTGGATTCTGGCTCTTTAATGGCTGGGGGACACTGACATAAGACTTGGATGCACTGGAGTTCTGGCTCTTCATCTGCAGGGATGGAGTGACATGAAGCCCCTGATTGCTCTGATTGTACATTTTCATATTCTGATTTTTCAACTGCAGGGCGGATGTGACGTGAGGTGCCTGACTGGCTTTACTGGCTGCACTGAGATTCTGGCTTTTCAAATGTAGAAATGAAGAACCCTGATGCCCCCCAAAACTCGGACCTCTGTCTGATTTGGCTTGATTTAGCCTCTTGTCAGCCAGCGGCTTTGCGGTGATGAGTCTGAATTTGGTAGCCGTGTTAGGTGAGTTACAAACATGGAAGCGAGGCACTACTTTCCTGCTGGAGAGCAGCAGCCCACATCCTATACAGCCAGAAACTTTATCTGTGACATGAGAACTGTGGTGGGATATGAGAGAGGTCTTTGTTGTAAAACACTGCCCACATTTACCGCAAGTGTAAGGCTTTGACTTGTTAAACCTGCGCACTGTTTGCAACAACACCACTGGCTGGTAAAGTGTCCAAAGATCCACTGTTGGTGCACCCACACCTGCAAAAATATTCTTCATGTCTGTTAGAGAGGAAACAGGATTTTGGACAAAAGATGCTTGTGACACAGAGGGGTACAACTCAGGCACTTGTGAAATCTGTACAGGCTGCGTGGGACCTTGAGGCAGAATACCTGCTGTAACGGGTACTTGCTGTCTCTGCTTCACTGGCAAGGAAATTGATGCCACACTGTCCAATGTAGGTGCCTTCCAGACAACCTCTCCCGTCTGCAGTCTTTTCAGCTGCTCCTCCTCCTCTATGCGCTTCTCAATTCTGCGCTTCCTTATTGTTTCGTGATCAAGCACTTGGTGTCCGGGTTCATGTGTCGTGCTGTGCTCCAGCATGTCTCTGTATTCTGTAAACTCAGTTCCACAAGAGCAGATGTAACTTACAGCAGGGCACACGTGTTCCTCCAGGAATCTCCGATTGGCAAATATCTGCTCGCAGCTGAAGCAAAACCGACCAGCATCCATCAAGTCTCTGCCTAAGCCATCCTCCATAATATTATGCCGTTTTTGCCTCCCTCTCTCCATGACGAGGCTCGACACGGATGTGTTCATTTAAGATGTGGGCTGCCGTTCCTGGTGAAGACATGTATTCAAATGAATGCAACGATAAGCAGAATAAGAACTGAAATAAGCCAAATATTCAATTGAGTTATAGCTCAGTGTTAATGGAGACACAGAGGAGCTACTTGTGCTAACAGCTAGCGTTACATACAACTAACTGCATGCTAAGCTAAGGAGAGACGACTGTCATTTTTAAAAAGCACTTAGTGTTGTAGCTTCCTCAGTACGTTGAACGGTATGAGCTCGTCTCTGAAATTAATTCCCAACTTCTGAGACCAGCTAATGAACTCTTTAACATTTCATTTCTCACCATGACGTTACACCTCCTAGGTTGTAAAATAACGTTACATATCGTAGTCTCCCACGTCAGATAATACAGTGGCATTTCCCCCTACAGTGTTACAGCAGTGTTATGTGGACAACTACGCAGGTTAGTCCGGTTTTCACCATTTATAACGTTGATATTTATTTTAACGCGCGCTTGTCTTGCTACAAGCCTACGATGCTAGCGTTAGCCTGCACTAGCTTATTGGACAATAACGTTGGCTTACCTTCACATGAAAATCAAAGTACCGCTTAGTCAGTGTGCTGGTTATAACGTTATCCTTGCAACAGACTGCAAACAGCGTGTCGACTGTCGTTTCGTGAGGCATTCACAATCGGGCTAACTTGCCGGTGTTTTGAACGCCTCGGTGGAAGTTAGCACATTAGCCCATGCATTAGCCACACCAAAAAAAAAAAAAACCCAGAGGAAAGATCCACACCCTCTTCTTCTACGGATGGCGCGCTTTGACGGACAAAAACCCAGGTTTTGCTTGGTTATACCGACACCTACCGACTGGAGTTAATGTTTCACCTTTAACGTTGTTAATAGGCTGTTAATAGAGGGAGACTTTTAGCCTTCATGCTACAAACACAAATAAATAACACTAGCATCAACTTGACTGGTCACTCGTTACCATGGAAATACATACATACATACATACATACATACATACATATATATATACACACACATATACATATACATATATACGTATATATGTATATAAAAACCTTTTTACATTGTATCATAGTGTGCATTTTGACTTTGGGAGAGCAAACAGGACTATAACTGTTCAACCTGCTAAAGTCAATAATGGCGCACATCTATAACCGCCATGACTGAGTCCATCTTCATGTTCTCCATCACCATCTGGTACGCTCCTGCCACTGCCAAGGACTAGAGTGGACTGCAGTGTCTCACTCTCTCTGCAGAGAGGGTGATTGGCTGCATCTACCATCCCTCCACGACCTGTTTGCCTCCGGGACCCTGAGGGGAGTGAGGAGGATTATGGCTGACCCCTCCCAGCCTACCCGACTGCAGCTGGCCTCATCAACAAGGCCCGGGACCCCCTCACTGACACTGATGAACATTAACATAGTCTCCACATCTCTATATGTCAATGAAAGCACATGTTTGGATTTTTATTTGCAAACTGCACATATTCTTTATACTGTTGCACATTCCTTGGTCAATATTTATTTTAAAAAACAGATTTCTCTTACTATGTTCATTGTTATGCAACAAAATACCAAGACAAATTCATTATGTGAAAACCTACTTCAGGCAATGAACCTGTTTATTTCTGTTTATCTGTCAATGTGAAAAATGAGCGTATACAATTACATTTAATAAACACAAGTGGGCGGTGTATATTGAATTAAAATGAAAACTGAGCTTATACTGGTAATTGTTGGTTGTATTGACTTTCCCATATGGTTACTGAATTAATAGTAAAAAAACTACACACAGCTACACGTGAATCAGCCTTCCCTCAGGGTCGATCTTGGTTAATTTATCATACTCCAGATGATGATTTTAATACATTCAGCACACATTTAGTACTTTCCCCTCATACCACTGTAAACCAAGTAGGCAGTGACTATTCCTGGGTTTCTCTGCAGCCCCAGAAATTATTTTTTTTTTTAAATTTGAGGTATTTTCAATTAAGAAAAATTGACATTGATACAAATATCTAACAAATTAGTAAACCTCTTAAAAAACCTACCACAAACTTGTACATTTGGGATACAAGGTTCACATTCTTACCTTTCTTTGCTCTAGGTTTCCTTTAAATCTGATCTATGAAAAACATATTGATCAGGCCACTATGACGGCCGGATGTGGCTCAGAGGCAGAGCGGGTCGTTCCTTTATCGGAAGGTTGTGGGTTTGATCCCCGGCTCCTGGTGCCACATGTCGAAGTATCCTTGAGCAAGATACTAAACCCCGAATTGCTCCAGATGCCGTGTATCAGTGTATGAATGTTAGCTTCTGTTCACTTGCCATCGCTGAGTGAATGTGTGTAAAAGCACTTTGAGTGGTCGGAAGACTAGAAAGGCGCTATACAAGTACAGGTCCATTTACTCTCTGTTAAGATACACATTTACTGTTAATTGACATTCACCTTATGACCCATGGCTGACTGAAAGTTACTTAACATTATATTTGTTTAACAAAGGAACAAACTAGAAACTGTGCTTTAATTGTATACTCCAGAGCATTCATAGACGAGCACAGACCGGTTGACACGCAGAGTAAGCCTGATCCCTGCTTTTTTAAGATTAGTTTGAAGACTTCCCAAACATAATCAAGAGACAAATGTACTGAAATTAATTATTAATTAGATTAATTAAATAGTATGCATGCCACAAATTTGTGTACTTATATATTAAATCATTCTGGAAGTAAAAGCCAGGACAAAAGCCTCTTAAAACAAGCTCTTTACACAATATTCAAAATATCACCTTCTTGTGTTGCACTTGTTGCAAGCCTTTAAGATATTTGATCCCTTATCACACAAAATGATATAATGTACATGTTTCACATACTGGTATGTTTATTGACACCAGGAACAACAAGCTACATCACGACCTCTGTGATAAAAGTTTGATTACCAAATACTCAAACATTTACAGGCTAATGAGGCTATGTAATAAAGGGATTAACTTGACAAAACTAAAATGTACACAAATGTACAAAGCTGTTTTTTTTTGGGTTATTTTACAGTGGCAAGCTACTATAACACACTCTCAGAGCACCTTTAAAAAAACAACTTATGTGGCTGTACAATGTCAAAAAAACTCATGGACAGTGAAAAAAAAAAGCCCACGTCAAGTTATAAACAAGTCAACTGACAAATATACTGAAATTTGTAAAGTTCTTAAATGCACGACTTCAATGATTTTGAGAAAAACTGAAGTATCATTAAGAATTCAGCTGTTCTTGTGTTTTTGGCTTAGTGTCCCCAGCCATGATGCGATGAATCCTCCTGCGGTGGTTTTTGAGTGATTTAAGGTTCGGGTACGTCCCCTGACAGACATCACAGCGAAACGATTCAGACTGCTTGTGAGTAAGCAGGTGTTTCTGCAAACCATCCACAGTGCCAAACCAGCGAAGACAAACGGGGCAACGCACGGGCTTGATGGCGGGCTTGCAGGCCCCACTCCTCTGGTGAAACAGAAGACTGATTGTGTTCGGGAAGTGAGAGTTGCAATGGGAACAGTGATAGGTTTTGGGTGGGTGTGTGGGTGGATTTATAGCCCGTCCACCTTTGCATCGATTCCAGGACACGTGCCTTCGGAGGGAGCAGCGAGTGGCGAAAGTGTTTCCGCACCGTGTGCATACAATCCTTGGCTGCTTTTTTGTCAGATTTGGAAGCTTATCTGCTTTGACAGTTTGCTTCTGAGGAGGCTGATGCACTGGCTGAGATGACTGCTGCTGAGGTCTCTGTTGCTGAAATCGAAGTAATAGGGGTTGCGATCGCTGGGGCTGTATTCCCTTCAGCAGCTGGTGATGAGGATGCATATGGATCTGCAGGTGAACTTCGTAGTCTGCCCAGGAATTAACAGTCTCTCCACAAGTCGGACATGTGTATGACTCCTGTGCATGCTTCTGCAGATGCTCCAGCAGAAGCCTTGGGGATGTAAATCCGACCCCACACTCACATGTCACCCTCCTTGGGAGTACAGAGGGCAGTGACATGATGCCCCAGTTGCCTCCATCGTCCTCCTGGGTTTGACCGTCTGTTGCGTTGCCTGGTGTACTCTGCTGCACAATCCCTCTGTCCACATCGCTCATTGTTCGTTGCAACTGACACCTCTTTCTGTGAACCATCATGTTATCTTTGCGGTTAAAGGTTCTCCCGCAGACATGACATGGAAACATCGGTTTCATGTTGTTGGCATTTTGTGGAGTGGCACCGTGACTACTACTCTGTGCCACAGTGCCAGGTCCCCGTAGCCTAAACCCACACAGGCGTAGATGGCGCCTCAAAGTAGATGGCCGACTGTAGGTTTTCTGACACCTGTTACATGGGTAACGTTTTACGCCATCTCTGACGAAATAGCGCAGGCTGGGGGGCGCTGTACCTGCATGTTCGACTGACAAAGATTTCTTCACCTCTCCTCCATTACCAGCTTTCTCCATAGAGCTAAGTACCTCCATTTCATCATCCAAGGGCATTGTCCACTGCCCTTCATTACTGTCCTCATTATCAACTGCTGCTACACCCCAGCTACTGTTTTCATCCCCTTGCTGGAGTGAAACACACAGGGAGGCATCCTTGTGCTGCTCCGTCATGGAAGATTTGGGATAGAATGGGGAGAAGCTGTTTGCTGGACGAGTCCAGGCCAACTGTGAAGCTGTAGATATCTCTGAATTTGGAGAGGTCACCTCTACCTTGATTCGACCAGTAACTTCAGTGCCCACAGCAATACTCTTTGAGATTTGAGATGCAGCATTAATTTCTGTATCTGAATTGGGTTTACTGTCTGATCTCAATACTAGCATTTTCTGAATGGACGGATTGGCCTGCTGGGGGACAGCGGACCCGGGGCCCTGGCACTTGTGCATTTTGAGGTTCCACCTCCGCGCGTAGCTGTGCTTGCACAATGGACAAAAGAAAACTTTTCTAGTATTGTTTAGACTATGGAATGGCACTAGTTTCGGGGCAAATGGTGACTTGTTTTTTAAAGACTTTGACAGCTGTATGTTCTTGTTTGTTAACTGAGGGCATACGTGATTGTCAGGTAAAGGCAGCCGCCCAATGATCAGCTGTTTGCAGTGACGGCAACATTTAATCCTCTCTTTTTTGTGCAAGAAATGATGCTCTGTCAGTTTGTCCAAGTTTTGAAAGACCCTACGACAGCGGCCACATTGATATCTCCCATAAGTGCCATTACTGCCGGGATCCTTGAGTTTATGACGGGTTTCAAGAACCACAACAGGTGAGAAAGTCTTAGTGAGAGAGACAACTTTCTTTTTACTGGACTCAAGAACTCTGCTGATGGATGGAGCTTTTGTTTTTATACCAGGTGTTGCAAGCAGTCGCCTCAACTGTGCAATAGAGAGATCGTTGATCGGGGACACCTCAGTTTTTGCTCCTGGTGTTATGTCAACGGGGACGACTTCTTGTTTGGGGGTTACTGTGTTATTGTTCTGATTCTGAGACGGAAGAGCGGGAAAGCGCTTCATGTATGCTGAGGCCACCAACTTCATTAGAGCGTTATTTCTGGGCAGACTCTCACCATTTTCGCTATTGAGAACAGAATTTGTTTCGTGCATGTTCTCCCCAGTCTCTGATTTTTGCTCTGCTGTGGCTGGCATGTTCTCAAGCTGTTTCTCACCGTCATCTTGAGGGGGTGTACACTGGCCTTGAGGAGTGGTTACTATGGCAATGCCATCCTCCAGGCTTACATCTGCTTTGCGGTCTGTTAATATGGGTTTGACAGCTGGGGACCTTGAGGTAGAGGGACAACTACTTACCAAACCTAGCTGGGTTACAGTTGGACTTAATGATACATGCTGGATGGTAAAAGCTTTATCACACCCTGTGCCACCAAGAATACTACTATCATCCAGAGGTTGCAGTAGCTGTAGTTGAGAGACGTGTGAACGCTTATGTTCCAGCATAAGGCCGAAGTCCTGAAATTCCTCTCCACAATCACAAATATAAAAAGAAGGTGAAGGGCTTTCAGGCAAGAGCGTTGGTAGATTGGGGTGTTCACTAGATGAGTCCATACTTGCAAACAATGTTTCATGTGGGCTGGTGTTCGACTGTGGAGGGATCTTGGAGAGCGCACCAGCATGGGTTGCCTGATGTACGAGCAAGGAGGCCAATCCGTTGAAGGTGGCTGAACATGCCACACAACGATACACTTTGGAGGACGACGTACTTCCCTGTAACCCAAGCATCATGGCATCCACACGTACAAGACAATCCAGGCGTTGTGGTCATGCAAGGAAGTAAATCCTGTAAGTCACACACAACATACGAAATGATGTCACCGAGTGAACACGGACAATCACAATTTATGATGAGCAACATAGTTTGCATCATGAGACAACAATTTGACATTCATAAAAAACATTATTAGGCGTGGATACAGCCAACATGTTCCAGCTAATGTTAGGCGGAACAATGCCTCATTGGGTCCCTTTCAAAAAGCCCTAAACTTGGACCAGTAAGTAATATAAAGAAAAGCTTAGTCAGCATGCAACTCCACAGAGCACCTGAATTCCAACATGAAGAGACACAGCCCCGTGGTCAGCAAATCCATCAGATCTTTCTGTAGAAATGGGTTCACACTCAACAGCTGCAGATTTAGACCCCGTTTCCACTGGCATTGTTTATCCTTGCCACGATTATGTGCATTTCTACTCTATCTCTAACTTTAATACAGTGCTTTGGACTCTGAGCAGGGCCAACCATGAAAATCTTAACTAAGCTGGGTTGTTAAGCAAAACCAGTTGACTATAAATGTGTGATCATGCAGGAAACCAATCCTCCTATGTCGATGTAACACATGAGGTTATCCAGGTCTGATTCTTAGTTTGACCAATAATTGGGACTGAGCTATACTTGATATGCATTTAATATAATGTCCATGCCTTTTGTGTGACATAAATATTTGGGAATTTGATGGTCATTTCAGTGTGTGACACAATAATGTTAACTGCCAGTGTATTGTCTATATCCAGTACCAGGTGCAGGAGTTGTTATTAATTCCTCTCTGATGAAGACTCTTTGAGGTCAAACATTTTTTATGTCTCTTGCCTGACTCATGGAACAGAGGCTTCAATTAAATCAACTTTATCAATCCACATTGACAGTCACACGCATCACCAATGGATCAACTGCATTACTTATATTATAGTCCATTTCTTCCCCTCTCTAGCGTGCCCTGGTAGCCAAACAGTTACTGTGGATGCCACAGAAGGTTTGAGTCCAGCAAGCGAACTTTGCTGCATGTCACGCCCCCTGTTTCCCATTGGCCTCTGCACTTTTAATCTGACCAGTAAAGCTGAATTGAATTATTGTTATTTTAAGACTATTTTATGCCATAATAATGCAAGCACAACAAATCCCAGAACTAAAATATTAACCGCATCAAAAAAGTCCAACAAGATCCAAAATCCCCCCAAAAATCCATGTAATATAAAAGTTTAAATAATATAAATATATGCTCATTCCTTCTGTGTCCTCTGTGCCATGACTTCAAGATGCTGACTATTGAATTGGGGCTGATTTTAGGAAATTATTATTATATTAAACATTTACACTCTTCTACCACGTGTGCCACAAATAAACAGATTTTTAATCATTTCGTTAGACAGTCTGATTTAAGTTCTGCTCTTCCTAAAGAGGTCGTTTCATTTTGGGGTACGTTTGAACCCCTCTCTTCACTATTCAGGACACACATTCAAAACCCCTAAACTTGTTGTTTGATTGGTTAGAAACTATATCATACACTTAAACCCTTAAATCTGAAACACTTGAAGTTAGCATGAACAGGCTATTTGCATTATGTTACTAAGCAAACGACAACGAGCACAACCACGAGTAAGACCGGACGTAAACACAACAACGCAGACTAACCGGACCGTTGCTCAGACAAAACACAACACATCGGGGGTCTCATGCTACGTTACACTGCTAACGAACATAGGGCTGTTGTTTTAGTGATAATAAGGTTATGGCTCTACTGTATCAGTATCACTGTCGTTTTAACAAGCTACAATCTCCAAATGACGAGCTTTTTGAACACTATTTATCTGCTACGTTTGCTAGTTTGGTATCTGACCCCAGAGATATATAACTACATGTACCCACCTACAATCTGATTCTAGTACATATAACGATAACTCACAGGCTGCTAGCTCGTTCAAATATCTCAAAGGGGTTGCTAGTGAAAGCAAACCAGTGGGAGGTGGCTGGCCACGTTCCTGAAGAAGGCCGGAGAAAGGAGAAACGTTAGCAAGCTAACATTAGCCACCATGACCTATGGAACAGCTTCTTCACAATATCCAACCGTTTCTATCCCAACGAACTCACCAGCGACCGGAGTCTGAACGTCAACGCTATCCCTCAGAGTGGAGCCACAATGGCCGGCCTGGAGGAGAAGAAATGGCTCGGCAGACATCTGCCCGTGCAAATAACCACGAACTCTCCAGGGAAACAAGGCTCAGCTCGGCTCTGTGGTGAACAAATGTGATGCTGTACCAGAAGGAAGAGCACCAGGCTGAAGGCTGCAGCTGCAGCAAGCGCGGATCCTATACGGCGCATGCGCAGTTAGCCCGCCCCCCCCCAGGAAAAGGCGCCGGGCTCGTGAGGTACTCTGACATAAAACACATTTCCTGCGTATGCCCCTAAGGTAAACACCCCGGTATAAAGAGAGCAGGACTACAACTGCAGATGTCAAACTTTTTTCACCAGCTCATATTTGAATATTTAATTATTTATGATACCTCAAATATTATATATATATATATACAAAAATATATATATATATATATATATATATATATATATATATATATATATATATATATATATACACTAATGGACTAATGAAATGTTAATTTTGCACTCACTGTCCATTAGGCTTAAGCTGCACTTGACTAACACAAGGATATGAGGGCCTGATTAACCAACTACGGGTCCCCAGGGCAAAAATCAGCAGCTCCTATCTCTCCCAGGGTTCTTCGTGTGCATTGGGGTTGTGTTAGTAACACTATTAGCCTTTTAACTCAGGGTGAGTCTACAAGATGGGGACCATACATTAAGTGTCAGTGCTTTCGTGTTATAATATGCTTTAGTGGTACACACTGTGACTCACTTTTTTAAGTGATTAAACCACAAACCATGTGAACTTGGGCTCAGTTTGTATAACCTTAGCCAATCTAGCAGCATGGTTTGTTAAAAGTCAGACAGTTGACTGTGTGTTAAGATAAAAATGGAGAAGCTGCCTCAAGTGGAAAGTTCAGGTATTTCAAGGTCTTGTCCAACATTTGTATGTGGGGCTGAAAAATGGGCCCTATATGGGATTGTCTGCAGGTTCCATAATAGCCCCATGTCAATTGCCCACATAGGCTTTACACAGGTTTGAACTGGCCATTCAACAATCCAAACAGGCCCCACTCTGAGCCCATGCTCTCATTTCCTATTAGTGACCCAACTCGGACCCACATAGGGAGCCCACAGTTACCCATGTGAATATAAAAAGCCAGAATATCATTTAAGTTCTCTAAATTTATTCATATGAGAATATACATAATATAATAATTTATATAATTTTGTTTAACAACATAACATATTGCTAAGAAACTATTTCAAAACCTACCCCGGCACAAATGCGCTGCTTGGCCCAAAAGCACTTGACGAATGAATGGTCGGTAAGTCCGGTCTCATCCAATAACCACATTATCTCCAGTTACTGTACCTCTTCAGCATGGGGAACAGTGGATTTTTAACAGTACAAATAAGTGCAAATCTACTCTACAGTGTGGTCAGCGGTTTCACTACTTTACATTGCCTCACTGCCTTCCTCAGCCCCTGGAATAAAGCAAGTGCTACTGGGGTCAAATTTGTGCTCTGATATCGGCAACATGACATACTCTTGTCTCACAGCAACTCAGCCAGCTAAATAAGTTTATGAACTGTATCTACATTTTCAGGATATGAAGATGGTACTCATTTGGCAGGTATTAAAAGGTTTTAACTTAAGGACCATATTGCTGCCACATCTTTTCAGAATTAGGCACTTGAACAATCCTGATGCTGTGAGCTGTTCATGGAGGTAGAACCTTGGTCTTTAGGTACTGCCCTAACAATCTGCAGCTAAGAGAAACTATATTGGCTGTGAAAAAAACAACAGATACAACCCAGTCTAGAGCCGGTGTTTAATTTTGTCTGTAATGAGCTACTGTAGAAACATGGCGGTTCAGGCATAGAAGAGGACCTGAAAATAAGAATTGTGTTTTTGTTACCTTTAGAATAAGCCGTTTTATCTATTGAGGGAGTTGGTCCTCTTCCATGGCGTCTGCCCTGTTAGGCCATTTTTCTACACTAACCCAGAATGGACGAACCAAACCCTAGCTTTAGATATGGCCTTTCATCTTTTTCGCAAGCTTTGCGTTAGCCTACAAGTAAAATACACAACATAGTGACCAAAGCAAACAATTTTATATTATTATGGTTATGCAGTACCTGTGACACTGCACACCTGCTGAGGTGTAAATAAACCTCTGCCAGTTGAACCATTGAAATATAAGGTATTTTACATTTTATTGTCTGAGAACAAGGCTCATGAAAAACACCCCTTTCCCCAAAAACCCAAGATTACTGTATCTGTTACTATGACAACTAATAAACACTAACCTGCTATGGTACACACAATTCCTTCATGTCCTACTATATCCATAAGTCAGAGTATATAAATATTATTTTTATTGTATTATCACTTTGATTTGGTTAGGATTACCTACTTAAGAGGTCATGTTTTTTTATCAGTGTTAATTTTTACAAAACACACTTGAAATATATATATTTTGACATAAAATCTAATTCTGTTTTAAATTAAACCCATAAATAAAGATTGACCATGACTGTAGCCATTTCTACCATTAAATCTATTTTCAAATAGCATTCAGTTAAATAAGCTACAAGAAACAAAAATGTTCTCTATATTTAATTCAGCACTTTAGCTGGAAGTTCACTTAACCTACATGTTGACTTTAGTCTGCGTTGAAAGCTTTTACTTGTTTACAGTTATGCCTGTAAATTGGACCAAATGGCCTTAAATTCAGGAGTGTTTTTTTGATTGATTTTTTGCTCTAGTAAATCACACTGCTGTATAATGTATAACACTACACAAATAATTTACTGTGGCAGTAGTAGTAAAACTTAAAAGGAATTTTCATTCATCATACTATGTAACGGTTTCTCTTACTTCCACTTCTTCGGGTTTGTGATTTAAAAAAGGTCCAATATGTAACATTTTGGAGGCAGTATTCATAACTATGCTCTCATTAGTGTATTATCACCTGAAAATAAGAATCGTTATGTTCTGGTTACCTTATAATGAGCCTTTTCCTATCTTGCAGGTTGCCTTCCAGGCCGCCATGCTGAACCACCATGTTTCTACCGTAGTCCAGAACAAACAAACCAAACACTGGCACTAGAATAGGGCCGTTAACGTTTTTTGCAGATTTCACTATAGTTTCTTCTTTTTGCCGTTCCAGGGTGCTGTAGAAACAATGCGGCTCAACATGGTGGCCTTCATGGAAGGTGACTCATGGCAACTGTAGATTAAAAACAGCTCATTCTAAAGTAACAAAAACACAATTCCTATATTAAAGTGATTACACACGAATGAAAACATACATATGAATATTATATTCCATTTCTGCCAGTAGATCCTCCTAAATGTTACACACTGGACCTTTAAATTAACTACAACATTTACTAAGATTTTTAGCTTCCTTTCGGTTAGCCTCCCCCTAAATACAAATAAATACAAACACATGTAGATTTTCTAGTTGACTTTACTCCTTAATTGAATGCATCAACTCAAATTTCTTAAGAAAGTAACATCCTTGGGTTGAGAAAAGAATATTTAATAAGAACATCATTTTGAGTCTGTACAAGATGCTTATCAATATCAAAAATGCAACCCATGACAAACACAGGGAAATGTTAAACTGAAAATTACAAAATGATCTATAGTACATGAACAGTCATAAAAAATTCCAATCGATTAAAATGACCATTTCGATCATATCTTACATATTATAACAAAACTGACTATAAACTGTTTCAAAATAAGTGTCAAACATGACCATGATTGATCAAAAATGCCATTATCTAAGACATTTCATGAATCTTATGCCATCATGTTTTGTCTATATTCATCAACCAGAATATTAAACAGCTTTACACAATTTTGTCATAGATTTACAAACACTGTCAAGTAACTATGTGGCTAATTTATGGTATACAAATTCCAATTTCAGAACCAGAAAAATATACCATGTAAAAAGAAATAGGAGGATGCCCTATCATACTGACATGAGCCAAGAGCTTTGCAAGCATCCATCAACAACTAAAAATACAAATAGTGGAGGTACGCTAATGGGGCTTTTCTCTTATCCTCATTCAAGAGCGCAGTCTTCCAAAACGAGAGCATGACTCATGGACCACCAAAGTTTTTTTAAATTTAATTGTGCTATTAATTCCATAAAATTGAATTATAGTGAATCATATTTTCAGACTAAAGAGTGACCGCACCCGCAATGAGGCAGGGATCGATTCATTGGTCAACACTACACCTGGAATTCTGCTTCACAATTGCACAGAAGCTGCCTAAGTGTGAGGAGAAAGGTTGAAGCTAGAGTGCAGGATATCTGTGCAAGCTACAATACATCTGAGTGCAAGTATACTGTTAGAGCAGAGGCAGAGCAAATCAAAGCGCAAGGAGTCTTTTTAAGTGTGAGGGCAGGGTTTTGAGGGAAAGCATTACAAAATCTGAATGTGAAATCATGAAGTCATGCTCTCAAATTGAAAGACTTTGCTGTTGAATAAAGACAAGTCCCATACAAAGTCAGATGTAAGGCATGAAAGGGATTTCAAGAAAAGAAGGTAGATGGTAGGTAACAACCATTAATGAGAGGACCCAACGTGAGTCTGTTGATGTTCCTCCAGTAGGTGAGGAAAAGCAAAGGCTTTGTCGCATTCGTTGCATTCATATACAACTTGGCCAACATGACTCTCTTGGTGCTGCTTAAGGAGAGACCACTGGCTGAATGACTTGTAGCACATGTCACAGCGGTAATCTCCAACTTCTTTCTCAGCATGCAATCTCATATGCAAAGACAGATCTTGTGCCGTATTGAATTCGGTGTGACACTGGGTACATCTGAGCTTGTTTTCTGTCAATTGGGCAGTGGTTTGAGCAGCATATCTTTGACGATGCCTTCGCTCATGCTCTCTAAGGTACCGCTTCACGGCAAATGTTTTTCCACAAATCCCACATTTGAATGGCTTGTCATTTGGATGATGTTTATTTTGATGTTCCAAGAGAACACTTTTAGAAGAGAACTGCATTGAGCAAACAGGGCAATTGTACAAGTCCTCTCCAGTAACATCGACCTCCTCCTCCTCTCCTACTGCTTGATGATAAGTTGGAGGGGCTGATGGACTTGAGTACTCGTTCTCAGATACTGTGCGCTGTTGGTGGGAACAGTGGTGCTGACAGAATGCATCCTTTCCCAAAAAGCTCTGGCCACACTTTGTG